GCTGCAACAACTGAAGAGGCTTTCCGCTGGAATAATGAAATAGACAGAAAGAGCAATGAGGTAGATACGCTCGAGAGCGACCTGAAAGCAAAGCAGTATTCTATTCTGAAAACAGAACGACATGCCGAAGCTGCTTTTGCTGTTACCGAATGGCTTTCTGATTCTAGAAATCAACACCAATTGCTGGAAATAGTACAAGATCAATCAGTTAATGAATGTGGTACATTAATCTCTGCTTCTCCTTCTGCGAAAGGGAATGCTGATATTAGTTTGTCAAAGGATGGATATCTAAGTGACGCAATATATCCATATCCAAAGGGTGATGAGCTTTCAACATCAAGCTCTGATTTTTCAAACTGTAAATGGCAACATGATTGTGCACTGAACGTAAAATGTCAAGGAGTTTCAAGTTCTAGGTCAGAGGCTCAAGAAAGTAATAACACGACTACATCAGCAGGTTCGATTGCTAAGAATGGTTCTGCACATAATGTTTACTGTGGAGGTATACTTTGTTTTCTCTTACTCACCACTCTAAATCTTGAATGACTAAACCACAAGTTTTATTTTATATGTAAAGAAAGAAGCTTAAAATTTTGTTTTATGTAGATGGGAGGCAGTCAGTAGAAAAGCCATTTACTATCATGAAGGAGAGCGCAGAAACTGAGTGCAAATGTAACCTGGTAAGCTTTTATTAGCATCATTTCTTTTTGTGAAGATATATAAAGAAATTGGTTACATGTCAATGACAAAGTAAACCACTGAAATTTTATCTATGCAGCTTTCTTCAGAGGTATATATGGGTCTTATGCAGAGAATGGATCCTGTTGGAAGTTTCTTCGATCGATTTGAGGAAGTCAATGCTACCATGAAGGAAGCTGATCTCACACTATGTGAATTAGTAAAGGCCAATGAAAAATCAAATCATGTTACTGAAATGTGGCTTCAAACTCATGGAGAGCTAATCGTTAAGGAAAAAGTTCTGATGGATAATCTTGAACAGGTCAAGTCTACACTATCTGCATGCGAAAAAGAAAATCAAATCTTGCTAAATCAAACACACTCCACTTTGGCGGACATGGAAAATTCAGTGTCGTTGCTTGAAGAATATTTTCTGGAAACGAAAAGAGGAGTAGAAGAAACATTAGAGGCTTTGTTTTCCCATGTCCTTTTAGCTGGAAAAGAGCTTCTCCAATTGATTTCGAACTCAAGGCCATCGCTTGAACAGATTGTATCTGAAACCATGGAGAGAGAGTTCACCATGTATGCAACATACCAATGCCACACTGGGAAACTGATCGATCAAATTTTGGATCAGAGAAAACAGGTTATCACTCCACACCTTTCAGGCCAAGAAAACCAACAGTCAGTGAAAATTAATGCCATTGGGTATAGTGCCGAAGATGAAGTCACTGGAAAGAACAACAGAGCAGAGATCATCACAGGTTTAGAAAATGATGAAGTTGTTCATTCACATGAAAGCCTATTATATGAGAACCTGTATCTCAAAGAGGAGCTTGACAGAAAAGAAGCTTTGTGTGAAGGCTTGCTTTTTGATTTTAGGCTACTTCAGGAATCAGCATCAAATAAAAGAGATATCAAGAATGAAATGGATGAGCTGTTTGAAGCATTATGCAAAGTACAGCTAGAGCTGGAGCTGAAAGCAAGTCAAGTTCATGATCTTTATGTGCATAACAAGAATCTTGAAAATTTCTCCAACGATTTAAAAACAGCTTTGTTCACGTCAAAGTCCGATCTAGAACAGGCCAAAGAGAGGATACAAAATCTTGTGGAGCAGAATGATGAGTTAAGGGTCCTCGTTAGTGATCTATGTACGGAAAAGGTTGCAGCTGAGGAGGGGTTGGACGAACAAAAGGATCTTGTCAAAAGGTTGGAAAAAGAAATCCTTCACTTGACTACTACAGCAGAAAAGCAATTGCTCTCTGCAGTCAAGTCCATTGAAGAAAATTTGAAACATACCAGCGATGAGAAAGATCAACTTATTGAGGAAATATGTTCGTTAAATAATAAGCTTGAGTTGGCCTATGCTATAGCTGATGAAAAGGAGGCAATTGCTGTAGAGGCTCGTCAGGTATGTAGCTTGGAGCTTTTTGTTTCTAGATGAATTATTTGATCCTTAGCAAAATTGAATGGTTGACAAGAATTTAAACTTGTTTTCGTGTAGGAATCTGAAGCAAGTAAAATATATGCTGAACAAAAGGAAGAGGAGGTCAAGATTCTTGAAATTTCTGTTGAAGAACTTGAGCGAACAATAAATATATTAGAAAAACGGGTTAGGTTGCTTTGTTTGTCATTATATCTGAAAGGTATTGCATTAACTTTTATACTTACTTATATGTGAGCTATTTTGGCTTCCAGGTGTATGATATGGATGAGGAAGTTAAAAGACATCGTACCACCCAAGATTTGTTAGAGACAGAGCTCCAAGCTCTCAGACAGAGATTGTTTAGATTTGAAAACTTCACTGGTGTGGTAACAACCAATGAAAGCACAGAGGAATATAAGAGCCACATAAGGTCAGCCAACCTAATCGTACTCAAGATATTAGTTTCTCTCGTATATCTTTCTCGGAGAAGACTGAATTTGGTAAGAACAAATGTATTATAGGTCTACAGAGCTGCAAGGTGCGCATAGTCAGATACAAGTCATCCAGAAGGAAGTAGCAGAAAAAAACAAAGAGGTATGTTATATTATTGGAATACTCGGCTCAATTTCTCCATGAAACTTCCTGATATTTGCAAAAATGATTATTGTTTGTTTATTTACTTCTACCTTGTCTTTCCTCACTTACAGATTAAACAGCTAAAAGAGTATATCTCCGAGATTTTACTACATTCTGAGGCTCAGTCATCTGCTTATCAAGAGAAGGTATTAAATTTGTAGACTTTAGCAGTACTCGGCACTTAGTTTGATTGTTGAATAATTTAGCACCAGCAAACTACTAGTTTCCGTGCTACACATTTTGTGCATTTAGTGTCTCTGTTGGAGATATTTGATAGCAATGGTGTATTATTTCAATTAGAACCTCGAAGTGTTATTTTCCTTAATTTGTAACTAATATTGTTTCTTTGTTTCAAATCTCAATAGTATAAGACTTTGGAGGTCATGATTCGAGACTTCAAACTAGAGGACTCAAGTTCGGCAGCTGCAGAGACCGTATCACATAAAACTGATAAAAGCTCAATAAAGAGTAGAGGTTCAAGTTCACCCTTCAGATGTATAGTTGGGTTGGTACAACAGATGAAACTGGAGAAGGATCAGGAATTGACCATGGCAAGGGTTCGAGCTGAAGAATTGGAGTCATTGCTAGCTGTTAAACAGAAAGAGGTTCAGCCTACGTTCATTTGATTGTTCTTATATTGTGGAATCTGGAGTGCTCACAGATTTTTAAATGAACGTTGTCAGCAGATTAGTTTCTGTTCACCTTTATTCGATTTAGAGTGACAGTGAATATTTTCTTGCTGGAACAGGTTTGCACATTGAACACGAGGATAGCTGCAGCTGATAGCATGACTCATGATGTTATTCGGGATTTACTTGGTGTGAAATTGGACATAACCAGCTATGTTGTAAGTATCTCAGACTATATGCCATCTTCAGGAGACTTCATATGCACTTTTTCTAAATGTATCGGTTTCTTTGTTGGAATATTTCAGGACTTGATTGACCAGCACCACGTCCAAAGAGTGGTGGAAGAGGCTCAGCAACAGGCTAAAGAGATCTCGTCCAAGGTGATGATGCTATATCATATATGCTTAACGGCATCTACTTACTTCACTTGGTTTCCAATTTTGTTATTGATACTTTTTTGTCTCTTTCAAATTTAGGAGCAAGAAATCATCAACCTGAAGAGACATATTGATTCTCTTGTTAAGGAAAGAGAGAGGTTAGGCATATTCTACTGATACTAGAACTGTTCTCTTACGAGCCAAAGTGCTAATTTCTCTTGCGATGTTCCTGCATTTTTGTGGACAGCTGCATGTCAGAGTTGAACAAGAAAGATACAGATGTTCTTGCGACACAGATATCTTTGGACCAACTACAAGAGCGAGTTCAGTTGCTTTCTATGCAAAACGAAATGCTTAAAGTAAGCAAAAGTTGTTTCTACATATACTCTCACCACCAGCTCTATTTATTGGATGTGTTTTCTTTAACTCACTGACTTTCTATCTTCCGTTTGCAGAATGACAAGAGCAATTTGCTGAAGAAGTTAGCTGAACTTGATCGAGCAGTCCACGATGCACGGGCCAGTAACCATCGCGCTCCACAGAAAACAAAGGTACGTATAAGGGGCTGCCATAGTTTACTGCATGTGGCCAAAACCAAGAATAATTGCGAAGAACTCAACGGTTGATTCTAAGATTCTGAATTTCGTTTTATCAAACAGGAAACATTGTCATTTAAGCTTGCTGATACTGATTATACCAAGAGACTGGAAAACGCTCAGAAGCTTCTTTCCCATGCTAATAACGAATTGGCAAAGTATCGCAAAACGAGCACTAACCACTCATCTACAAGAACTCAAGGACAGAGCTCCAATACAAGATATCGGTAAAGAGTTTTTTTTCCAAAGCTTCTCTTCCCCTTGGCTTTGTTCTTGAGAGTATATATCGCACGAGTCAAACTCAAACCTATCAACCTAGTCCAGCAATCTGAACAACGCACAGGTTCTGCAATTGCGGCTAAGCAAATCAGATTGTAGAGTGTTTTATATGGCTTGATCGTTCACAAACAAGTCCCACTTCCAGTAGCTTGATGGAATTACGTTCTTGGGATGTTGTTTTCTATGGAACTTTAGTTTGTGTGTGTTAAATAGGAATTGTTGTGTATAAGAATCCATATAACATGTCGCTGCAATTGGCCTGTTTTTTGTATTTGTATGTTAATATTTCTATAAAGGAAGAGATTGCAAACGGTGATCCGATGTTCAGACCTAACATGAACTCAAGATATTAGTCCCATTTCTCATTGCTAATATAAAATTTAAAGTTTTGGTCCTCCTCTAATTACGGAGTAAACATGAACTCAAGATATTAATCGTCTTACTTTTGTAGTTTTGTTGTATTTTGTAGATAAATAGTAAATACAACAAAATGCTAAACAAAACATAAGACCTTAAAGGACAAAAATGGCACAATAAAGGTTCCCATGGCTTCATGCTGCGTCTGCCGCCTCCATCTTCAACGACTCATCCTGAGACAGTTTTCATTAAAAACAAAGACAGGTGATACTCAGACCGAGTTTGTAGATAATATTTATGATCAATGTGGAAGAGTGTGGGTTAATGATAAGAAATAAAACCAGATGCAAATGGTTATCCAGAAACAGAGAAACATCATCTTAGCTAAAAACCTATAGAAAGCATTGCAGGAGTCCAAACCAACCACACACCTTAATACAGACGTAGATGTAATGGACATCAGGGCTTTTGCCAATCGCAGATTCCACTGAACTTCCCTCATCATCTAGAGGAAGAGGTTTTGTCAGTTCCCATTTTGGGATTTCTAACGGTTGATCGGTTAAACTTTTGTCTGCAAAAAAATAAAACATGGAACTTTTGTTTCAAACCAAAACTATGTCCACAAACAGTACATGTAGCATATATCCAGATAGGAAGTACACGGTGGTTTCTGAGTTAAAGCTGACCTATAACATGGAGTTTCGTTGTCCAAGATGTTTCTTTAAACAGCTGAAGACGGTAATTGGGAGCTCCATATGTAATCTGCAGAGAACCGATTAAATATCAATGTGCATGCATACACAAAAAGGAAACACATAGTAATAAACCTCATATGAAGAGTTTACCAGGATATAGACTCCTTTATCCCTGAGGACCCTGAAGTTTTCATCAACTGCTTCATTATATGTGAAAGGATCAAGAAAGAAAACATACAAGGAGAAGAAGAAAGAAAAACAGAAACCAGTATATAATACCTCCAAACCTCCTCAAGCATTTGTCTTGAGTATTGCCTCGAATTGCTCCCACACTATACTTGACAAAAAAAAAAAGGATTAGACTTTTCGTGAGAAAATCATAACCAAGAGATAGCATACGCAAAGAAAAAGTAGTCTTGACTCACCAAAATGGAGTCTAAGGTTCCTGAAAACACAAAAAAAAAGTCCAAAAAATCTTATTAGATGAAAACAAAGTACAATGCACATAGGCTAATAATGGGATTCAAACATGTACCAAGAATACCTTTATCAATAACAGCATCAAAGGAAGCATCTTCAAATGCCTTCATATCACGCACATCCATCTTCAAATCTGTTTTCACATGATCGAAAATATAGAAGCTCATACTCAATCTAGTAATTAAGTGATTCAGGCAGACACAAATACATCAAAACTAAAATCAATTAGAACAATTCCTCTACTTATATCTCTACCCCAAAATGCAGCACTAAGCAGAAGAAATCAAAACCAAAAGAAACGTACATTTGAGCTGAGGACGATTAGAGTGTTTCTTAATCATGGAATCAATCACCACAGAGGAGATATCGATACTGACAACATCTTCGTACCCATCATCCACCATTCCTTCGCTGAACGCTGCATTACAAAACTAAAAATCAAAACGAATACAAAAACTGTGAAACCCAAAAAGAGTTTTCCTTTGTTTTTTTGTCTTGAGATACCTGAGTTTCCACAGCCAACGACGAGGACACGTTGATCACGGTGAGGGACATAGAGATTAATGAGAGGAGCTAAAGATGAATACTTCTGATACCAATCGAACGGTTCAGATTCATTGGTGTAACGATCATCCCAATACCATTTCTCGCTGTAAGATTGCGTCGGCACGTCTGTAGCCATCGCTTTCGTCTTCTCCGTCTCCCTCACTCACAAACCAATCGATTTCGTTTCACTCTCTGATCATAAGAAGGGGAAAGAGAGAAGAGAAACGGTCATAATCTGATACATGAGGGACCACGGTAGTGGTCAAAGACCTTCCTAACAAAGTCACGTGACGTGGCTTAAAGAAGCAACTTAACGGCCGGACCGGTTTCCCGGTTTGCTTTAATCCGTCGATTAAGATTAAAACCGGAATACAAACAATTTTTTTTTTTTTTGAAAAGAAACGCAAGAGTTTCTCGCACAGATGAAGAAGAGAAGACAATGGCGAAGAGATGGAAATGGTGTACAAGTCTCGTGCTTCATTGTAGTTTCGATGATCAAAAACCCAGATTATTCAGCTCTCTCGAGCAGGTTCTCGCCAAAAAACTTGGCTTGCTTATCTCCTTCTCGTGGCTTTGATTTCAATCTTACTGTGAAATTTGTTTTGCTGAAACAGTGTGGACTGTCGTGACTGATTTTATGTGTTCTGAATCGGATATATCCGATTGACGAAGATAAGCTATTGTAACATTTGGTCCTTGGTGGACCATTTGATCCTCGCTTAGGCCTCAATGAGAAATTTCATTACTTTGTCAAAAAAATGCTATGTGTATCTTCCTTTTGCTTCCATATCGTTTTTCTAAATGTAAGGGTACCAGAAACATATTTCCAGTTATACTTTTTTTCTTGTTTGGTTTTCAAAAGCAGAGAAATTGCTTGATCAGGACAGGAAGCTTGCTCAGTCTGGTTACACAATGTGTTGTGGTGTTTTTGATTGAAGAAATTTTATCTACATACTGAGTGACTTTCATTACATCTCGCTTGATTATTCGTTTTAACACCTTTAGTAATGTTTCCTCTCCATTGGTATATAATTGTATACTAAATGCTCAGAATCTTTGATTTTCAATGAGGAATCAAATTTTCAAGAAGTGATCCTTTTTCATGGTTTTCAAGTGATGCTTGTTGTCTCCCACCTCTTTACATGTTTTGCATTCCCTTTTAGAATCCCCTTGTCTAGGGGCTGCAGTATATGCTTTGCTAAGTTAATGTATATTCTTGCTTTTTGGTTCTGCAACCTCACAGGGAATAAATCTTCATGTATGGAAAAAGGTAAATCCTTTCAAGCAAAGTATAAAGGCTTGATTCTCAACACAAAAGATGCAGTCTTTTTCTTTCACGGATAAATAGAAGCTTAATACCTGTTAAAAGATTGATACTTACCCGCATATTCACTAGTTTTCTTCCTGGTTTCTGCATATCTTCTCATGGCCAGTTCCGGTGGTGATCATGATGGTATCATCTCTCTCTCCCTCTATTACTTTTAACTTTCCTATCTGATCAAACACACACCGACTTACCAGCGATGAATGATGGATGTATGCATATGAGTCCTAGATAGACCACATAATCATATCCATCATAGGAAACAAAGCGTGAGATTTGATATCTGATATCATCAATGGTCCCACTTATATTTATCCCATTGTTACACTGTAATTTATGAAAGCATGTTTGAGGGGTCATTTAAGGTTCCAAATAACTGTGATACTTAAACCTTTTGGATAATGGTGTTGCCCTGTTTTGTTAGAAAGAAAGTAATTAGATTCAGTTCCCTTTCACTTAAAGCTAAATGTACAGGTCAATTTGCACAAAGGTAACTTTAGTGAGAAATGCTTGCAGAAATTATAAAGTCTATATCTGATGCCCCGCCAACGCATTACATGGTCAAGATAGAGTCTTTCTCACTCCTTACAAAGCATGCTATAGAGAGATATGAAACTGAGAGCTTTGAAGCTGGAGGCTACAAATGGTATGGCATCATTATTACACAACTTTGTTCTTCTTTGTTTTAAAATTATTAACAAAACCCTTTTCTGATTGAGATTAGTAATCATTGCACGTGCTGGTATCTTAAACCCTTCTTATTGTTGGAAGTTGGAACCTGCCTCAATTATTCAGTGCTTTTTGTTGATGGTTCCTATTCTGCATTGCTTTATGGTGTGGTCGGTGGTTATGTTTTCGAAAACTTTCTTTTATTCAAAAGACACTTTTCAGTCTTCCTTTTCGCTCTCTGCATAGTGGACTAGTATAAAGTCTCTAGTCATGTTTTCAACTTATAAGTGGATCGTTTTCCCTGTGAAATCTGGAATTTTTTTTGTTTCTATTTTAGGCTGTTTAATCAAATAATGTCAATATAGTAAATTACTTTGCATTACTTTTTAACATGTCTTACAGAATAAATGGGTTTGCTTGCAGGAAACTTGTTCTGTACCCAAATGGAAATAAGAGCAAGAACACGAAAGATCATGTTTCTGTTTACTTGGCTCTTGCAGACTCTAGTTCATTAAGTCCAGGGTGGGAGGTTTGCGCTGTTTTCCGTCTGTATTTGCTGGATCAAAACAAAGATAGTTATTTGATCCTTCAAGGTAGATTTGTAACTTTTTCTTTCACTTCTTCAAGTTTGCATTGTTTCTCTAGTCCTTTTCCCACTCTTCATATGCATTTCGTGTTGCAGGAAAGGAGAGACGGTTTCATGCTGTCAAGCGTGAGTGGGGATTCGATAAATTCATCCCTACTGGTACCTTCGCTGATGCGTCAAACGGTTACCTCATCGAAGACACATGTATGTTTGGAGCTGATGTGTTTGTTTCTAAGGAGAGAAGAAGTGGGAGAGGAGAATGTTTTTCAATGATTAAAGATGCTACTAGCTCTAAGCACGTCTGGAAAATTGAGAATTTCTCCAAGTTAGACAAAGAAAGCTATGACTCAAATGCTTTCTTCGCTGGAGATAGAAAATGGTAACAACAAATTTGTCAACAATCCCCAAACCATAAATTACAAGCTAATAATAATTGTTCAAATGCAGGAAGATAAGGTTTTATCCAACTGGAACAAAGCAAGGAACAGGAACCCATCTTTCTATCTATCTAATCCTTGTAGATCCTGAAACCATTTCAGAAGGTACAAAGATTTTTGCAGAGTTTACAATACGAATATTTGATCAGTTACAAGGCAGGCACATAGCTGGGAAAGGTAAAACACCCACAAACTCATTTCTTGTTACTTGTTATATAGATATGAGTCCGTTCACTTCTTGATATGTACTTTGTATCTGTTTTGCAGTTAGTAAATGGTTTACCCGATCAAGCTCAGAGAACGGATGGGTTAAATATGTATCAATGGTCTATTTCACGCAGCCAAACAGTGGTCTTTTGCTCAAAGATGTCTGTCTTGTTGAAGCTGATGTATGCATTCTCGGAATCACCAGTGCACTTTAATCTTGTCATGGTTGATATCAAAAGTCACATTTGTGAATTCTATATTAGTTCGACTTTTAATATGTCTGTTTTGTACTTTACGCCAAATTTACAAATTACACCAAAATCAGAGGCGTACATTCTTTGAGGACATACCCACCTCACTCTTCTGCAGATCCACTAGCATTGCCACTGCCTTTTGTAGTTCCTTCTTACTGCATAAATCGGGCAGAATATCGCGGAAAGTTATGGAACTAGAATGCATCCCATTAGAAACCATCTCCTGGAAAATGTCTAAGGCAGTTTTAAAATCACCCACTTGACGAAAACCATAAACCAAAGTGGTGTAAGTAATTATATTAGCAACTATTCCTCTTTGATACATCTCGCAGAAAAGATCCATCCCATCATCAACCCTTCTTGCTTTGCAGTAGCCATTAATGAGTGTATTATAAGTCGAACAGCTCTTGCTATCCATGGAATCAAACACCTTCCTAGCCTCAGCTAGGTTGTTCTGCTTGCAGAGTCCATGGATCATTGAGATATAGGTGATAGTATCGGGGACTATACCTCTACTGAGCATCTCTGCATATAATTTTTCAGCCCTCCAAAACGTGCTGAATCTGATCATCATATTATAAGTTTTAACATCAGGCTGCAAACCACTGAGGAGGAGATCAGTGAATAGATTCCATGCTTCCTCCAACTTACCCGCTTTGCACATTCCATGGATGATGATGTTATAAACACCAGTATCCATATCCATATTTCTCTCCCTCATGACCTTAAACATTTTCAAAGCCTTTTCTAGTTTCCCATTACCGCAGAGGCCACGCACCAAAATGGCACAAGTTATGCTATCAGGGGACACACCATGAGAAATCATCTCGTTGAAAAGGCTATGGTCAGCATTAAGCTCTCCCATTTGGCAGAACCCGTGAATAAGAGTGTTGTAAGATACAGTATCAGCAACTAATCCTCTTCTTGACATCTCACGGAGAAGTGCCACTCCATCCTCTACCCTCTTATCCCTACAGAAACCATCTATAAGAGTATTGAAAGTGACTACGTTTGGAGAGCATCCCTTGGTAGCCCATCAGCTCAAAAGTGCGTTTTGCATCATCCAGACGAATTGTCAGTATGTCTCGTTGAAGCTGATGTGTGTGTTTATGGAATCACACTAGTGCACTCTGATCTCATCATCTTCTGGTTTCTTCTGTCCCTGATTTCACAAATTGCACTATTTTCTTGCCTCTCTGTTTAAAGATTGGTCAAATAATGTTGTCCAATTCTTTTAAAACTCAAAACTTAAAAAGCCAAAATCTTTGAGATTGATAATGCAAACATATAATAATGATATTGAATATTCTTCTTAATATAATTTTCTTCTTAAAAGAAGCAAGAAATACAAATTATGAATTTAACTTTCTTATCGCAACAGTACCATATAAATAATTATATAAATTTCCCAATTGCTTAGCTTTTTTCCTCCAAAGTTGAAAAAAAAATCTGAATAAACCCATCTCAGAGTTGATTGAAACTAAAAAGCCAGAAAGAGTCTAAAATACAGGAGAACGAGACCCAATTCTGGACAGAACAGAGAAGCTAAAACCTGAGACTGGTTCAGGTTTCAAGCTTGGACCTTGTTAGACTTGAGTGGCTTCACTACCTCCCAGGTGAAATCAGCATCATCCCTTCCAAAGTGGCCATAAGCAGCAGTCTTCAAGAACCTACCATTACCTCCTCTCTTCAAATCCAAGTTAATCGAGATCATACCTGGCCTGAAATCAAAACTCTCCTTAACAATCTCAAGAATCTCCTTGTCTGGTATCTTCCCTGTTCCATAACTGTCCACGAACACAGACAATGGCTCAGGGACACCAATGGCGTATGAGACTTGCACAATGCACCGCCTTGCTAGTCCACTAGCAACAATGCTCTTAGCTGCTTGCCTAACGATGTAAGCTCCACTCCTGTCAACCTTGGTTGGGTCCTTTCCGGAGAAAGCACCACCTCCGTGTGCACCCCATCCACCGTAGGTGTCGATGATGATCTTACGGCCGGTAAGCCCTGCATCTCCATGAGGACCTCCAATCACAAAACGACCAGATGGGTTGAGATGGAAGATGGTCTTCTCATCAAGGTACTTCTCTGGGATCACAGGCTTGATCACGTGCTCCTTGAGATCAGCTGCGATCTCATCGTTAGTCACAGTCTCATCGTGCTGTGTTGAGATGAGAACAGTGTGGACACGTACAGGGACCATAGCTCCGTTTTCGTTCAAGTACTCAATAGTGACTTGAGTCTTACCGTCCGGCCTCAACCAGGGGCAAGTTCCATTCTTGCGAACTTCAGTGAGCTTAGCTCCGAGCTTAGTGGCGAGAACGTGAGTAAGAGGCATGAGCTCAGGAGTCTCATCAGTAGCGTACCCAAACATATGACCTTGGTCACCAGCTCCAACCTCCTCTGGTTTCTTGGTGAGATGACCATGAACACCTTGTGCAATATCAGGACTCTGTTGCTCGATGTTGACAAGAACCTTGCAGTTGTCAGCATCTAGACCAACATCGGCAGATACGAAACCGATCTCACGGCACGTTTTACGGACAATCTGCTCGTAGTCAACGTTAGCCTTGGTGGTGATTTCTCCAAAAACCATGACCATGTTAGTCTTGGTACAGGTCTCGCAAGCAACTTTGCTCTCAGGGTCTTGTTCAAGGCAAGCATCGAGGATAGCGTCGGAGATCTGATCACAAAGCTTGTCGGGATGTCCCTCGTTGACGGATTCAGAGGTGAACAAAAAAGATTCCATTTTTCCGATCCGATTCAACAAAGAAACCTAACAAAGCAGAGAAGATGAACAAGATCAATGAGAAAAGTATAAACACATAAGAAGAATCTTCGATCAAAAATATAGATTCAATAACCAGATCTATAAAATCAACACTTGGTTCAAACTCAATTCGAATCATCACTTCAAACAAAAATGATTACTTTGTTCAAATTCTACAGAAATGCAGAGTTCTGAGAACGTAAGAATCGAAGCATAGATAATAACATACCTTGAAAGGTGAATGAGAGAAGAGTTGAGCTAAAGAAGTGTGGGTAGAGTACAAAGGTGAAGGAAGAGCGCAGAAGCATTATATATACAAAGCTCACGAGGGGGTGGTGTAAGATCGTAATTTCGTCCAGATTCATTCCTAGTTTCATCAGACTTGTGTTCAGACAATGAGATCTAGATATCTGACGGTTCATAATAGATCTATAAATGTAAGATGGTTTCAGCCGTTGGATTTGCTTCACTGGACCACCGCGTGCGAGTACAACTAGACACAAGCATCTAAATGGAGATCGAGAATCACAATTATTATAATCACTGTCGTTATCGATAATCTAATTAATGCGACAAATCATCTCTACTTAGTAGTAATAGTAGGTGTAGATATTTTTTCTTGAGTATTGTAAAATCTAAATTTAACGAGTTAATGATAATTAGTAAATATCGTAGATCATGGAGTAGAAGTTGTGTCATTAGACAATGGTTTTGTGTTGTGTCGGTGAGTGAGAACGGGGGGAACGTGATTTACCGGGGAACCGGAGGGGGCGGTTGCAAGTGAAATAGAGATTACACATACACAGACACAGGCTGTTGCTTTACTCTTTTATTGAAGGGTCCACTGGCCACCGGTAAATTGACAACATAGAATTCTTCTTTTTCTTTTTTTTTTGCTTTTCAGTAGTGAGTGTCGGCTAGCTTGGTTGTCAAAATAAGAGTCATGGTGGATATATCTGATCTAGTCCGATCTGAAAAGGCAAAGAAAATAGTCTACTGCACAGCCACTCTGCGAAGATCTTGTCCGGTTTGGAGTATGCTAGATTGAGTTATTGGGCTTTTAAATGGGTCTAAATTAACGAAATACACTTAAAAAAATTAAGCCCATCTATGACGCAGTTGTTAAGTTATACAGGTATAATTGGGACTTTAGGAAAACAGAATCGGAAAAAGTATTCCAAGGTCGTATCAACTGAACTATAAACTGTGACGGTAAACTTATTAGCATAGAAGATTCCAATCGAGCCGATATATCTAAGGTATATCACTGCGACGGTTTAGTCTTATGCATCACTAAAGATTTCACTAGGATCGTTGTTGGGAATCCATATTTGGGACAGACCTTGTGGCTCGAGCCCATATGTACTTGTCGCCATAAACCCAAGTCGTATAGGTAGGTATGCTATTGGATACAAGAATAGCAAATCATGCCGCAGCTACAAAATTTTGAGATTTGCTGACTCTATCTCTAAGAGTTTTGTCGTGTACCAACTCTACGATTTAAACTCTAATTCATGGAGTGTTTTTGATGTCCCTTCCGACTGGTATACACAGGATGATGCACGTGGCGTGTCTGTCAAAGGAAATACTTATTGGTCTGCTAAAGAAAAGTATCTATCAATGGGAGAGATGGCTCATTTCTTGATCTGTTTTGATTTCACAAGAGGGAAGTTTGGACGGCGTCTTCCTCTGCCGTTTCAGTTTGACCGTATAGGAGGGACTGTGACTCTTTCGAGCAACTTGCTGTCTTGTTTCAGCATTGGGATGAAGACTTAGAGATTTGGGTTACGGTTAAGATTGAACCTGGAACGGTGTCGTGGAACAAGGTGTTCTTAAGAGTTGATACGTAACCACTCACTGGTTTTCAGTTTGGAGTTACAGCAGCAGGGAGTTTTTTTATTCACCAAGAGAATAAGTTGGCTGTGCTTTTTAATAAAGGTAAATACCACAAGGTGAAGACTCCCCGTCGCAACACAGCTTATATCATTGGAGAGGATGGATATTTCAGAAAATTGGATCTCGGCGAAGAAACTTCAGAAATTCATGATTGTCCACTTGACTGCTCATATGTTCCAAGCTCAGTGCAGATCAAGCAAAGAGGCAAAAAGAAAAAGAAAAAAAAAAAGAGCGAAGAAAAGGGGGGAACTTGATTACTAGTTAGTCCTTTTACAGTAGAACCGTAACATTTATGTGTTGTTTTGATAATTATTTGAACACAATTTTGTCAATCTTTTTAGAAAAGCAAGAGAGAATGGGAAAAAAGAAAACACACATAAAAGTAAATGAAGTTCTTGGTGGCATCGTAGACACCAAGGTGGAAACAGAGGTGAGATAAGACACGAAAGCTTCAAGGTGGTTTGGTTGACATGTAGACGCGACGACCAAATATAAATTTATCACACGATCATCACCCTTTCAAGGTCAAAAGATGCTCGCTTTACATCTTGACCTCCAACATTTTACAACTAAATTATGTTCCATTATTCCATACGAATCATATACTACTATAAACATTTATCTTTTCTTTTCTATTCAATACCAGCCGTCTATTTTGGTTTTCTTACATGCTAAAAATATTCAATCGTAACCCCAAAAAAAAAAGAAAAAAAGAACTAGTATGTGAAAAAGTCAAATGTTTATGTATTTGTATAAGAAAGGGTTGGAAGAATTAAAAATGTGATGAAATGGGTTTGATTAAATTAGTTGATAAAGACTATTGACCAGAAAACACGAGGAAGTGAGTAGAAGAAATAAAAAGACAAGTTGGATGATATGATAGGCCTGTAGGCGTACGGGAAGAAAGAGAATACAAGTAGCTATCGTGCGCCAGCGCGCACCCTATAAATCCATTTTACTGTAAAATTCCGCCGGGAAGAAAAGTCCTCCCCTTCTCCTTCTTCTTCTTCTTCCACCAACCCTACACACACCCACGAACCGAACAACAACAACAACAACAACAAAAGAGATACTCGAAGAAGAAACCCTCAAAATCCTTCTTCCATCATCTGAGTTTCTCTTAATTTTTTTGTTTTTTTTTGCTTTTGGTATAAAAAGAGGTAATTAATTTGCTATCTTCTTCTTTGTAACTCTCTGGCATATGAAGTTTCCATTTTAGGGATGTCCGTACTCCGTACATAGTTTAATCGGAGAATTGTTGTTACTAGTGTTCGATTTCATGCCGATTCGGATGATGTTAACGGATTTTTCGGTGCTTATATCATAGTTATTTCCATTTTACGGGTTACGATCGTTGACTTGTGATAGTGTCTAGGTCACCAAGGGTGTTAAAGGTTTTTGATCGAATTTTGCCGTATATTAACCATTTCACTTTTTAATTTTGTTTTCGTGAATGAAATCTGTTTTCGTTGATCAATTTCGATGATACTGTGTCTCTCTGTTTGCTGCTTAAACCCTATCATTTTGAAAGTTTTTTTTCTTTTGTTTTGGACAAGGTTGTGTCTGAACATTTCTATATTTGTATGTACACTCCATAACAATGGCTATTTTTGTTTTTGCACTTGCTATTTATTGTTCTGTAACACTAATAAAGAGTTTTGCATACCTCTTTTGTTGATGTTTTGTGTTGTTGTTTATGAATGTACTGACAACAGTTACGTGTGAGAGAAAAGCGTAATGAGCTGCTTTGGTTGTTGTGGTGGTGAGGATTTTCGTAGAGTTGCTGAGACCGGACCAAAGCCAGTGCACAACGCAGGAGGTTGCTTAATTTCCCGTGTATCAGTTTCTCTCTTTTTATTGCTCATCCTTTTTGGCGGCTATGTTAATAAACTTTGTTAACTGTGGTTTTAAGGTTACAATGGAGGTCATCACCAAAGGGCTGATCCACCAAAGAACCCGCCAGTCATTCAGATGCAGCCTATTGCTGTGCAGCCCATTCCTGCTGATGAATTGAAGGATATAACCGATAACTATGGTTCAAAGTCCTTGATTGGTGAGGGTTCATATGGAAGAGTGTTTTATGGTGTTCTTAAATGCGGTATGGCAGCTGCCATTAAGAAACTGGATTCTAGTAAGCAACCGGATCAAGAATTTCTTGCCCAGGTAGATGCTATAGAATAGTTTACCATTGCAGTCTTTTTGGGCCTTCGTCTCACATATATATTTCCTCATTGAATTGTTTTGCTGTTGGTTGGATACTCATCCTAGACCGTATATTTGCTATGCTCTAGCGCAGAGTCACTTTTTGGGGGTTAGGCTTTCAGTTTGGTTGCTTTGTTACTCACATTTAAAACACAAAATTAACAGGTATCAATGGTATCGAGATTGCGACAAGACAATGTTGTTGCGCTTCTTGGCTATTGCGTTGATGGTCCACTCCGTGTTCTTGCTTATGAATATGCTCCTAATGGATCTCTTCATGACATTCTTCATGGTAAGTTACTAATGTAAACTATTATTCCAGTAAGACTGGGACATGTGAAAACTATGATCAAAGGAAGATGCACACCATTTTCTGAAAGAAAAACTAATGAAATATGGTGAATTCATTTGGTGCAGGTCGAAAAGGTGTTAAAGGAGCACAGCCAGGTCCTGTTCTGTCGTGGCATCAGAGAGTCAAAATTGCTGTTGGTGCGGCTAGAGGACTCGAGTACTTGCATGAGAAGGCAAATCCTCATGTTATCCACCGAGACATCAAATCCAGCAATGTACTTCTGTTCGACGATGATGTTGCCAAGATTGCTGATTTTGATCTGTCCAACCAAGCCCCTGACATGGCTGCGCGCCTTCACTCAACCCGTGTGCTCGGAACCTTTGGCTATCACGCTCCAGAGTAAGACCCTTTAGATGCTTCATTTATCTTGAACAGTGAGTGATAATTGATTTGTTTTATTCAGACTAATCCATGTGGGTACATTAAACTCGTGTTTGGAAACTTTTGTTATCAGTATCTTATGTTTAAGGCTCGAAATCCTTGGCATGGACAAATCTCTTTAATCATCTTCTCATGGCTATACACTATTGACATATTCTCTCATTGACCCAATTAGTGTCTTAAACATTTCTCGTGGTTCTGCAATGTAGGTATGCAATGACGGGGACATTGAGCACAAAGAGTGATGTCTACAGTTTTGGGGTTGTTCTGCTGGAGCTCCTCACAGGTCGTAAGCCAGTTGATCATACCTTACCGCGTGGACAGCAGAGTCTCGTGACGTGGGTAATATATCCTTCTCTGCCTCTTATATTCTGTTTTGCTCATATTGATAAGAAATGACCAATAAAGCATCTAATAACTGAACAACACACACCTACATAAATCGTTTATTTGGGGTAGTCATTCTTTTCGAGAAAGAAATTTCCTAAATTATAATATCGAGTAAATAAAAAACGGTACCAATTTCCGACCAAAAAAAAAAAAAAAAAACGGTACCAATTTCTGTTTCTTTTTTTGGAAAGGAATTTTTCTGGATTAAGGTGGGTTTCTGTGAGTGAACAATTTTTAAGCAAAATCTGCTTTGCTTGCGAGATATTTAGATATAGAAACTAAAACTGGTACCCAGTCATAAAAACGTTTGTGTGTCTCAGGCAACGCCTAAACTGAGTGAAGACAAGGTGAAGCAATGTGTTGATGCAAGACTAAATGGAGAATATCCTCCCAAAGCTGTTGCCAAGGTAATTTCCCCCATAACCTTGTTATACTTATCACTGTTGCAGTAGAAAAGGTATACTAGGATATGACTAAGAAACTGTTTGTTGGTGTGTTCCATGTTATAGGCCTAGAATGAGATACAAAATGTCTTTTTTCTGACACTAGAACTATAGTGGTAAAACCCAAAACCAGGATATGATTTTCGAGTCTGATTTTGGTTTTCTCTTATGAAATTGTGTGATCAGCTGGCTGCGGTAGCTGCGCTGTGTGTGCAATACGAGGCAGACTTTAGGCCAAACATGAGCATAGTGGTGAAGGCTCTTCAGCCTCTGCTCAATCCTCCTCGCTCTGCTCCTCAGACTCCGCACAGGAACCCGTACTGATATGCTCCAATCTGAGTTTACCCCTTATGATCACTATTTCATTTGTTTTTGTTTGAATCCTATTTGTGTAAATTTGTGAAATAGGCTTTTTTTTTATTTCTCTCATAAAACCATGCCACTTCACTGAAAAAAAATCTCACTTGGAAAGACCTGAAACGTTGCTCTATTTTTATATTATTTCATGCCTGTGCGGTAATGTAAGTTTCTACTAATTTTACAATATGCGAAGAAGAAGATATACCAACACTCTTTTTGTGCTGTCTGTCTGTACATCATTTTCCTATTTCTAGACATTATTTAGTAACTACAGGAATAACTTTAATTCAGTTCATCTTCTGAAATTGCTTAATTGATTTCTTCTTTTATAAACCAAAAGAAAATGCAGAATTGGAATCACATATTTGTAATAATGTGAAACTCCTTTGTACAAGCAGAGCTGGCTTGTAGCCAAGGCCTGCTCTGCTCAAAAAAAAGCTAAACTATATTTCATAGCTATCCGATCTTGAATGCATCTTATCACTATTGAAACTATTGGGAAATAATTTTTGAAGCTCCCAATAAAAGTCACCTGGTAAATATATATCTGTAACTGACTCTGTTTGAAGGTAATAAAAATACAACAAAGCTATACAAGAGCTCTCATGTCTGTTAACTGACTCGGTATGAATGGTAATTAAAATGCAACAAAGCTATACAAGAACTCTCTTCTCCAGACAAAAGAAACAAATCTTCTTCTCTGTATATATATATATATCATAATTAACCCATAGAAACAGTAAAGAATCTAAACAATCACCCAAAGAATCTAAAAGTTTTCCTCTTTTTAACCCTAAAGTCATAAAAAGGGTCCATTGTTTCTGTTTCTTGCTCAAACCTTTGCATCTGTTATTGTATCATTATCTTTATTCGTGTCTGTGCTTTCTCTATGCATCTCTGCGTTCTGATTTCTCCTTCGTCTCCGTTCCTGAGACAAAACATTCATCAAAACCAATTATGAACACTCTAGTCTCCACACAAGGACTATCAGTTTTGTTTCTACATTGTTTGTCACTGTGATTACCTCTCTAGGCATCACAGGGTATTCATCTGATTCAAGCATTCGAGCCACCTGACTCATCTTTGGCCTCTTGTCTGCATCAGGATCAACACATCTCAAAGCTGTCAACAGTGCTCGTTTAAGCTCACTGGTTGATGGTTTGACCTCAAGCTCTTTATCCACTACGTCCTCAAACTGTTTCTGTTGAACCATTAGCTTTAACCACTCCACCATATGCACCTACAAAAAACAGATTTCGATAATAAGGATCAACCTTTGATTTATCAAGTTGAGTATTCCACAATCTAAAGAATAGATGAATGTTTGAATACCTCTTCTTTAGGCCGCGCATAATCCACGGGATACCTTCCAGTAATAGCTTCTAAGAGAACAACACCATAGCTGTACACGTCGCTCCTCTCATTTAGGAGACCAGAGTTAGCGTATTCAGGAGCGACATACCTGAACATTCATCAGTGGAACAGAGAAAAATGTCTCAAGAACCAAATGCAGATTATGAAAGAGTAAAGTTGTAACTACAGCCACAGTATATGACTAACCCGAATGTACCCATAACTCGAGTACTGACGTAACTTGAATCAGCTCCAAGCAGTTTGGCAAGACCAAAATCAGATAACTTTGCGTCAAAGTTGCCATCCATCAGTATATTGCTCGATTTTATGTCTCTATGCACCACTTTAGGCTCAATAGCTTCATGAAGATAAGCCAGCCTGTGTAAATAAATGTAATCCACATATTCTCATGAGATTGCATTACCAGGAAAAAAAAAAAAAAAAAAAAAAAACAAGAAACTAGAATCATGGAGTCGTATGAGGGGGGAGCTTACGCTTTTGCAGTGCCTACAAGAACTTTGATCCGAGCCTCCCAAGTGAGATGGCCTTTGTGACTCATGTCTCCATGAAGCCATTGCTCTAAGTTGCCATTGTTCATGTACTCATAAACCAGCATCCTATGTGTTCCTTCAACGCAATATCCAAGAAGCCGAACTAAGTTCTTATGCCGGACATGTCCTATAGCTTCCACCTCAACTCTGAAATCTTTATCGGCTTGCCCTCTAAATGTAAGAAAAAAACATACAGTTACATCTAAGAGATGAGTATTGAAAAGACAAAAGAAAAGTATTATTAGGAAATCTTACGGATTGTTAAGCAACTTTTTGACAGCCACAGGGGTTTTGTTAGTCAGAGTTCCATGGTAAACAACTCCGTAACCACCATCGCCAATGATGTTCTCCTTGTGGAAATGGTTAGTCGCGAGTTGAAGGTCACGGAGAGTGAACCAATGGCCCCAACCAATGTGAGAAACCTCAGGAAGACCCAAGAGAGGTGAAGGAGCTGTTGTTGAAGGAGTACTAGGAGACAAATGTGACACAACCGCTGTTTTTTTCTCCAAAGAACCAGAGAACTTATCGCCATTCTCGATGTCCTCACCGAATTTCTCATCAAGAGTTTGGTGAGAATTACCATTGTTGTTAGATGAAACATGATCAACACTTATTTCTTTGATATCTTCAGCAAAGCGAGGGCTTTGAGTAACAGGTAGCGACGTGGCATTTGATCTCTTGGTTTTTTTGCGGAAACTGAGCCATACTGAAATGGCGAGGATCACTATGAATGCTGCAAACAGAGCAATCACTATGATCTCCCACAGTTGAAGAGCGCCGTATCTCTTGGTTAGAGATTGTTTCAGCTGAGATGTCATGTTTTCAAAGAGCTGAGCTGAGATGTATATATGTACCTGAAGAATGTAAATGGTTTAACAATGTAATCAACTTTGAATGCTTACCGAACAATGAATCTAAACTAAAACATAACAGATCAGGGGAAAGAGGAAGAAACAGAAGTTAAAGGTGGTGCTCAAGTCAATCCTAACAGAAGCATAGAAAAATTGTAATACAAATGAAGAAGATCAACAAGGGGTTTAGCCGTTTAGGCTAATCAAAATCCAAAATCTTTCAGCTTTGTCACAAAAGGAACTACAGGCAAGAGAATCAAACAGAGCAGAGTATATAAAGAAATTAAATATCAAGTAAACAAAAGGTTTTTGTGCTATATTTTTTTAATCAAACTGTAGAAACCATTCCAATTCCAGAAAGAAGATCTCGTTGGACTGTATGAGTAATTTATAACTGTGAGAAGCCAAAAAGTCAAAAAAAACCCAGAAAGGAAGAAACTTTTAAGCTTCCAACGCAAACCAACAAGACAAAAAGATCAAACCTTTGAAACTAGAGTGAAACAAAAATATCAAATGGTTTGAAAATAAACACAATACCTGCTATTCGAACAAATCTCCAATGTTTTTTCTTTCTATTTCCGGTGAGAAGATGGAGGAGACTAGAGCTCAGGCTAATAAATGGAACCCATAAAACAAAACTAGAACAAAAATAAAAGAAAACTAGTGAGAGATCATAAATCCATTTTCAGAAATCTTGAGAGAGATCTTTGTGGGGAAGAAAAGAGGAGGGAAATAGAGAAGCTAAGTTTTGAAGCTTTCTTTGATGTTTCTTCTTCTGGAATCTCTTTTTTTTTTTATGCCTTGTCCTTGTGTGCTGTTTTTGCTTTTTTTTTTTATATTTTCTTCTTCCTTTTTCTCGTTTTATTAGTCTTTTTCTCTAAATTATTAATCAAAATTTTATTTTATTATTGTGTTACAGATTTTATGAATCATTTTTCGGCCAATTAGTTTATTCCATTTAATATTTTTTAACAAAACTTTTATTTCTAAAATAATAGAGGTTTTTCTTCTTCTTTTTTTCTTGGTGAAATCTTTTCTCATACTTTTGTTAAAGGAGGTTTCTCTCTATTAACCCCTTTATTATCGCATAGTTTTGCTAATTTTCAAAAAGTGAGCCCACTAATATTAATTACATCGATTTCAATTTTTTTGATTGAAATTTTAACATATCACTCAAAAGTTTACGTCTACTTAAACAAAAAGAAAGGTTAAATATATATATTATGCATATGTAATGTACACTTTAGTTGTTGAGAAAGAAGAAACAAAAAAACGATGGAGGATATGATCATATATATGATATGATGATAGGAGGATGACGAAGCTATAGACCGTGATTGGCGTGGCCACGACTGTTTTCAAAGCAAGTGTTTACATTACATTTCACCCGTTTTTAAAAAATATCTAAAAAATAATTAAAGTCTTGTAAAAAATGTGTTGCTATGAATCATAGAGTTTAAATGACAATTTTTGGTCAACATTATTAAATTAGACGTCGCACCTAACTCTTTTAAGGTAATAAATTTGATTTAATTAGTATACTTTTATTATAACCAGCTTTCTCGTTTGATTCTTCTACTCCCACTACGCATTTTTATTGATTTATTTATCAAGTTAAGTAAGTACATTGGTTTTTTTTTTCTAGGATTATTAAACAAAAGGAAACGAAACGAGCGGCTTTAAAATCAGAACCGTGGATTTTTTTATTTTTTTTATTCGTTGGAAAAATATAAGAAGAAGAAGACATTATCATTTTCAAACTAATAATTTAAAAAATAAATATTTATATAAGTAGATGCGTACGTGGTAGGGGTCCATTATATATCGTGTAGAACTTAATTTATTAGTCGTGTAAGTAACATATTAATACTAATTGAGTTTATATGCCATGCAATTGAAACTATTTAACCAAAGAGGAAGATGTATCTGATATTAATTGAAATGTTTCGGAAATAGTTACTTTGACGGCGTGTAAGAAAATGTATCATATAGTAGTATATATAACTAGTCAATGTGTCATGTAGATATATAGTTTTTGACAAAACAAAACAAAAAATAGTTAAAACTTGTAATACATTTTACAGGAGAATATGAGGTCTTCACTTAGAATGTCAACTAGTTTTTTTTTTAAAATATATTATTTTGTTTGGAATTTACGTAATCAACTTATATCATGCAAGTTTGTAGTCGTTATTATTTACACTTTGGGAATTATGTCAATTTTAGATACTAATATAAATACATGTGAATACAACATAAATATAAGTCAAGTACAATATACGAAGATAAGGAAATTAAAAGTAACTAATTACAAATGCACTTTTGAATAAAGACACTAACTTACAAACATAAAATATCAAAAGAAATAAAAGTTATATGATAAAAAATTTTAAAAAAAGAAAGCAGTAATAATAATGTTGCCTTTGCGTGAGCTTGACAAAAGTCAATATGAGAGACGACGACATTACCTTCTTCTTCATCATATTCATCATCATTTCCCACAGCTCGACAGATGATTCTCTATCTCTTTCTCTTCATGTTTTTTTGTTTTCCTTTTATTATTATCTTATAGACCATTATTTTGTTTCTTTCCTTTACACGATTCTTTTTTCAACATTTTACAAATATAACATAACAATTTTCATATATTCTATTTCATACACATTTGACTTTCGTAATCTTTTTCTATATATGTATGATAGTAGTTGATTTGATATAAATTTTTATAGTGTACAGTTGTTCGTTTAAGACAGTTTAAAGACTATTCTAACTCCATTTTATAGAAAAAGAAAACGTTTAACGACAACATTGAATCAGTTAGAAGACAGCCACTATAATTACATTTGTTTAATCAACGCATGCATATAACTACGCTTATATATACCGTTTTCTAAAACATGTACTTTTGATGATGTTGTTAAATTGTTATATCGAAAAACCTCTACAAGTTATAAAACACCAAGAGAAATAAGAGTAGGGAATTAAACCTTTTTCATTTAAATATGTTAAATATTTTTTACGATTTGTGTTATGGTATTTAATGGTGCCAAAGCTGGGAATTAAAAGTGTTCAAAATATGTATGTTAAGATACATACACCTAATTCATGTACATACACGACGACGGCTGATGATACTTGGAATTATTGTATTTTAACTTAAACAAGAAGCTGATTGGTTGTAGGTGTTGAGACGTACGTATATATATATATAGAACAATAATTTAGACAACGCGTAGAGAAAACAATTGCATGATTAGTGTCCGCCTCCAAAAGCTAACCAACAATGTCGTTTATACTCTATATTGTATTAGTTGTTGTTCGTATTTTATATATGATTTTAATAAATTACTTGTTTCTTTATCTTTTCTTTTTAGACTTTTGTTTTTATTATCTGGTTTTTTATTTTTCTTCGCTTTCGTCGCTGTCTTGTTATTTTGTTATTGTTTGTCTTGCAGTTGTTGGGTTTACATCAACCTGTCCTACACTTATAAGCCTATAAGATTAAGATAGTCCAAATTAAATTAATATATTAGAGGGTCTTAAGAACGATTTGGTTTTATAACAAGGATTCTTCCAGTGGGTTGTTTGTTTAAGCTCTATTTTTGTCTCTTAACTATATTACATGCATGCATCCAAATCACAACAACAATATTGTCGGAAGTTTGTTCGAGAAAAAAATATTACAAGTTTCATAAATTAGATAGTGCGGCCATTGTGGATAGAATTTGAGCTTCTTTGGAAAAATGATCTACTTTTAAAAAGTAGAGCTACAATTCATATAGTTTCCTAAGAAGCTCATATAGTTTAGGGTTTATGTTGGCTTTTAGTGTACTTGATTAATTTCTTTGCTTTACTTTGGTTATTTTTGGGTTCGACACCTATGGTCTCGTTCTCATTATTCTCATACATCCAAACCTTATAAAGAAAGGAAAAAAACATTTCCTCCAAGTCTCCTACTCTCTGCATGCTTCTCGTTATGAACTGAAAAATATAAAATGGTATCCGAGTCATGCATGCTTTGGACTTGTAAGGATAATAAGAGAGCAAGAAATTTTTATATGAAAAGGTCTCCTACGTTAAGCTTGGAGGATGTAGAAGGCAGAGAGAGATTACATTGAAAGAGTGTATAAATTAATCAAAACAACAAAAACTAAAGCATGTAGAGATCATCAAGTCAGGATTCTTGCACATCGATATCTTAAAGGAGTGTTATCAGAGAGAGTAATACAATAATATCTCTGGTTTATGTTGGTTAAGTGTAGTTAGGTGGCTTCTACATATGCTTTGGTTTGGTTCGTTATGTCGATCGATGTCGTTGTATTACAACTTTTTGTTTTCTACAATTAATGTTAACAAAAGAAAAACTAGTTGACACTAATTTTGATTACGGCTACATGTACAAAACCTGAAAATTAACAAGTTGATTTATATGTAATTTTTTTTAATTAAAGGAAAATGAGTTGACAACAAATCAACAATATGTGACTACCGACACGAATTGGTTAGTAATAATACAATTAATAAGAAAGAAAGTAGAATACGACCTTCAATTAAAAAATTGGTTAGTATATCACATTCACTTGGTTATCCTTAATTAAATATAATAAAACTCCCAAACCCTCACGTTTTAAAACGTAATATTATATTCACGATTTAGACCTTAAATCTAGCATATTCAAAAGACGTAACAATATCAACAAAACTACACACATTATCGCATTACACAAACGGGCCTTGCATAAAGTCTCTTGACCCAAACAGAAGGTGTAAATTAGGCCCATTAAACTCAAACCTTCAAGTACTCTTCGCAGGTCTTCTCCACATATGAGAGATGGAACCGTAGCCGTTTGATTCAAATTCTGCTGATTAGCCTATTCATCTTCACCGTCCCCTTTTTTAATTTATTTTATACTCGACTTTTGTTTTTAATTCTGACGAAAATATAATAATTTAATTTCAAGTTTCAATCCTCTTCTTCAACTATACCACTGTAGCTCTCTCACAAACTTCCATTAATAAACCTTCTTCTCTGTATCGTTTGATTCTCATTAAAATCTCTCTCGAATTCGTAGTTTTGTTTGAGCTATCATTCAGATTCTGCTCAGAGTTGGTGATTCTGTTTAATCAGATATTGTATTCTCTTTGATCTATCGCCCCTAGATTTGTGCGTTTGTTTCCTTTCCCTTGCTGATCATTTCCAATTCTCGGATTATGATCTCGAGGTAGTAATGTCTATTGTTCTTCTCTCCTTTATGTTCGATTTGTATACTCTATGCTTCTCGGATCTGATCCATTTTGCGTTTTTTTCTGATCGTGATTTTCTCCATTTTCACCTGCTCCCTCCTGCTGGTATTTATTAGGCTTGGATTTTGTAATCTGGCATTTTTGTGGTCTTCTGAATCCAATTGCTCACTTAAAGCTGCAATGACTGATCAAAGCTTTGCGCTTTTTGGGGTTTCAGGTAATGGCCACAGAGCCTTTGCACCTGGTGTATTTGAGTTGACGATACTGCCCTGTTTTGGAATTGTTGCAGTGAAAGGAAACTGAATATCAAAAACCTTTTTCCCTACGGAGATTATTTTCTTTAGCACTGACACTGAGGAGAGGCGACGAGGAAGATGGCAAAGATGATAAACAAGACGCTTGTTCTTACTTATATCTACTTGCTGATCTACATTATACTTTCTTCAGGAGTTATACTGTACAATAAGGTGATTGCAGAGGCTATTATATTCTATTAACATATTTACTGTTTACGTAGATATCTGTAGTTTCCTAATTTCTTGGATTTTGTATGTTTCATGCTGTGTTTCCGGTATAAGATACAGTATGTTGTGTTTCTGAGATGAAACCGTGACCAAAAACCTTTTTTGTAGCAATGGGTGTTGAATACTATAATTTCCTATTCTCTTTATCTCTACAACTGATGTTAGTATTGTGATGTAACATTCAATATACCTCTATTTGTTTCAGCTTTCTGACTTCTAAAATCGTGGCTTTTAATTGCTTTTACTTGCAGTGGGTTTTATCCCCAAAATACTTCAACTTTCCACTTCCAATAACGCTGACAATGATCCATATGGGGTTTGCTGGATTCGTGGCTTTCCTTCTTATTCGCGTGTTCAAGGTATCCTAAACTCAAAGGATTCGGAGTATGCTTATGCATCTTATCTTGTGCTCTCTTGTAATATATGTAATCCTGTTTATGGATCCTTTTTATAGTGCGGTGATAAGTTTTTCCTCTGTTTTGTAGGTTGTAGCTCCGGTTAAAATGACATTTGAAATGTAAGCCAGCTTACTCGGTATTTTTCATCTAATTGCCTTTTTGGTCTTTAGTACGTAAGCACCATCTTCTCTTCATTTTGACACACTTTTTGGGTCCAGATACGCAACCTGTGTGGTACCTATAAGCGCATTCTTTGCATCAAGTCTCTGGTAAATTCTTGTTCTGTAGACAGTAACATAGTTTATTAATGCTCTTCTTCTGAATACTTTTTAATTTTTGAATCAGCAATCAGGAAGACTCAGTCTTTTCAGGTTATCCTTGCTTTTCAACTGTCTCTTCACTATTTTACATTCCCTTTTTTGCAGGTTTGGCAATACTGCATATTTGCACATTTCTGTTGCCTTCATTCAGATGCTCAAAGCACTAAGTAAGTGATGACTTAACATTTGCGTTACTTCAGTATAGACTTTTTGTTCATTTTACCAATCGTATTAATACATGACTATGGATGTTCAGTGCCAGTAGCAACATTTATCATGGCAGTTGTTTGCGGCACTGACAAGCCAAGGTGCGACGTGTTCTCCAACATGTTGCTGGTCAGTGTTGGAGTTGTGATATCCTCTTATGGGGAAATTCATTTCAATGTAGTTGGCACAGTGTACCAGGTGACAGGCATCTTTGCTGAAGCACTTAGACTGGTGCTAACTCAAGTTCTTCTCCAGAAGAAGGGTTTGACATTGAACCCTATTACCAGCTTGTATTACATAGCTCCCTGCAGGTATTTACTCCTGAATCTTAATACTGCTCAAACAATTAGATTTCATGAATAAGATAATTTCATTAATAACTGTATTATGTTACACTATCTGTTCTCACTATTATTTATTCCTAGATGTCAAGTTATAATTCATCTACTGCATAATCTTTTCCTTGAAATTCTATGCTTCAAATTTGTGCAGTTTTGTTTTTCTGGCCTTACCTTGGTATGTGTTGGAGAAACCCACGATGGAAGTTGCACAGATCCAGTTCAACTTCTGGATATTTTTTTCCAATGCTTTATGTGCTCTTGCCTTGAACTTCTCCATATTCTTAGTGATTGGGAGAACAGGGGCAGTAACCATCCGGGTGGCAGGTGTTCTCAAAGACTGGATTCTCATAGCCCTCTCAACCGTCATTTTTCCCGAGTCCACAATCACTGGGCTAAATATCACTGGATATGCGATAGGTAGACTTCTTCATTTCACAAAAAAATGTGATTGCTGTTAACATTTTTTCTTCCACCTTGACTGTTTGTTTCCCATATAACTATTTATTCTTCTCTTGTGTTTGTCTGTTTGACACAGCGCTATGTGGTGTCGTAATGTACAATTACATAAAAGTAAGGGATGTCAAGGCGTCTCAACCAACTGCTGACAGTCTTCCAGATCGAATCAATAAGGTAAGTCAGACCTTCTCGATCCCTAACTTTCTAGCAGGTAGAGGTTATGTACCCGGCTGATCTCAGGCTTGTTTTAGATTCCCGCAAAAACATAAGCAGTCTATCTATAAGCCATTTTAAAAACCTCATAGCCTTCCATATTAACTGTTATAGTTTCATAGTTATATCATCGTCCTTCCAAAAGAACATCTCGGCTTGCAGATTATAGTATGGAACCATTTACTTTTTATTTTCTTCTAAATGTAACAACTGATAAACACAAACACTACACAGGAATATAAGATGGAGAAGAAGTCTTCGGATAAATTCAATCCTAATGACAGTGGGGAGATCCCGAGAGTAGGAGCCGAGATAAACGATGAGGAAGCCCCTTTGATCACGTCCCGGTTGTCTCATATTGGTAGAACGCAGCTCGGAAATCACCCTGCTTAAGATGCTCGGAACGTATAGTAGACACACTGCTTCCAAATTCGATTTTTTGTTACTTAAAAAAAGAAAATATTTGAATCAAAAAAGTAGCTGTAGCACCATCTTAGATTGGATGTCCTCGTGTCTCAGGTGAAAATCGTGTTTCTCTCTTCGAAATTCCATTATTATGAAATAGGATAGCGGAGATTTATAGCCGATGATTAGCTTGAAAACGTAAAAGTCCCAAATTCGTTTGTAGTGAATTCACGTTAAAGTTATATAATTGTGGTCTTTATTTTTTCCATCATCAATAATGTTTGGACTTGTGAGCACTGAGCAGTATCTCTTGAGTTCCTTTGATCGAATTACTAATCTCTTCAAGGTAAATTCCGATTGGGAATAGTATATAACCAATTCTTCGGTAATAGAAAGGTGAAACAAAACGAATATACTGTATTAAGGTAATTTCATTAACACTGAAGTTCAGAAATGTTTTAATACTCTTTTTCATCACGTTCGTCGTTTTTAGTTTCTACCAAGTTACAGAAAGTGAAACCCATATGGACTGTTGAAGCTAATAAATTTCCAATGGATTCCAGTTGTGTCTTCAAATTTTCTACAGTAGAATGAAGAAAAGAATATAAAGAGAACGTGAGAGAGTATAACATGGTCTGAATTTTATACAAAAGAAGTGATAAGTTACTACAAAAACAAAAAAAAACATAGAGACGTAAGTTGAAAAAATATACACACCCTCCAATCAAAACGCAGATTCAAACGAATGGGTTAAAAAAAAGCAAAAGAACATGAACATGAAAACAGTCCCAAGCCTCGGCAACTATCAAAGCACACAATGCCAACAAGCTTCTCTCTCTCATCCATGATTTGGAGTGTTAACGAATGAAAAAGCAGAGACGATTAATTATCGAACCTCAAGATGCAACTTCCTCATTCCTCGTGATTAAATATACAATAGAGATTTATATTCTCCCGTTTAGTCTTGATTCCTCAAGTACAATAGCTTCCTCGATTGGGCTGGAGGAGCTAATCCTGGGATGTCCCTAATGTCTTTGTTATTCGGGTGTACGATCTGAAGAGTTTATATAAAAACCAGAGTCACAAATTTGCTAATGAGCGATCACAGCTTTCCATTAGAAAGAGCAAAGACAGTACCTTCACTACGATAATGGCTATAACACCGCATACAATGAGAAACAGGAACCCCATTATGCATTTATCGGTAGCCACCTGAAATAGGTAGACATAACGATTTAGGTTTTGTGGTCAAGCAGAAGAGGAGATGTCCCTATGAGTTACACACCTGTCTCCCTATCTCTTTCACCAGCTGAGAGGCCTTCTTGATAGAGAATTGTATAGTGTCCAAGTGGTTAACAACGCGTCCCATTTGATCCGTCTGCAAAATTTTCACATTGTTTCAGACTCTACCCATAAAATTAGTATAGAAGCGAAGGAAGAATGCTTTGCACTACCTGTCCCTTTAAATTAGCTGCAGTTTGAGTTCCAACTTCGAGTGTTTGTTCTACAACCTGAAAGGAACAAGAATGTTACTATAGATATAGTAAGTTAGTAACAAAGGCTAAGGGGAACATACTTCCTTCTGTAACTTACCTGTTTTGAGCGCTCAATGGCCTGATCAGTCTCATCCATTCTTTTCATTCCAGCATCAACAAGCTCCTGGTTTGACATAGCTATAAATAATAAAATGACATAAGCTCGCCATTCCCAGTACTCACATTCCCAAAATAATATATTCACGCCATATCCAAATACATATTTCTTTATGCGAGACCTATGCTGTAATATCGGAATAATACAATTCTATCAAATTGGGAATAAACTAGGCCAACCGATAACATTTCCAGTACACATTATCTATGATCTCAGACAATGAACCAGAGAGCATAAGTTACCCATCCAACATAATTTAAGTACATGTAGGATCAAGGAATCTAAATTTCAAGCATGTCAATCTCTTAAATGTTCTAAGCAAACTCATATTTTGGTAGCAACTGAATAAACAATCATGCAGAGGGACTCACAAGAAGCCACTTGAACATTTTCCTCAGCAGTAGGCTCGCCACTAACTCCAGCTCCCATATCAAAAAGTTCAACTTTCTTGTTGCCAAGGGTACTCATATACCTGAGATTCAAGACCAAGACTCCAAGTTAACATGTATTACGTATGAACACGTAAAAGCCAAACTAAATCCTATAGAGAAAATGCTGAACGGATCGATATGAAAACAAAGCCCATAATGAACAGGAATCATCAAATAATCAGCTTCTTAAAGAGGATTGTTACAAATACTTACGTTTTTCTTAGTGCAACGTAAGAATTAAGCTCCTTGATCTGTAACATTATACACAGGGAAAAAGTTAAACCCAGATGACAAAAATTCACACAAACAAAATGGTAGCAGATACAAAGTGCAGAGGGGAGGGGAGCGAAAGATACACAATGAGACTAACAATCTGCCTTAATATATCGATTTTGTTACAAAATACACCTAAAGTTGCTGAGTAAGAGTTGTAGTATAAGTAAAGAAAGGCATCTGGGAGAATAAGAACTGACCATAGATTGTTTCTCATCGTTCAATTGCTTATTTACTTGAGGAGAGTTTCTAGCTTCCTCATCCTTAAGTTCACGGTCGAACTCCTTGACCAACCTGACATGAAAGGAGAATAAGGAATCATTGAATCATGGATGAAAATATGATCTATTCCACATTTGTACTAAAGGCAACAATATGGCAACAAAACGACACCATCTACAAAGCAAACCTTTTACACTCTCTCATCTTGTCAGTAAGTTCCTCGAGTTGTTTGCTCTGTCTAGTTGAATCCTTGATCTTATCCAACCTCTGGAAACCATTCCTGAAAACAACAGATGATAATGGTACTCATTTAAATGACCTATCATTCCGGTGATGAACTAAATCTAATTCTCGGCATCAGCATTTCAGCAAAACACACTTAAAAAGCCAATTGAGCATATGAGGTTCAGTGATAATAGTCAAAAATTCCAAATGACCATAAAATATATTGAGAGTGTTTGGTGAGCACGACAGAGAGAGAGGAAGAGAAAAAAAAAAAAAAAAAGGGTGAAGAGAGGGGGAGAAAGGCATACGCGAGGGCTCGGAAATGGTCACGGATTTCGCCATGGATCTGCTCCAATTGAGGGCTCATAGGGAGATTGGAAGCCATGTCGCCGGAGAAAATTTTCAGATTCCGACGAAAGTGAAACCGGAATTTGTCCCCCCGCCCCCCTAACTTAACCGGAGAACCCTAAAGAGACAATAAAAATCTCCAACTCCCCAAAAACTGCTTCACCCGCATCCAACAACTAAACTTCTCACCAATCAATTTTTTTATTAAACCCTAATTTGAATCCCAAAAGAAAACAAAACTGAAGTTAAAAAATCTCCAAAAAAAGAAAAGACAAAGAACAAAAGATCAGGGTATTAGGACTTTTGGAGAAAGAATGAAAGACGAAACAGAGAGAGAGAGAGAGAGAGAGAGAGAGAGAGAGAGGAGGAGGGGCGTCGTCGGACAACGGAAAAGGAAAAGCGAAGCTGTCACTTGTCAGGTGTGTTGTGTGTATTCCTTTTCTTTTCATTAACTTTTTTTTTTAATTCAAAAATATATCACTATAATGAGAGGGGACTAGTATATTTTAATTTTTTTGTGACTAATACAATAATTTTTAAAAAAAGACAGATATTCGGTAGTTGATAAATAACCAAAAAAAAAAAAAAAATTACGACAGCGCGGCGCCAACCTTTTGTTCGGTCCCATATCCGTTGTTAATTCTTTTCTTTTTCACAATCTCTTTTAGTCTATAGGCAACCAAATTTATCATACTTTTCGAATGCAATGGTCGACTTCAAAATACATACAAGTGTTCGTTACTTTTGTTATTTTGTTGGTGTGTCACACTGACGACACTGATCATCGTCCATGCCTGGCTAATATCGTCATTGTCATGTCACTTCCTTGTTTTCGTTTTTGTACAAGCTGCTCATCCGACGAACGAAATCAACCTTTTGCAGATACACCAAGCCTACTTATTATTTTTCAATAACATGACATTTGCCACTGTCCAATCCAATCCAAGCATGTTCTTTATACACATATATAAAAATGCATAACTTTTATTTTTACAGTCGATCTGTTTCTTTAATTGGTATCTATATTTTGTTTTAGGGAGGCGGGCACACTTTATAATACATTAACTAGAGGAGTCTTTAATCTTGTTCAAGAGGTGTATATAAAGTGGCCAACCTCTTTAAACCTTAATCTATCTTTGAGTGATCTTATTCATGTTGAATCCTAAAGTCTCTGTTTTGACGTTTTCACTGTACTACTTACAAGGAAACGCCATATTTATATATAGACCAAATTTAAGTGTTATGCCTACGTGACTTGTGGGTTTTCTCTAGTATTTTCTATTTTGAATAATAGAATGCACCCGTTTATATATACAGTATATATCTCTACCTGCTAGAATACTATATTATGCTCACTTATTAACTTAACCTTGCCAATAAAATTTTCAAGAAGTTTCTTCCATCTGGCAATCACCTTCCACGTGCCCAACTTTTCCTTATTTCTAAAACCTAGTTTTCTATTCTTTAACTTGTTGCAGACGGAACAAAAAAAAAACAAAAGACTGAAAGATGTTTGTTTGGGGTCAACGTCTCTGTTTTTTTCTGAGTATAAAGATGGTTTGTCTTAAAAATTAGAAACTAAAAAAAAACAATGGGTTCCTGGATAAACAAAAGACTGAAAGATGTTTGTTTGGGGTCAACGGGTTCTGCTCCTCTGCTTCTTCTTCATCTACTTACCCCTTATAATAATGTTGACTCTGTCTATTCTGAGTTTTGAAGTGAAATCATCGAAGTATAATGGTGTTGGAGAGGCAGATAAAGATCAAATGTTCTTCTACTTCATCAAATCTGAGGCTGATCCAGAAAAAGACCCTCTTCTCTCTTTGGTCTTCTTTATGAGAATGGCAAATCTTCTTTCACTAGAATGGCATAATATTCACTGACTTGTTTGAACTGAAAAAAAAGCAGGGAGGTTTAAGGCCTACAGTGGAACTATCCCCACGTTGGATTTTTAAAAACCTAAAAAACCGAACCGTTTTTATCGGACACGACAACCCTTATTTATCTGTCTCATTCAGCCACGTATGCATGCATCTCTCAAACCAGAGGCGGAAGGAAGAATCTCTAGGGTTTTTGTTGATAAGGTGACATCGATCCTCAATGTCCAATCTTCCAAAGGATTTTTCGGATCTTCCAAGGGATTTGGCGGAGGAAGTGTTCTCTAAGGTGGTTCCGGTGACATCTCTGAGAAGAGTCCGATCTACTTGAAAAAAGTGGAACACTTTGTCAAGATGTAGGAGATTTGCAAAGAAGCACCTTGCTCAAGCAAGAGTAGCTGCGGCAAAGGAAAAGGAGTTTGTGGTGGTCATGATGATGGATTATAAGGTTTATTTGATGAGCGTAAATCTACGACTTAAACTCTGATTCATGGAAGGTTCTTGATGTCCCTCGAGAGTGGAACATACGGTCTTATAGCCTTGGTGTCTCTCTCAAGGGAAATACATATTGGTTTGCTCAAGAGACGTTTCAGTTTCCAGAAAACTCCCGCCAAGGAGACCGTGGTTTCTTAATCTGTTTTGATTTCACAAGAGAGACCTTTGGGCCGCGTTTGCCTCTGCCCTTTGTGTGGTTTCATGTAGATACTCTGACTCTGTCTAATGTTAGAGATGACCAGCTTGCTGTGTTATTTCAACGTGATGATACATTACAGATGGAGATCTGGGTTACAACTAAGATTGAGCCCAACAAGGTGTCCTGGGGCAGTAAGTTCTTCTTATCAGCGGATATGAGTGCACTCACCGCCAGTGAGTTAAAGTTTTCGTATATGGCTTCAAGTTTCTTCATTGATGAGGAGAAGAAAGTCGCTGTGGTTTTTGATAAAGGCAAAGACTGGACGTTGATGCGCAACACAGCTTACATCATTGGAGAGGATTGATCCTTGAAAGAAGTGGATCTTGGACAATCTCCAAACCAACATCTCCCACCATTTGTGTGCTCTTATGTTCCAAGTTCAATGCAACTTGACTAGTTCGTTTTACAATCCTGGAATGTCCTTAATTAATGTCTTTAATATTCTGGTTTACGATCATGGCTAATGAGCAATCATTAGAGTTTATAGACCAGAGGATTCTTCAATCTTGTTCGAGACACAAGAGGTGGATAAGTGGCCAACCTCTTTATTATAAACGCATACCTCTTAGAGTGATGAGTGATCTTATAAATGTTGGAAGCCTAAGTGTCTGTTTTGATGATTCATATGAAATAAAATGTTACATTATTATCTATGTGAAAACAACATATATATATATATATATATATATATATATATATATATATATATATATATATATATAGACCAAGTTTTAAAGTTATGCTACGTGACTAGTGGGTTTTCTCTAGTATTTTGAATAAAAGGATGTATCTACCTGCTACACTATATTATGCTGCTCATAACTTAAACTCTTACACAGATGACAGATATTTTAACCTTGAAGAAAAGTTTAACGATATTAAAGGATGCATTCTTCCATTTGGCAATCACCTTCCACGTGCCCAACGTTTCTTCATTTCTAAAACCTAGTTTTCTATTTTTTAACCTCTGTTGCAGACGGAACATAAACAAAGACTGAAAGATGTTTGTTTGGGTCAACGTCTCTGTTTTTGAGTATATAGATATTTTTTCATAAAACTCAGAAACTAAAAAAACACAATGGGTTCCTGGATAACAATGTTGTTGCTGCTGCTGCTGAAATTTATGCTTCTATTTACAAAGCATGCTGAATCAAGTTCTATCGTCAGATATCTTCCTGGCTTTGAAGGCCCTCTTCCCTTCGAGCTCGAAACCGGGTTCTGCTCCTCTGCTTCTATATCTTCTATTTACCCTTATAATAAGGTTGACTCTGTATTCTGAGTCTTGAAGTTTAATCATCTAGGTATATTGGTGTTGGAGAGGCAGATGAAGATCAAATGTTCTACTACTTTATCAAATCTGAGAGTAATCCAGAAGAAGACCCTCTTCTTGTCTGGTTAACTGGAGGACCTGGCTGCTCTTCTTTCTTTGGTCTTGTTTATGAGAATGGTAAATATCTTCTTTTACTCAACCTTATTTCTTTCTGCATAAATATTCATTGACTTGTTTGAACGGTAAAAAAAAAGCAGGGCCTCTTGCTTTCAAGGTTAAGGCCTACAATGGAAGTATCCCCACGTTGTTCTCCACTACATATTCATGGACAAAGGTGACACCAGTTTGTATTTCTCATTACATTCTCATGCAATGAAGTTATTTTCATTCATCTTCAAGTTTTCTGGATCATTGCTTTTCATTTATTTATAGGTTGCGAATATAATATATTTGGATCAACCTGTTGGAACTGGCTTCTCCTACTCAAAAAATCCACTTGCTGATATACCAAGTGACACAGGATCAGCTAAGCGGGTAGACGAGTTTCTTCGTAAGGTAAAGGGTAAACTCAAAATGTCCAAAGTATATATATGTCTTCATGCATTTTAGAGTTTTTTGTTTGGTTTGTTGTACAGTGGCTAGCCAAGCATCCTGAGTATTTCTCCAATCCTTTCTATGTCACCGGTAATTCTTATGCCGGTAAGGTGATCCCGGCAATCGTTCACGAAATCTCAAATGGTAAGTTTTTATCACACATTCATATCCTATGCAAATTCTTTTAGTTTCTTGATCAGTTTATTTTCACCAATTTATCACAGGGAATTGTATATGCTGCAAACCTCAAATAAATCTTCAGGTTCATCAGTATTTGCCATTATTTCTATATACCTTATGGAGCATTAAGAACTGAAGAGCTTTTATTTTCCCCTCCAACAACAGGGATATGTGCTCGGAAGCCCGGTAACAGACCCTGATCTTGATACAAACTCACGCATTCAATTTGCTCATGGAATGGCACTCATCTCTGATGAACTATATGAGGTACAGACTACAGTTACATGTTAATCAAGGATGCTTTTTCTTTCTGTTTGCACAACAATGAAGTAGTTAGCTAATTAACTCTTACTTTGTTTGTAGTCAATGAAGAGAAGCTGTGGAGGAAACTATATTATTGTAGATCCTCTTAACACAGAATGCTTGGAACTCATTGAAGACTATGACAAGGTACAAAATCTAGAATTATTGGTTGGCGAAAAATGGTAAAAATAGATAATTACTTACTTAGAATTTGTGGTTATTTACAGTGTGTTTCTGGAATATTTGAAAACCATATTCTAACACCAAAATGTGACAGTACATCTCCTGATTGCCACGTAAGCTTATCTTTGGACTAGCCAATAAACCAACCACTAACTAGAAAAGAACATTGACAAGGGGTTTCTGGCAGTTGTATGGTTATAAGCTATCCGAATACTGGGTCAATAAGGAGAGCGTACGCAGAGCACTTAAAGTTGTGGAGGTATTGTATATGACTAGTTTATCATAAGATCATTGGTAAAATATGATGATTAACCTCTCTATATATGAGGAATTTGATTTCAGGGTACTACAGGTAAATGGGTACGATGTAAATGGAGTTTGCAAGTAAATAAAGACATTAAAAGCAGCATACCATACCATAAGAAGAATAGCATCGAAGGCTATCGATCTCTCATCATCAGGTCAGTACAAACTTCTTTACAAGCTATGTGCTTCCGTTAATTAGTTGTCTATAAGCTTTTTTTTTTTCTGGCATGGTGTATCTGGTGAATAGTGGTGATCACGACATGCTAACGCCTTACGTTGGAACTCAAGACTGGATAAGGTCTCTCAACTATTCCATTATTGACAAATGGACGCCATGGATGATACACGATCAAGTCGCTGGGTACATTGCCATATATTCTTTTTTTGGTTTATCTTCTTCATCTGTGTAAAGCTGCTCATCCAAACCCATTTTTAATTTGCAGGTACACTACGACCTATGCTAACAAGATGACATTTGCCACTGTGAAAGTAATTCTTTATATCACCACATTTTTTTATGGGTGGGTTGGCAAACTAGTACGTTTTTGAAATATAATTATAAAAGTAGCACATTTACTATTCATAATTAGCAAAATAATACATTTTTACTATTTCAGATATCTGTACAGACAGACAATTGTACAGTAACATATTATTGTACATCAAATATTTGTACAAAGGGAAACAACTACAAATAAACATATTTACACATAAACAAATATACATATATAGACCATAAAATATTTGTACACATACAATTATACGTATATACAGACCGCTGTACGGATGATTTTCCGTACATCGATACACAACTGTACATAAGGATAGCTGGACGTATCAAAATTTGTTTGAAAAATATTTGAAATTATTAAAAAAAAATGCATATCAAATTATAGAGAAAAAAATATATATTTTTATGTAATTGAAATTTTATAGAAACCAAATATATTTTGATGAATATTTTAGTTATTAGATTTAAGAGGATTTTTAATAGTGTATAAATAGTGTTCAAATAGTAAAAATGTATTAGTTTGCTAATAATGAATAGTGAATGTACTACTTCTACAATTATGTTTCAAAAATGTACTAAAAATCTAATTAATCCTTTTTTTATTGACATCAATGCTTAAAGCATTTTTAAATCGGTTTGTTGGTTTGGTTTATAGGGAGGCGGGCACACGTTAGAGTATAAACCGGAGGAGTCTTCAATCTTGTTCAAAAGGTGGATAAGTGGCCAACCACTTTAAAACACACAAACTTTAGTCTTGGAGTGGTCTTGTTGATATCGAAAATGTTTGGTTTTGATGCATCATCATCTGAAATTACATTTTAGGTGTAAGAAAAAGAGTGTGTTTATTTCTACCTGCTTAAGTACTATTCTCACTTAAAACTCATACACATGTTAAAGTTTAAACAGGTACATGGAAATTTCCAGAGAAAGAGAAGATTAAACCAGAGATACTCGTTTAGAGACTAATCGGTCAAGGCTTCTTTACTGTTTTCTTCCTAAATGCAGCAAAGAGGGCTTTATAAGTTTATAGCCAACAAAAATTATCATATTTCGAATGTATTTAGGGATACAATGGTCGAATTCAAAATACATAAGTGTTCGTTACTTGTTAGGACTGTAGCACTAGAGCCACACTAATCATCATCTTCGCTAAGATCATCATCGTAAAGATCAAGATTGTCTTCACCCTCACCATCAACGTTACGAGGATCCATGTAATAGTTCTCCTCCTCCTCCTCCTCCTCTTCGTCACGGTCTTCGTTCTCCACTCCGTCTTCGCTCTGCAAAGTCTCCTCCTTCACAAAAGTAGCAACAACTACATTAGCCTATTATAAAATCAGGTGAATGGCGTTTGAAGTATATACCTCATCATTCTCGGAGGTCACGAGCCAGTCTGGGAGCATGCGATCCAGCAAAGCATAGTTAAGAGTTGGTGGTGGTCCATCGTCATGTTGTAGCCGTCGCTTCAGCTGCTTCTCTCTGAGCCGTAAGTTGTAATGAACGTACGTGAGATCTTTCGTTGACTTTTTCCCAAATCGGCTCTGGCATTGCCTGTTGGCTTGATCGTACACGCTCCACTTAGGCTCACACCCAACAGATGAGCACGTGTGGCTCAGTATCCGAACCGCTACCCGCTGGAGTTCCAAACAGCTTATCCCATGCTGTTGCCACCACGCTGCTGGATCGAGTTCTGTTCTTGTGGCAATAGCTATATCCGTTCCAAAACTGGCTTTCGCAGAAGTATAATCCGGAATCTGATTCATTTCAACCAAAAGATGGTTTAGACTTTATCCCCCGGTTCTGAGAACAATGTGTGACTTGTTGATTTATTTTTATCTCACCTGCATCAATGCTGTGATTCTACGCGCATTGTCAGGCTCAAGCCTAACAATACATTCGTTCACTCCGCGCACGACCTCAGACTGCTGCAGATATTTTTCACATTAACAGCAAAACGTAAGGATATTACAGAAAGTTTAAGTGATTGCATAAAATAACTGATAATCATGCCTACCGACATAAAATCAGGACGATATCTATATGCCGGGTTGAAGAAATATGCAGCCACATAGAGAGGATGATGAAACAATGGGTTCCAATGGTAATCTATCACACGCCATAATGGTAAGTATTTCCTCCCATCATCGCTATGAATAGACTTGATAGCCATTTTCGCACAGCACATGTAACCGTAAGCATATGGCAAAGATACTCTCTCGCCACCATCATCGATCATGCGAATCACCTGCATCACGGGATCAACCGATTTCAAAACATACTGAACCTTCTTCCAAAACGCAACACTAGACACCATCATTTCCACTTCTCTTCCCTCTTCAGACTTGGCAGCGGTCTGTGACAAAATCCAGCCGTTAGATTGAAACAGACCTCTAAGACTGGCCTTGTGGTCCATAAGACTTTGAAGAGTGGTGAAACCGGAAGCGTAGCGCATGACCGCTGGTCTAAGAAGATCTTGTCCCCGTGTGAATTCGTTCTTCATGAGATTAAGTAGCCATGTTTGATTGTAAATGAATCTTGTGATTCTTTGTGCTTTCTCTAAGCAGTCGGAGACAAATTCAAGCTTTGAGATGTCTTCAAGAACCAGTTCTGTGCAATGCATTGCACAAGGAGTCCAATACATATTCTTTCTCTTTTCTTCTAGTAATTTTCCAGCATTTCTGCAGATAGCAGTGTTCTGTGTAATAACCTGCACCACGTTTTCCTCGCCAATGTCATCAACTAGTTTGTCTAGACACTTGAAAAGGCTTGACGCATCTTCTATTATATGAGTGGCCTCAATGGAGGAGTGGAAGTAGACACCGCGAGGGCACGAGACCAAGAAACTGATCATTTTCTTTCCCTCTGTGTTGGTCCAAGTATCTGCCATTATAGAACAACCTGTAACCCCCCAAGAAGATCTGTACTCCCTCAAATAGCTTTTGATAGTTGAAATCTCTTCCTGTAAGAGCCTACCGGAAAACAGATGACTCGAGGGCACAACGAAACCCTCTCCGTGCAGACCAATCAATTCAATCATCTTTTGAAAGTACAGAGAACTTGCTGCCTCTGTGGGAACTCCTACATGGTGGAAGAATTTGGAAATGGAGGATGTGACGTCTTTTCGTGATACAACTCTATTTGAACAGCTAGTGTATATTTTCCTCTGCTTGCTCGAAGAAGGTGACTGATACGGGATAACTCTCGCTCTTCTTGGTCTTGCTTCAGAAAGAGATCTAATGTTCACTGAATCAAAGCTCTTTCTTTTTTCTTTACTAAACCTTCCATTTCCCAGCATCAACCTATCTTGGCTGATTGGATAGATGTCTTGTTCTTCCCCGTCTTCTTCTTGCTCAGGATCCTGAGACACCGTTCTGAAGTTTAAAGCTCCCATTTCATCATCAGGTCTGTTCTGTCTCTTCCCAGCTCGATGCCATTTCATATTCTCTTTAATCTTAACATAAACCTCCTCTGGAGCGGTTTTACATGGCGCTACCTCTCCAGGTATTCTTGCAAGATGCTGTTTAAAACGGTTAATACCACCACTCACTATCTTGTTACAGTAATTACATTTCACTTTCTTTTTCCTCTCATCCTGAGCAACACCATGTTCCCATCCAGGATCAATATAACCTGACGACCGAAGAATACTCCCATCACTCAAGCTTAGCTTTCCCTTGCTTCTTCTAGACCAGCACCGCGGCTCTTCCTCCTCTGCTTCATCGTCATTGTTAGATTGATGGAAACTGGAACAAGACTGTCTATTGTTATCCCCAGGCTGCCTCAGCTTTCTGGTGGAACGACACCGTTCTAGATTCTCCTTCATCCTCAGACATACTTCTTCTGGAGACTTATCACAATAGGTCACTTCTCCTGATACCCGAGCCAAGTGTTGCTTTAATCTGTATATTCCTCCGCTTACTATCTTTCCACAGTAATTGCATTTAACCTTCTTCTTCCGTTCGTCTTGTGCAACACCGTGCTCCCATCCAGGGTCGACCACTCCAATTGATCCAAGTGGAGCCATTGTTAAACCATTTGCAAGCTTCGAACTTTAACACTTCCACAAACCAGCGCAGCCTCAATCTACTACAAGAGCGCTTTAACTATAACAAAAACAACAACTTCCTTAAAACAACATGCATGGATTCGAGAAACACAACGAGGAAAATAAAAAGAAATGTGGTCAACATTTAAAAACACCATTTTTCATCAGTTTTATAAAGCAAGAACAAATTAATGAACTGGGTTTGTCTTCTATAGCATACCTAAGAAGCTGAGAACTTTCGTAATCGGAGGCGAGAGTTTTCCGGTTTCGTCGATTTCTCAAACCGGAAAAAATGGAGGTAAAGCTTAAGCGAAGTTAGAACACATTTTTAGACGGCGAGGCATGAATATGAGCTGTGAATCGAAGAAGCGTTTTTCGCGGGGAAGGGGACGACGAGTCACGGGGCGAGATAGAGCTGGGTGAGAGGCGAATTAACTCGACTCGGACGATTTCTAGGGTTTCTGTTCTCGGCTGACTCGTCATTTTTAACGAATTTGCAAAACGAGGGCTTTTAGTTTTAGGATGATTACAGAAAAGCGTCCCTATAATGGAAATTAACACGATTAACCCAATCTCGCAGTCTAGTCATCATATCTTCGCCTTCAAGTGTTTTGCTCTTTCACCAATATAGCAAAACCTAACTTAGGAAATGCCTGAACTTGCTCTTTCTATTTTCGTGTTGCGAATACAGTTTTACATATCTACCAATCCAAACAAATTATACGATTTTCAAAACTCTTCTTATCTTGATGATGCAATCTCATAAAAACGACCCAAATATGTGTTTTCATCACAATTCCCAATCCAAAACCATCAACATTGTCAGTTCTTGGATATGTGCCAATCAAAACCTAATTCAGTAGCTTGACAACTTTAAAAACATCATACCTTCTTCCAAGATAAATCTCAAAACCAGTAAGCCATACAACAAGAAGAAATCTTGAAACCATACAGAGGCATAAAAGAGATTGAAGATGAGAACCCATTAATATGAACGAATGTCACTGAGTCTTACACACCATTATACAAATTGAAAGCCCTAATGTATCCTAATTCAAAGTCTCCAGCTTTCTCTGTGAGACATTTGATTGATCAAACACCAAGATAGTTTGGCTAATAACCGCAAAAAAAATGTAATCTTTTCCTGGAACCCTAGAAGAGATCTATCATACAAAAGCCCTACGTACCAGTAAATTGCTGTAAAGATAGATTCAGAATCAGCGGTCATCGGACTTTCTCTTGCTAGGGGTCATGGTCTCTTGAGTCTTTTGTCTAATAACAAGATCCTGAAGATTCTCCAATGCAGCTTTAGCTTTCAGCTTGGCCGTGTGAGCAGTTACGATCTTCTTGAAAGCTTCATCCTTTAACTGAGCCACCGCGTTATTCATATTAGCCACCGAGATCTTGGCAGCTGCGACAAGAGCCAAGGTCGAAACCTTACTGAGAGGCGTTGCAGGGACGTCGTCATTGACACGAGATTTAGGGAAGAAGGTGAAATTGGGGTCAGAACATGGCGGGCATGTGAAGGAAGAAGCCGGTGGTGGAGCGGGGGAGGAGGAAGACGCGGCGGAGGAAGACGGCGGCTTAGGTGAGCAAAAAAGGTGGGTGCTTAAAGGGCAATTGAGGCAGGTGATACGAGCCTGACGAGGAGAAGGGGCGTCGTCGTTGAAGTCATTGAAACAAACTGGGCAAAAGAGTTCACGATGTTCCTTGAGCAAACAATCGGTGCAGAGTCGCCGCAAAACGCCGGTTTTGCTGATGGTGTGGATGAACGACGGCTCTGCTTCACTGCACACTGCGCATTCGCGCCGATTCTGTTCCGGATTCATGGCTAAGTCGAAGAGATTGAGAACTCTCTCTCTCAACGGTAACCCTAAGCGAGAAAGAGAGAGAGAGAGAGAGAGGTGAAAGAAGCGTTTGCGTTATCAGAATGTTCAAGATCTTCTTAGGCTCACAACTGTTATTTCTATTGGGAGTTGAAAACTTATATAGAGATTAAAAAATGGATCTTGATTCTTGTTGAATTAAAAACCGAATCTTTTTTTTTCTCTGTAAATACGTACATATATACACAAAAGTATATATATATTTGGAAGATGAAAGGAAACATAAATCTTGTGTTTCTTCATTGCTTATTGCAAACTTTTAAGCATCGTGATTTAACAAATGCGAGCCTAAATTCCCTCTATTAATCGTTTTTCAAATCATACATCCAAACAACTAAGATACGAAAAGACAATTTCATCTGCAAAAAGCTTTAGCTCTATGATTCTGCTTCTTCAGCTTCTTTCTGGTCTCCCATAAATGTAAAAAACAAAAGCCAAAATGAAGATCAAGATCATGTCGTTTTCATCACTCTGCCAACATAAATGGGTCAACTTCTCCAAGATCAGCAACCAACGGTTCTAATTCTGATGGATCTTCGTCTTCTGGAGCTAAATAAGTTGGAAACGGAAGCTTCGAGATATCTGGTTTCTTGTACCATGCATCTCTTATGAACACAAAATTTCCTTCTGCGCCAGGAACCTACATCAAGACCAATCACAATCATGACCTACTAATAATAGAAGACCAATAACACTCACGTTTTGTGACAGACACATCCAAGCCAAGGACCAGAACTCAGCGAGATACTTACTTGTCCTCTCACCCAGATGAGGTTCCGTGCAGGATCGATCTTGTAAACCCAAACGTTCTTTACTGTCCTCTGTTCTGCACCCATTCTTCCAGCCATCTTTTTCCCCTTGAACACCTACTCAAGTGTATTTAACAAGTCAGTATTGCCATTTGCTTTTGGGGAATATTCACAAGAGAGCAATTTGACAAATACCTTTCCAGGGGCATCTCTTTGCCCTGTGGAACCAGCGCTTCGATGGGACAATGAAGCACCATGTGATCCAGGCATTCCTTTGAAATTCCATCTTTTCATGCATCCCTGAAATTACGTAACATCAATATCACAGCCATTACTATGCACATACAATGGTTCATTTGCTCTCCATGATTTTTTCTGCCACATTTGTTACTGGAGTATTCAAGTTATCAACACCAAAGAAAAGATGAAGTCCCTGAGAATGGTTTTACCTGAAAACCTTTCCCTCGAGTGATCCCAGTGACATCAACGTACTGTCCCGGAACAAAATGGCGGACTCCGAGTGAAGTACCAACAGGAAGAAGAGCGTCTTCTGTCACAGGAAATTCCCGCAACTTTCTCTTTAACGGCACACCTTGTGCTCTGAAATGCCCCACCACAGACTTCGACAAATGCTTAGGTTTCTTTTGCCCACATCCGATCTAACTAACAGAACAACACATGCCAATCACATTACTAAACCATGAGCTTCACAAACACTATCTTCATAATAAATCCATACAAACATGAAGTTGCAGCAATCTATTGATCAAGTAATCACTAAGAGTTATCCGAATACAGAAATGGAACTACGAGCTACCAATAAATCCACCAGATACAAACTACATCGCCAAAATGGGAATGAATAAACTGCGATGGAGTTACCTGTAACGCAAAAATCCCTTCTTTCTCAACAGTTTTGACCTGAGAGACAATGTTATCATCAACCCAGAGAATAGAAACCGGAACCCTAGCTCCCCATTTGTCCCAGAGCGCAGTCATCCCACACTTAACGGCGATGATCCCAGTCCTTTTAGAGCTACTAGACATCTCGCCTTGTTTCGCCTCGATGATTCGGGTCGGAGCCCCGATAATATCAGATCCACCGCCGTCGACCAAGCCAGCATCGGAGCTGAATCGTCGGAGGAGAAAGAAGCTACAATGAGGAAGAGATTCAGAGGATGAAGGAGTTATAGACCGGATCGATAGAAACTGATTGATGCGAGAAATGAGGCCTCTCGGTACGGCCGCCATGATTTCGAATCGGAAGCGAACCTTCAATGGCTAGACGAAGAAGGAAACAGATGCAGAAACCGGAACTCGGAGGCTTTTGCGTAGGGTTTTAGATGGGCGTCACATCACTCATAACCAAACCCTCTAATTTTGACAGAGACTCTCTAAAATTATATTTATTTAATTTTCCCTCTTTTTAAAAGGAATAAAAATAAAATATGTGGACGAGACAACAAAATCCTACGTGGCTTATTATCTATCCATTTCCACATGTATAAAAAAAAAAACGGTACATGAAATTTTGCTTCAATTTTCAAAATCAATCTCAAAGTCTCAGATGTCTGTAATTCGTCCTTCTCCGATTCCAATTCCGAGATGCAGATCTCAGGTACTGTATCGTCGTCTTCATTCTATTCAACTGATCCAGCGACGACGTCGACGGTGGAATCCGAGGGCTGAGGCGGAGGCTACTGCGGTTGAATCGACGGCTCGGTCTCCGGAGGCAGCGGGAGGGAAAATGGTTGTGGAGCTTGTTGGAGCTTTCAACGAAGTGACGGAGAGGATGAATTCGGTTTGGTTATCTACGTCTTCTTCTAGGTTGCTCTTTAAAGCTCTGAAGCTCTCGATTCCGATTTTACAGTCTCTTCCTCTTGCCTCTGATGGTCGCTCTCCCCTTTCTAAGGCTCTCTCACTCTCTATCCTCCTCGCAGATCTCCAGGTTCCTCTCTCTCTCTGCATCTTCGTAGTTTCGTGTGTAGATGATTAGGTGTTTTTGTTGATTCTGTGGCGAAATTAAAGCATAACTCTAGAAAATCACTGAAAAATCGACGATAAAGGTTTGCTCAATGTACCCTTTAGCATATGAAGATGAAGTAATTAATGTGATATGGTTAGTTCTTAAAATGTGTTTGCTCATCAGAAAAAGAATATGTCAATTGATATTGTGAGCCATTATATATGGTAAATGACAGATGGATGCAGAAGTTATCTCGGCGAGCATTTTGAGTGAGGTGGTGGAGGCGAATGCGATATCCATATATGAAGTTAGAGACCAGATTGGTACCGGAACTGCTCATCTGCTTCATGAGATTTTCCGTGTGAAGAACATCCCTTTTAAAGTTGATGTCTTGGACGATGAAACTGCTGCTTCATTGAGAAAGTTCTATCTAACCTACTATGATATCAGAGCTGTTATCATGGACCTTGTTTCAAAACTTGATGAGATGAGGCATTTGGAGCACTTGCCAAAGTACCGCCAGCAGACTCTCTCCCTTGAAGTCTTGAAGATTTATTCTCCTTTAGCTCATGCCGTGGGGGCTAATCACCTGTCACTTGAGCTCGAGGACATCTCTTTCCGTTATCTTTTCCCGTGTTCGTATCTATACTTAGATTCATGGTTGAGAAGTCATGAGAATGGGTCTAAACCGTTGATTGATGAGTACAGAGAGCAGCTTCATCTGTCTTTGAAGGCTGATTTTGTTTTGGGTGAAATGGTAGATGATGTATATGTCAAAGGTCGATATAAAAGCCGGTACAGCATGATGAAGAAGCTTCTAAGAGATGGGCGTAAACCTGAAGAAGTTAATGATGTGCTTGGTCTACGAGTCATATTGATGCCAAAATCTGTAGCAAACGATGTTGAACTTGGTGAAAAAGCCTGTTACCGAACAAGTGAGATTATCCGGTCTCTATGGAAGGAGATTCCACATAGAACAAAAGACTACATTGCTCGGCCAAAGGAAAATGGGTATAGGAGTCTACACATGGCGGTTGATGTTAGCGACAGCGATCAGAGAAGACCTTTGATGGAGATACAAATACGGACAATGGATATGGATGGATCCGCTAATGCTGGAACAGCATCACATTCTTTGTACAAAGGTGGTCTAACCGACCCAAAAGAGGTAAACACTTGTGTGCTTTTTTGAGTTTAGCAATTGAGGAGGTTGAGTTGTTTGTTTTTGTCTATGTTCAGGCGAAGCGGCTTAAAGCGATAATGATGGCAGCAGCAGATCTTGCAGCAATTCGTCTCAAAGATCTCGCATCAAATAAACAGCAAAGCTTCAAGACAACAACGGACCAAAGAGACAGAGTATTTTGCCTTCTGGACAAAAACGGGGACGGAATGATCAGCATAGAGGAACTAATGGAAGTGATGGAAGAGCTTGGAGCTCCAGGTGAAGACGCAGAGGAGATGATGCAGCTTCTTGACTCTAACAGCGATGGATCTCTTAGTTCGGAAGAATTCGATACGTTTCAGAAACAAGTCCGTTTATTATATAGTTTTCTAACATCATTTTTCTTCCTCTCTTTAATAAATGACTTATTTGGTGGAGTTTGGCATTTGTGATTTGTGTTTCGCAGGTTGAGTTTATGCGTAAATGGGAAGATAGAGATAACGAGTACAAGAGTCTTTTAGACGAGAAGCTTCATGATCTCCCACATCAAGATACCACAGGTTTGATTCAGTTATACAACAAAGAGCTTGAGGATCGGCTCTCAACCCATTAGATTATCAAACTACTTTTCTACAATATAATATTCATAAATGTGTATAAATACTGTAAGTATATGTATTCCTAATGAAAGCCCGTTTTAAAATTCAAATGACAAACTCAAAACCAAAAAGACCCTAAGTCTGGTTATAGCCGGGGGATACTTATTGGATTTGCTTCACAAGTCAAAAGACTTTGTACTACTAAAAGTTCCGATTTCACATGATGTCAATGATCAGAGCAAAGTATCGTCGTGGATACAGTTTTTGGCAGTTGATTTGAACACTTATAACTTTCACCATAAATTTACGTGTGATGTAAGTTTCTTCACCAAGGAGGAAGAGAAGAAAGTCGCCGTATGTGTTGACAACGGAATTGCATACATTTTTGGAGAGAATCGTGACTTCGGAGCCTTTGAACAACAACCAGGTCCAGCAGCTGTGTGCCAAGCTTGAAGCTTGGTTCAAATTCAACCTGGAGGCAATAGGGAACATTATTACTACCATGGCTTGGTCAATGCCCAGTACGGGGAATAGTTAGTTAGTTAAAAATGGAACGTAATTTCTTGCTGCTCATTTATCTTTCTCGTTTTCATGTCCTTTGGTTAATTAGTAAAGTTCTAAATTAACACTAATTGATTGTTAACTTGTAATTGATTGACTTATAGACATAAGTAAATAATCAAATCATGGATTATTAAAAATAATGAAATCTTATGTTAATGAACTATTGTCTTTAATATTTGTTTTATAATCTACAATTATTTATTAAAACATATTTGAAGATTATATTTTTAAAATAAATATTAACAAAGGATTTCATCAGATTTTATTTTATCATAATTGAATAAGGGCATGGGCATTTGTTGGTCCCATGGTTATTTTAAGAGTATTTTGGATGTGGGACAAATGTTTAATTTTGATGTATAAACATTGGTGTATTTATGAGAGAGAGAGAATGCGAAAACAAACCGGAAACCCCAACAATTTTCTTCTCCACTTATTCACACCTCCAGTCAGACCAAGCCACCTGGCTCGAGGAACAACTGAAATTGGTCTCGATTTTAGAAACATTTTCTCACATTTAACCTATTTATGATTTATTTATTTTTACAAATAATTCAATAGAACTTTGCATATTAACGCCTTTACACTTGGTCTAAGATAAGATTTATTAAGTTTGCTTAAAAGTCAAAACCCTAGTTTTCTTATCCTTTATATATATAAATAGATCCAGACTCGGTCTCTATTTTTTTTTTATACCAATCGGAAGATCCCAAGATAAACAATGATGCTCCCGGGTCTTCCACAAGATTTGGTAGAAGAGATACTCTCTAGAGTTCCAGCTACAAATTTGAGTCGGTTACGATATATTTGCAAACGATGGGACGCTTTATTGAAAGACAAAATATTCGCCGAGAAGCACGTACGTAATGCATCAAAACAGTCTCGGCTCCTCATGCTGAAGGATTACAGAGTTTGTCCGATGAGTGTCGTCAATCTCCACAAACAAGTTGATGCTCCAGTATCTATAGAGTTTAAGGACGGATTTGAGCTCAAGGATTCTCTTTCTAAACCAGACCAAGTCGATGTGTCTGAAATCTTCCATTGCGAGGGCTTATTATTGTGTACCACCACCAATGATAATAGTCTTGTGGCTTGGAACCCTTGTACTGGTCAGACAAGGTGGATCCGACACAGTTCACTTTACAAGAGAAACTCTAAATTTTACCTTGGATACGGAAACAAGGACAAGTCTTGCGGCCGTAGCTACAAAATCTTGAGGTATTGGGATGATGGCACCCTAGGCACACAAGTTGTGGAGTTCGAAATGTATGACTTCAGTTCTGATTCATGGAGGGTTCTCGATGACATCACTTGCAACTGTATCCCGCAACTAAATGGCATGTCTATAAAGGGAACTACTTATTCTTATGGTTTGGATAAGAAGAACCACAACTATACATTCTTACTCAGCTTTGATTTTACAACGGAGGTATTTGAATCTCTCTGTTTTCCATTAGTAGTTGGGTTTCTTAGTCATACAACTATAGCTCTATCAGTTGTTAGAGAAGAACAACTCTCACTGTTACTTCAGCGTACTAATGAATCAAAGGTGGATGTATGGGTGACTGATGAGATTGATACTAAAGCAGTGTTGTGGAGCAAACTCTTTACGGTAGATATAGAAGACACTCGTCGTTATATGATTTCGACTAAGGTGAGTTTCCTCTTGGACAAGGAGAAAAAAATTGCCGTGGTTAGTGAGCCAAGATGCAGAGGTGAGATAAACGACTTTGTATACATTGTTGGAGAGGACCGTGATTCCATAACAATTTACTTAGAGCCTACTAGAGAGTTATTACGTGGTGGTTTTTTCAGATTTTGTACACCATTTGTTTTCAATTATGTTCCATGTTTGGTTCAATATTAATATTATTAGTCCGATATTATTATCTTCTTTGTATTTTTTGTAGTGAAAGAGGTTTGATTAAAGATTATATTTTCATCTTCACCTGCCTCTTTGCACTACATTCAAGATTCAACGTACTAAAATAAAACAATAAGAAGCTTGTAAACATTTCTAAGACGCTCTAATTCTAGACTTAGGCCATGAGTCTAGAATTGCATAATGAGAACAAGCAAAATTGCATAACCTTGTAGATTTATATGATCTTGTACAGATTCAATAACTAAACATGTATAAGTAATTATTATTTACAAAAATAAATGAAGACATATATTGGGGGCTAATAAGCCGATTTGCCACACGAAATAAAGAGCAAATACAAAGGTAGAATGAATTAAAAAAGCTCTAATTCTTCTTAAGGATCTACGCCACGGTTTATACTAATAACTAATGCAATTATTTATTTGCACTAATTATATAAATCGAGCTCCTTTCATATATATAAATAAATATATAAAGAAGATGAATTATGAACATGGATGGTGTGTACCATATGATAAAATATTTAGAGCTAATATCTCTTCAGCCGAAAACAACAACACCTATGTTACTATCTCTTGCTCCGGCGAGGATGTGCCCACGTCTTTTAATAGTCTCTCGTACAACTGCACCAAAAAATACCCAAAACTTAACCTCAATATTTTCATCTTTGATATATTTAGTTAGTACTTATAAGGTAGAGATCCGAACCATGAAATCTTAGTTAAGAAGTGACACTTGTAGCATACATACCTGTCTATACAAACATGAATCCCCATAAGATTTTCTTAGCTCAACCACGTTCAGTGACGGCTTTATCTCGAATACCTATTATATATATGATTACATTTTTCTTCGATTAGTCCAAATATAGTCACTAAATAGTCTAAGATAATGAAATAATACTATGTAACTGTAGTTAATATATATACCTCAGCTGTTACTGATAAACCAATTTGACCTTTCTGATTCCTTTCTTCTTGTTTTACTTTTAACTGAAACGAAAGACAGTTCAATAAGTTAATGAAATCCGCAGATTTAGAATTCTAGGCAGCTTATGAAGAGAAAGGACATTTTTGTTTTGAAGACTCACCTTCGCATGTTTCTTTTGTACATTGTATCCCATTTCTGTTACCGTTGTCTCGATTTTCTCCAGTAAATCTTTTGCGGAGCTATTTGAAGTGAATCTTATTCTCCTCTCTGATACATTCTGAGAATACAAAAAGTATGATCTTTTATTATTACTTATGCATTATCTCAAGCATAGAGGCAGAGTACATCTTTGAAACAGAGTAAAGGATTATTTACCTCTTGTTCAAAGAAACCAGACAGGTCAAGAAATGAAGACATTCCGATTAACTGAAACGCATTGATAATGGTCGGTGAATCACTTCCCTTCCCTTCTTCTGATCCCTAGACCATTCCAAAAAGAAACAGAGAAATGAGCACACTGTACTTGAATAAAATGCAATTGCAATAAAGAGTGAGGCGACAGATTCTTACGAGCTCTTGGACTGAGAAGGCATCATCGTCTGTGTCAACTTCTTCTTCGTCATCATCATCATCGGGAATTGAAGGAACGTACTCGTGTTTAAACCACTCGCTGGCTTTAATACCAACGACTGTGATTCTTGTGACTGGATTTGGATCGAGCATTCTCTTAATCATGGTTCTTGCACCTGGTGATAACCATCTTGGTATTGGTGGGTCTCCTTTGCATATCTGAATAAGAAACCATATCTTTAATCAAGCTAGTTTCTTCAAAATGTGTGTATGTTGAATTGCAGTATATCTAAGAGATGCTGCTGTTTACCTTCTGGTAAAGAACCGCAAGGTTTCTATCATCAAATGGAAGACATCCAGTTAAAATGACATACAAGATTACACCGCACGACCATATATCTGAGGCTGCACCATCATAGCCTCTGTTAGCTAAAACTTCAGGTGCAACGTAATTAGGACTTCCACAGGTTGTATGCAACAATCCGTCATCCTAAATGCCAAAGAGAATATTAGTTGCAACTCAAACAGATTCAACAGGTTTTTTTTTCCTGCTGTGATATGTTATGGTTTAAAGATGATATTTTCAAGTACCCTAAAATGTTGAGGCAGAGCACTGAGGCCAAAATCAGTGATCTTTATATGTCCCTTAGCATCAAGAAGAACATTCTCTAGCTGCAATATAAGAAGAAAAAAGATTGGAAAATCATCAGCGCACTATTCCATAGGGTTTGCATGGTTAGAACCACCAGTGAGAAGCACGGACCTTGAGATCCCTGTGGAAAACACCTTTGCTGTGACAGTAGCTGATTCCATCGATCAACTGCTGAAACATTTTTCTTCCATCTGTTTCTGTTAGTTTACCGTTGGAGACCTGAGAGTTAGAATCAAAGTGTGAGTTTATAATCAAAGGAAGAAGCTTTGCATTGAGCAGAGAGAGGGTACTAGGGGGTCTTACAATTCTGTCAAACAATTCTCCTCCAGTGACAAGTTCCATCACCATATTAATTTTCGTTTTGCTAGCCAATACCTGACCAAAAAGGAAGAGACCATGAGAATCCAAAAGTATAAAAGAGACTAAAATCCGAGTTGCATTCATATACCCAGGATTCACTAAAACACTTTGGTGTCCAAAACGTACAAGAAACACACATAAATAATAATAGGTTAACCACACACAACACGACGACAGAGTTAGTCACAACCTAAAGCTTAAAAAAGTGGACCACGTGTATCGAATAAGTGAAATCCACAATAGGTTGCTAAACTAAAAAAGTCGAGATAGTTAGAAGTCAACAATAAACGTAAGAACCAAAAGATACAGCAATAACCATACAATAATAATCTGAGTAAAGTATATATTATATCCAAAATAAAATAAAATAAAAAGTTATGTACATAAGATTAAAAAAGGTCCACATGATTATAAAGAAAGCGTAAAAAAGGGTCCTAAGATTAAGCAATGATATGATTGAAGGGACAAATCCTGCATTTTTCACGATGATTGTTCAAGGACCCACCCCCTTTGAAATTGAATAGGTCAGATTTGTGTTACCGTCCACCCAGCCACCGCGTAATCAAATAGTATTGTTGCAATGCATAGTTAAACTTATATAATTGGACAACGTGAAAAACAAGGTTTAACGATCATGTTTTGGCCTTTGGGTATGAAAATAAAGACCATTTTGTTTTTTTTTTAAAGGTGATAAAATCGAATGACTTGTAAAGAATATTCTCAAAAATAGTCAGAAGAAGATCAAAATGCAAACAAAACACTTATCCAAGATTTGCGTGTTGTCAGCACCGTTTTGAATAGATAAAAGTTTACTAATCTTAATCTCTAACATCTAAAATGACCAAAAGAAACATAAGAAGATATCAAATGTTTATAACCATCCATGATAATATAATTCGATTTTACTTGCTGTCATACTCAATCAAGGTTAGAAAGAAAACACAACCTACACCGCAAGCAAACAAAACACAAAAGCTATAATCCAAAAAAAAAACACAATATTTGTGGTATATACTAATATCATCGTCTCATTCGATAAGCCAGACAAAAGAAAAAGAGATTAAGAAATGGATTTTGGCTGGGCGCACCTCATGTAATCTAACAATGTTGGGATGTTTTAGCATTTTCAGAGTACGGATCTCTCTCTTTATCTGCAATTATCAAATTGGATCCGTCAAACTCGGAGAAAAATTAGAAATATGATTCATAGGACAAAAGATCGAATGCGAACCTGTAAGGAGAAGTTGAGATCGGCGATACGAGATTTGTCGATGATTTTAACGGCGAAGGATTGACCGGAGACGGTATCCCTAGCGAATTTAACTTTACCGAAATTACCCTCGCCGAGCGTCCTCCCAAGCTCGTATTTCCCAAGACGCATTCCCTTTTTCACCTCCACCTTCTTCTCCTCCTCTTGCCTTATTCTCACCATCCAATCACAGATCGAATTGATTGGTTCTTCGCTTGAATTTTCCGGTTAGACGATTATAAATCCTTTCTGAAAATGGGAAGTTTATGTATATGATGGCTCCCTAGCTCTGTGCAGTTTATGTGTGTGAGGGAAGGAGATATATATATATATATAGAGAGAGAAAGAAAGTGTATGTAAAATCGAAGAGAGGTTGGGGAAGAAGAAGAAGAAGAAGAAAGTGCGGGGTTGTGAAATTGAAGAGAGGACGCTACTTCTCTTTGCTTCCTCTCTTCTTTTATATTCACCTTTTCTTTTTCTTTTTCTTTTTTTTTATTCCTCTTAGCCAGCTTTTTTTTTATTGGATAACAATAAACATCTTAATCTTTAATATTTTAAAATCGATTAACATATTATAATCTTAAGTTAAGATTCTTAACAAACAAACAAAAAGATTTTATATTATTCCAGAGATTTTTTTGTTTAATATAACGTACTTTTGGAGGTTTATTATTATTGGTCAAATAAAAACTCCTATAAATTGAAATAATGTCTAACTTCATTATAAGGAAAAATCGATTTTATTTTTGTCGACATGGAATTTATTTTAAAAAAATATACGTATAATCTATGCAAGAGTATAGTGATTTTTATTTTTGTTGTATCAGAATAATGTTATATATATTTTTTTTGATGTATTTACGAATTTAAGTGTGTTTGTTTGTTTTATATGTGTTACTTGTAGGCATCTAAAGGTCCACTTCATTTGTTGCATTACTTTTATGTTGAAATTTTAAATAATCAAATCAATAAATAGATTCATAACAACTTTTGGTTATAGTCGGAAAGAAATGCTATAAAAACATTGTTCCACTTTTATAGATTAATTTGTTGCTGAAGCAGTTTTGATTTGGCATTCGGCTTTATATATTACTAATATAGTATAAACTAGTAATTTTCTGAAATTGATTATATAATTATAGTTACAGTTTTAAGTCTAACTATAGTTTATCAAAATTACAATTTTGCTAAAAGAGCATATCAAAAGAGAGGAAACTTGAACCAAAGTTGAGAAAACATATATAGCCCTATCATATCAAGTCATACACTTCAACACTAGTATAGTTTCTCGATTTGGTTCTATAGGCCGAAGGTCTTAAACGTCGTGGTATATTAATATACATACGTTTTTAAAAAATTAATTAGACGTAGATATCGTGCATGATCAATTATTTAGTAATATAACATTTTTGTTACGGTAGTGCTTTCCATTTGGGAAAGAAAACATTATACGATGAGTTTTATAATATTTGTTTCTGTCTTTGTAGACTAATAATTTTGGTTGTGTGTAGACTTTTCCAAGATTATAAATTCGCGTTATCGTTTAGAAACACAATCGTTGAGGATGATCCACTTTAAGTTTAATTTAAAATATATATTGACCACAGAATTGAGATTTTTTTTGGTGATTTTAAAACTCATATTCTATGTTTTTTGTCGGCTCACATACAAATCACATGGTTCCATTCAATTTATATGATTTCTTATCTTATGCAAGGTTTTGTATTCCAAGAAGATAATTTTTGTTTTTTCCATAAATCAAGGAAACCCCTAAATGAAACCAAGGCTAAATATCTCTTGAATATTGGAAAACACCGTATATATACTTTCCCACCTTTTCTATTGGAAAACATATATAGGTCCGATCCGAAGATATAGAGAGCATGCATGGCCATGGATTATTTATAGAATTAGTGGATACTATCTCTTTTTCTGCTCAGTATTCTTGATATTTTGTTTGTAATTAATGAAATAAAAACAGAAAAAGGTGATATGTGTCTCATGTTTCTCAAGGCATACCTTTCCCAATATATATATATATTTTTTTTTTATATAGATTATGTGGCTGGAATAAATCATCTATTATGTACAAGGAGAAAAGACCAATAATTTAAAGTTGTTAAAGTCTCAGACGTGTATGAATGGCCGGTGATGATAGTGCTGCATGCTGCCGGCTGCCGCCAGTGAGTTACATATTGATTGATGATTAGCCAGTGCGATCATAATTTTAGCTCTTTTCTCTTTTCTTCTTTTTTGTGCGTGGGTGTGTGATATAATTTTAATATTTATACAAATAAAAAAGTTACACTCGCGAATTGTTCTATTTTTCAGTTTTTCCTCTCTTTGATTAAGAAGAAACCTTAATAACCATATGATTAATAAGCTGTCTTTGACTCTACGTGTCACAATAACCTATATTGATTAAATGCTAACCTAATGTAGGACGAGAACTTACGTCTTATTTTTGAGATCCCTACATTGGTTATTTCATATTTCGTATCATCATGCTAATGGTATTTACTAATTACAAACTTGTTGTTTATACATTGCAAATGGTACGTGCCTACTGCCTAGTCAAATTATACACCGTGAGTCCGTGACGACTAGAAAAAACTTAGATCATATATATGTAGTGAAATGTTGGAAAGCTCAAACCCTAATACTTCCGTTAAGAAACTGAGATATTATTGGTAATAAAACCAAAAAAAGAAGAAGATATTGTTCCAAAACAAATATATCTAAACAAATTATATAGAAAATGTTTAAATCAGCGGACCATACGCCTTGAGATACGCAAAACCGAACCTAATTTTGTTTCGTCAAGTGACTATCGTAATAACATAATTGGTCCATACCTAAAATAACAAAATCCGATACGGTTTCGATTTTTCCAAGTTATAATGAAACGATACATTTTTTAAAATTTAGAAACACGTAAGTGACGTGGGGAGGGAAAGAGAAGACAAGAATGAGATTTTCTTTTTTGAGAGTGGGGAAGACGAGAGGGCACTCGGGGACGGGTAGTACCACGTGAATTCAACCAACCAACTCATGACTGACGGGTGTGGCCATTTTAGCCATGTGGTTGCTCTCTTCTTTCTTTTTCAACCACTATTATTATTACCTTTTTCTTTATAAACTTACGTGAGATCAATGCGAAAATTTTAATGTTTTATTTTTTCGTCGTTAATTTTTTCATCCTATGGTTTCTAGTACTTCTGAACATGTTTTCTAAGATTCACTTTTATAAATCAAGCAAAACACAACAAAAATGTTAGTAAAGATATTTTTCATAATTTGTTAAAAAAAAAATTAAAAATTTCATTTGCTACATAGTTTTCGATGGTTATAGTTCTGACCCAACAAAAGAAAAAGAAAAAAAATCAATTTTCTTTTATGCACCTATCTTTTCACCATAATTAACGTAATAAATACTATTTTAGGCTTTTAGCAACATTTCATCGTTTTCTCATCAACCAATGGGTTACTATTGTTAATATGGGGTCGCGAAAGGAGTGCGACTACTTCTCGCCTAAATGTATCATTTGGCCTCAGTAAAGGATCATGTGCTTGTGTGTCCATAGAATAATTGTATTAACTATCAACTCCAAACGCCTTTCTACTAAATATTTTTTTTATGAAAAAAAAGACTAAATATTTTTTTATGAAAAAAAAGACGAGTCATTAACCTTATAAATGCTTATCAATTGGATTGTTACTTAGTTGGCTGGTTTAAAATATGTTTTAATATTTCTTTGTTTTGTTTACTTTATTCCAAGTGAGTTTTTGTTTCAGTATTTTTATGTTTTGTTTTGCTAACAATTATGTATTATGAGAATTTGAGTATTGGATAGTGATACGAAATTGATGAGAGAAAAAAAAAAAGAAGAAGAAGAAGAAAGAAAGAAAACACAATAGCTAGGCAACGAGAGTAGCCACATCTTGACATTCTTGACCTCAGAAATGGCAGTTGAACTCAATATGACATATGTGTGCCCATGTGAGAGTGATATGTATGTAGTGTCTATCTATTGGTATTCTAAATAACTAGTGTCCCCTCTGTGTATGTATGTTTCTGTAGAATGTCTTCGCATCCACATTTTGGTCGTATTTTAATAATCGTAAGCGGATCCTAGCGTATTACTTATGATATAAAGCTTATGATATTCATGTATATATGACAATAAATTATGAAAAATTCTTAATTAGTCCTCTCAAATAATGAATAAATCATTGGGTCAAAATACATCCCAGTTTTTCGATTGATCCCTTTACTCACTTACATATACATATTATTTCACTTAGAAAAGTAAAAATTATTGTCATGTTTTTACCCGAAAAAAAGACAAATAACTCGTATTATTTATTTAATAGCATGAATATAATAAAAACTACTGCAAGAATCTAGATCAGTTACGAATATTAATTGGATTCATCGGTGCTAAAAGTTTGATATATGATTTTATAAAAGGTCAAGTTGTATATATAGTGTGTAATCTTCACCTTATCCTTTTCCAAGTTTTCATGGAGTTTTCGAAATTCCATGTTGAGTTTTTTTTTGTTTTTGTTTTAGAGGTTTAAACTATACTATGTTGAATAGTGGAGAATATTCTTTATCTGGAGACGTTATCTAACATTAATTATATTTTATATAGAAAAGGGAAACTTTTTGATAAGCAATAACGTAAAATTCGTATGTATTTAGGATCCTAGATTCCACAGCAACAGTTACACGTCAATTTAGACGGTGTTTAAATAGTTATCATATTGTTGAGTAATAGTATTTTAGTATTACCAAATCGTAAGGATTTCCCAAAAGCGACCCACTAAACAATTCCTAAGTGGATAAAATGAGTCTCCTTCTCTTATCCAAACTCAATCCACATATACAGTATTTATTTGATTTGTCTATCAATGTTTTTTATACTTACTTATAAAAAGAGTCACATTATGACACAAACCTTTTCCACTGACGAAGAGGCAAATTGTGGTTTTTAAGTCTACCCCAAGCAACAAGGCCAATTTGCTTACTTATTTGATATGTACTTCTAACATACACAATTCAATAAAAGAGACAAAGAAATTTGATTCCTACGGAGATATCCAAAACTAAAAATCAAGATCCAAATATAGGTTATCGTCTACTGATATAACTTACGCTCCACGTTACATACCCAAGAGTGTGCATCTCTGGATGGTTAATTTTATTTCGTTACATACAACAAAAGGTTGGCAATATTGAGCACAATCAAACACATATCATCAACTTGACTATAATACGCACACCAACAGAAGAAAACAATTCAAGTAAACGCAATACATAACCTTAAAGTTAATGTAACCTAATAATTAGTGTACATTAACAAATACTAAAGCGATGTGATCATGTGATATATTATATGTTAATTACGCTAAATAATACAGTTGCTTGACTCGCTATGGAATCTCCAACCTTTGGGAACAAGGAAGAAGAAAGCAAAAAGCCATCGTGTCACACTTTTGACATCACCACAAAAAGTGAAAGTAGAATATGTTAATTTTCTTCCAAGATGATTCATGATCGTATATGGTTCCAACAATTACAAAGCCAAGTGGGGACAAAAGAGTTTCGTCGAGGGTAATAATTTAATTCAATTTGGCAAAGTGAACCACCTTATCATTAAAAAGAGCACAATGTATTGTTATTATAAGTGAGTGATGTGAGCAATCAACTTCTTCTCACCAGCCACTACTCGACTACTGGAGTGGGGGCAAAAGCCAAGACGACCCAAAAAGCGTAGTTTAATATACGATCCATCTACGTCTTTGGTCTTATGTTTAATCCATATGGTGAGAGAGATTCCAATTACTAACCACACATATATTGTCAATTTAAATTCAGTGCTTAAAGGGTAATAGCTCATCGATAAAATTAGTTGGATCGTCTTCTCCATATCACGAAACATCGTTTGCAAAACATATTATTGTATTCTTATATTACAACGTTCTTTTTTTGGGCGTTTGCTGCAGCTTTTAAGCTTTAAAAAAATTGGGCCTCTCAAGCTTTGCTAACGGGTCCAAGTGGACTATTGACGTAGGCCTCCTTATTCAAAACGTACCATGTGTGATGTGTGTATATCCCAAGAGAGACCAACATATACACAACGTAACCAAAACAAAAACAAAAACAGGCAAAAGATTAGGACATGATTACATATATTAAGATTACGAACCAAGAAAACAACATCAACACTGTCCAACCCACTGATGATTTTATTTCCTCAACATCTTTAAAGCTCTGCTTCATCGTCTGCCAAGCTATCTTTAACACGTTTTGACTTGTGTGACACGGTGTCCTTAGCTTCCTCTGACTTACGCGCTGCTGAGTCGTAACTCTGCGACGCCTTATCTTTTGCAGATTCCAAAGTCTCATCCGCTTTTGATTTCGCAGTCTCGTAGCTTTCCTTAGTCTTCTCCTTCGCACTCTTGCTATCTCTTTCTGCTTTCTCCTTCAACTTCTCCGCCTTCTCCTTAGCGGCCTTTGTCATATCGCTTGCCTTCTCTTTCGTGGCCTCGACTGTTTCCTCCAACTTCTCCTTCGCATCTCCCACTTTGCGTTTAGTCGCATCCTTAGCGTCCTTAGCCTTCTCGGAAAACGTCTCTCCCAAGTTAGGGTTATTTTCGTCGTTCTTGATTCCGATTTTCTCTTTGGCCCAATCAGTCCAAGACTCATCGTCTTCATCTCCCGACAGGCTGTCTTTTACTTTCTTTGACTTGTGAGAGACGTCATCTTTGACTTGACCAGCTGAGTCGTAACTCTCCGAGGCCTTATCCTTCACAGAACCAATACCCTCGCCAACTTTAGATGTAGCTGTCTCGTAAGCCGATCCCGCTTTATCCTTGGCTGCTCCAACCGCTTCCTCTGTTTTACGCTTAGCCTCATCTTTCGCGTCCTTAACTTTTTCACTCGCTTTCCAAGCGTCGTCTTGGACGGTGTGTTGGACGTTGTCTTCGTTCTTGAGACCGATCTTTTCCTTGGCCCAATCAGTCCATGACTCATCCTTAGCCGCTTCTTCCTGGATTGTAGCTTGGACAGAACACACCGTTACAATAGCCATAAGTACCAAAGATACCATAACCAAACCGTACACTTTCCTCTCTAACCCCATTGTTATTACACTAATAGAAAACAAAACAACTTATAAATCTAGCTCTCTTTCCTCTCGCAAGGAATGAAGTATTTGATAGATAGTAATGATCAGTTTACAGAAAAAGATCTGTTGATTTGTGCTGTGGTGTTCTCCGAGGAATGGTGCTGTGTTTGCTTCCCTGTTATGTATTAGTGCAAAATGTGATAGGCTTGAGACGCGTGGCTAACTACGTGGAGAGTACCAGCTTCTTTTGGCTTCTCGATCTTGGATTCGTGTTAAGTGGTTCTTTACACGTGTTATGTACCCAACTATTGATTTTTAGGAAAAATGGTAAAATACTCTTTGCCGACTCGGGAAATCTTTAAAGAAGACAGACTTCAAATCAAACACATACGTATGTTAATGTTAAAAAAAAAAAAAACCTAGATATTATGAAATTGTATGTAATAATTTTTTTTTATTTTTTTCCTGCCAGACGTATACAAATGTTTTGAACTATGTTCAGTGAGTGGTTTTATTAATGGGCTTTTAAAATAACCCATGGGCCTTTTGTAAACAAAACTAGTGAAATTTATGCGATTTCTCGGTTTCAGAGACAACGAGGACGAGGAGGATGATACCCCATCTTCCACACGATTTGGAGTCCGAGATCCTTTCTAGGGTTCCGGCAAAGTCTCTGCCGAAATGGAAGACTACTTGCAAACGGTGGTACGAATTGTTCAGAGATCCGAGATTCGTCAAGAAGAACTTTGGTAACGCAGCAGCAAGGGAAATGATTGTGCTGATGAATTCTGGGGTTTCCTCGATTCGCGTCGATCTCCGTGCAATTGACGACGAGGTTGATCCAAATATGGAGGTTTCAGGTAAACTCAGCTGGCAAAAAGACTCAAAACAGGTCAAATTATCTCAGATCTTTCACTGCGACGGTTTGATTTTATGCTTCACTAAGAGAAACACTCGGCTAGTTGTTTGGAACCCCTGTACGGGTCAAACCAGGTGGATCAAACCCAGAACTCGTTTCAAGAGTGATGATGTCTTTGCTATTGGTTACGAAGACAGCAACTCTTGTTCCGGTAGCTTCAAGATCTTGAGGTTTTGTTACGACAACAACGCCAAGGACCAGGAGCTCCTCCGGTTTGCTGAGATTGAGATCTATGAATTTAGCTCTGATTCATGGAGGGTTCTTGATGGCATGAGTAATCCTACATGGGGCTTGTGTGCTGGTGGCGTGTCTGTCAAAGGAACCACTTACTGGGTCGCTGGAGATATCATCGAACCTGGTTTCTTCTTGCTCAGTTTTGATTTCACTACAGAGACTTTTGGGCGTCTTCCTCTTCCCTATCAGAGCGACAATCCTGAAGATACTTTTGCCATCTCTGTCGTTGGTGATGATAAAATCGCCGTGCTTCATCAGAACATCCTCGCCTTCTCGAATGAGATGAACATATGGGTGACAAAGAAGATTGGTGTGGCCAAAGACTTGTCGTGGAGCGACTTCGTCTTAACAGTGGACTATGATGAGTTTTGTTTGCCGTTTGTGACGAATGTGATGAGTTTTTTGTTGGACGAGGAGAACAAGACAGCAATCTGTTGTAGTAGATATGGAGGAAGGACCCGAATCTACATTGTTAAAGAGCACAAATACAAAGAAGTATTTAAAGAGATTACACAAGGTATTGTTTTGGATTGGCCATTTCTCCTCAGTTATGTTCCAAGTTTGGTTAACATTCAGAAAACTACACCCAAAAGGCGAAAGAAAAGGAAATCAAGGGAGGCTAGGTAGATCATTACTTTGGTTATTTTCTTTCTTCTGGTTTCGGTGATGTGCTTTTGTGCTGAGATTAAACAATTGTTCATGAGGTTGTTTCATAATGGTTATCTTGTCTTGGATGGGTTTATCTAGTGATATTTACTCATATACATTGTTCTGCTTATAGCCACTTTCACTTATTGGTTATCATAACTTGAGCAGAATCTTATATGATCAAAACCATTTAGCCACAACTATGGCATACAAATGATTGATCTTCCTGTCCTGCAGCGCAGCTCTCAGCCTCTGTTCTTAAAGGTTTAACATTGTCTCTTCAAACACAAACATATGTTCATGTTGTTTTATAAGTAAAACATACCAACGAGTCTGGTTCTATATATCTTTCAAATGGAAAATTGAAATTTGGAAAATAAAAGCAACCTTATGTGAAATCTGATAGAAAAACAGACTCTATTATTCTTTTAAATCTCCGATGGATCCACAGAATGTTTTAGGCATAGTTTATAGGTATAACATAACAATGCTCATATATTAGGGAAACCAAACATCAATAGATGAAACTATACAAATCATACCCTGTTTCTGACAGAGAACATAAAAAGCTGAAGTTATTACATACATTAAAAAAAGACATATTTGTACATGCTAATCTCCACTAAGTTACACTTGTCATGGACCCAAAACTCACGCGTAAGATCCACAATAATAACCACTCGGCGCACATCAGCCAAGACCCAAAATCAAACGTCGTTTGTGAGAAGTCTGAAATCTATTTCTTGTAGCAGAAACCTGACGTCTTGTGACTCTAAATCTTCCTTGACTTTGAAGAATCCACAGTGAACATCTTTGAGTAATTTCAGAACTTTAGCTAATTCACCATCGCTTTTACTCTCGTCTCTCTTCTCCTCAGTGTAAGACTCTGACTCTTCTGGGTCATTGACTCCGAAATAGTGGTACTCGTTAATCTCCACTAGGTTACTCTGGTGATGGGTCCAAACATCACGCGTATCATCCACAATGACCACTCCACGCTCCTCAGCTAAAACCAAATCAAGCGTCTTAACATAAGGACTCTCGTCTCTTGTTATCACTCTATCCCCGAAATATATTCTCTTGGGATCAATCAGTTTCAACACGGATTTGGCGTATGTTCGATTACCCATTGTATAAACATACATTGTGAACATCTCGCTGGCTTCCTTCAAAAACTCGTGAAGGAAAGGCCGTAGCTTCGTCAAGAATTCGGCGTCCAACCTCCATAGATCTTCCTTCGAACCCGCTTCTTCGACTAGATGCTTATCTGTTTCGGAGAGAAGTGAAACCCTAACAGAGTGGATAAGCGTGTGGTCCAAGTCAAGGACAAGGTGAAGCTTCTTCTCGTTCTGAAGATAGAATCGCGTTGTAAAGCGCTTAGTGAACGCTGCTGCTTCGTAGCTTAGCTGCAAACCTTGGAGGAGATAGTTGAATGCTCGGCCTTGACGTTCGTTTACCGTCGATTTACAGGCGATGCAGACTCCGTAACGAACGTACCAGTGACCGCAGCTACTACGAGATGACGACAGTGATGAGGACGACTCGTTGAACGCCGGTTCGAATTCCATGAAAACGTTTTCAACTACAAACATGATTCCTTTCGATTACTGATATAGTCCTTCCCCTTCCTTCAGTTTGATCTGAGAATAACTTAGCTCTGATCAGAGATTTTGAGAGCAAAACTAACAGAAGAGAATATAATTTTGAGGTATATAAAGATTAAAACTAAACTCGTAAATCTCACTAGATTTGTTTTGAAGTTAACAAAAAAATCTAAATCTGCCTGATTTTATGCTTTTGATCATTATCCCCATAATTAATATTTGTTGTTTCCTTTTCTTTAAATATTTTTTTCGTTAGGTTATACTTATATGTATATGCCGTGTTACCGCGTACAATATTAACCCTTTTCATGAATTGATGATTCCCAATGGAAAATTAGATTTTTGAAACCCTTTTTAAAAAGGGAAATGACTCTATTTTACAAATATTAAATAAAAATCATAACTTTTAATCTAATAATCTATAGTTTTATGATTTCAGGGAAAAAAATGGAAAGAAAATATATTTTTCTGATTTGTCCATCTACTAAAATCTACACAATTGATATCTCAATATTGTGACTAAAGCTTAATCAGGTTATGACACCTTTTTAACAATTTAAAACTTAATCAAGTTATAAAAGAGAAACGAGCAAAATAATTTACTTATTTTAGCTATGGCAACTAACCATAGAATAAAAGGAAAATTTACAATAGTATCAAGAAAAGAAGAAGAAAAGCCGGATATGCAGAGAAAGTATAATTATTTACTTTCACAAAAAAGGCATGAATTATTATTGCTAATATACTTTAATTTCATTACTTGTCATGGTTTAAAAGATTTATAATTTATAATTGTGTTTTACAAATTTATCTATGAAATTCATCTGGTGTGAGAGAAAAAAAGAGTGGATATGCGTTAAGGTTTACTTGAAAACCCTAACGAAAACTCTACGCTTCCGTCGCTTATATGCAAGATGAGATCAGAACTCACAAGAGAAACAAAGTTGATCTTCGATCTTCCACAGGATGTGATAGAAGAGATATTCTCTAAGGTTCCGGTGGCATCTCTAAGAAGATTACGACCTACTTGCAAAAGATTGAACGCTTTACCCAAAAATCAGGGCATCATCAAAAAACATTTTGAGAAAAGGCAGTACCATGCTCTTATGCTGCTCAACTTTAAGTTTTATTCGGTAAGCTACAATCTCCATGGAGTTAATGAGGATATCGCTTCCTTGCTTGAACTTAGCCTAATCGATCCCCATCGTGGTACAGACGCCGATATATCTCAAGCCTTTCACTGCGATGGTTTATTGCTATGCACCACCAAAGAAAATAGATTAGTGATTTGGAATCCGTTTTCGGGGCAAACCAGATGGTTACAACCGCAAAATCGTGGCAAGATAGACGAAGCCTATGTTCTTGGGTACGACAACACCGACTTGTGCCATAGCTACAAAATCTTGAGTTTTCCGGATATTTACTACCAAGAATTGGATACTAGCCAAAATTCTTGGAGGGATCTTGATGTCACACCCCAAGGCGACTTAGACTTGAAAACCGAAGAGTTTAGCTCTAATTCATGGAGGAGACATCTTGGTGTTACTCCCCAAGGCGACTTACATTTGAAAATATATGACTTTAGCTCTAGTTCATGGAAGAATCTTGATGTCATTACTCCCGAAGGTTGCTTAAAATCTTGTGGCGTGTCCGTGAAGGGAAATGCTTATTGGGTGTACGTGTCTAAGCAAAGAGGAGTCAACGACTACTCTCTACTTAGTTTCGATTTTTCAACTGAGATTTTCCAACATTTGTGTGTTCCCTTTAATCAAGAAGCAGATTGTGCTGATACTACGGCTCTCTCGGTTGTTAAAGACGAACATCTTTCGTTGTTATATCAGAGCTGCGAGACGCTAAAGGTGGAAATATGGATGACCAACAAGATCGAGACCACATTTGTGTCATGGAGGAAGTTCCTAACAGTGGATATAGAACCTCAGATCCCTATGTTCTCGTGTCGGATGAGCTTCTTCGTTATAGAGGATATGAAAGTTGCCGTGTGTTGTGACAGAGATAACAAAGTATATGTTATTAGAGAAGATGAATACAAAGTATCTTCCGGTTTTTATTTTTTAGATTTCGAAGGCATAACATGTTGCTTAACTGTCTTTGGTTATGTTCCAAGATTGGTTTAATTTTTCTTTTGCTTCCTTCCGCCGCTAATGTTGAGATTAGTTTTTTTTATTAAATCCGAATGCAACAAAAAAGCAATTTGTTAGACCGGGTAAAACTATTTTAGGCCCAAACGAACCGGGTTGTCGAAACCCTTGGAACCATTTGGAGTGTTAGCTGATACGTATACTTGCCGATCAAAATTATAATCTCTTCATTGCTTTGCGTCGTTTCTCCGATCGATTTACCGGAGAAGACACTGTTTCTCACTTTTTCTCCGCCTGATATTTACGCTTCTACGTTTTTGTAAGCTCTTTCCTCTAACTAAGTGTTTTTTTTTTAGGTTTTTTGATTCCTTGTTCTTCGATTGCTTTAAATTTCATGTTTTACCGATCTTGCTAATGTTTGATTTCGTCTTTCATTGACGTATTCTAGGGTTCATCGAAGCTTTGATGAGATTTTTATATGCTAGTTGGGTTCGATTTGTGTTCAATTTTAGCTACTGTTTTGATTTCCTCTATTGGTGGTGATAATGAGTTCGAATCGTTGTCTCTCTGCTTGGTGCTTCATGGATATTGAAAAAAATTTAGAAGTGAGGAATATGAGCATGAACGATGATGAACTTGGGACTATGGAAACCTAAATATTTCTCAGCTTCTTATGATGGAAGACGAAATTTTTATTTCTTTAGAGAGGATCATTTGAAAGCTTAGTAGCAGTAATTGTGCCTAGGTATTATGCTTCTGGGTATTCTTTTGATGAATTTTGAGATTTTAATTGGATCAATATCATCATCATACAGAACAGTGACTATAATCTGTTTCTAGATTCTTTTCAAACTCTCATTAATCTCCGGTTAGGTAACCTTATGTGGAATCTGGTCTTGGAATATGTAGTTTAGTTGGACCTCATATCTGTTTTCTCTAATGGAGTTTCTTATATTTTAGTTCGACTTCGACCTCATATCTGTTTCCTTTAATGGAATTTCTGATGTTTTAGTTCGACCTCATATCTGTTTTCTCCAAGTTTTGAGTGTTCTTCCTTGTCATTTTTTTAAAGTTATATGAGTTGTTGTGAATCAAAAGCAGCTCTTTATCTCTGTTCATCTCATGTTTTCTTTATTTAACCTTGCATAAACTGTCCTTAAAATTCTTCTGTAAGTGGACAAGCCTAGATGTTTACTTTAGGATCTAACATACTGTTGCTTACTTTCTATGTAACATCAGGTCAGAAATCAAAAGACAAACAAACAATGATGATTTCAGAGCTTCCACGAGATTTGGAAGCAGAAATACTCTCATGGGTTCCGGCTAGATATCTACAAAAACTGAAACCTACTTGCAAGCGGTGGTACACTTTGTTCAAAGACCCAGGATTCCTTAAGAAGAACTTGGCAAGATTAGAAAGAGAGTTGCTGTCTCTGATGAATTACAAACTTTGTTCAATTAGTGTCAATCTCCCTGGCATCCACAACAGTGTTGATCCATTCGTTGACTTCTCAGGTATACTTAACAGTAAGAAGGATCCAGAAGATGTCAAAATATTTGATATCTCTCAGTGCAACGGTGTATTACTGTGCACCACTAAGGACATGAGACTTATTGTTTGGAACCCGTCAACCGGTCAAATGAGGTGGATCCCATGCAGATCCAGCAGTCCGTACTCACTGGTCCATAAGTATGCGTTAGGATACGAAAACAACAATGAATCTTGCTATAGCTACAGGATCTTGAGGTATCATCAGTCGTATGGAAACTTAGGGGATGAGTTTGGAATCTATGAGTTTAATTCTGATTCATGGAGGAGTTTTTATGACTTCTCACCTAATTGTTCCTTACAATCTAAGGGCGTGACATTGAAGGGAAATACTTACTGGTTTGCTTCAGATGTACAAGACCCCTTTGTTAATTTCGTACTCAGGTTTGATTTCACAACCAAAAGATTTGGACGCCTCTCTCTTCCTTTTCAGAGTGATGATGTTGATGGTGTTGTGGAGACTGTGGTTCTATCAGTTGTTAGGGAAGAGAAACTTGCGTTGTTATATGAGAGGTTTGATGATGATACAGATGGATCAGAGATGAAGATATGGGTCACCAATACAAAAATTGAGGAAGCCAAAGACTTGTCGTGGAGCGATTTCTTGGTAGTGGATTTCAGTAAATTAATGATAACAGGGATGACAAATGTGAGGAGTTTTTTGGTGGATGAGGAGAAAAAAATGGTCATGTTTTGTGATACAGACACCAATGATCAATACATGACAAGAGTTTTCATTGTCGGAGAGGATATATACCAAGAAGTTTATAACGAGACTGCTATAGGGGAATCATTTTGCTATTGGCCACGTCTCATCAGTTATGCTCCAAGTCTGGTTCAAATTCAGCAAGGTCAAGTGAATCCCGGATGTAAAAGAAAAAGGTGATTAGATCACTAGGGTTCATTTGTCTCTGTTTAGTTAAGTAACTGTATGTAGTAGCTGAACCTTCCTTTGTTTATCTTTTTAGTCCTCTTTTGCTTTTGAAACACTAGGTTTTGGTGATCTTTACTCAAATCCATTGTCTATGAGAGGTTGGTTTAGTCACTAACTCACTATAACATCAAAAGATCAATCCTGGTATGGTTTTTCATAGAAGATCAATCCAAACCCCAGAGCTTACGAAATATCTGGTTTCCAAATAACAGCAAAAATAGACAACAACATTGTATGTGACTATAGTGATTGAACTTCCAAATAACAACAAAAATAATCAATAATCAATATTCAATAATCAATACACAAGTAAAATATAAAAAGACAAAAAGCTGACGATTGAAGAATATAGTTTGGTAGCACATAGAGACCTGATTATTTTAGGACTAAAAAATATATGGATGGAGAACATATATCTATCAACTATCATACTTTTAAATACTAAAATTTTCTTATACGTACTTGTTAATTAAGAAAACTATATGATTGAGTCCTCTGTTGTACATACATGCAAAGGATGAGAATTTATTCTCGTCTATCTCAAAAGGAGTTCTTCGCTTTCACAGCCATGCATCCACCGGTCGGTCTCCGATCCGTTGCATTTTCTTTAGAGAATAATGTTATTTTAAACCTCGTATAGATCATATTATATATATTAGAGAGATACGAATGTGGACGTACGTGTTAAGAGCATATTTATATATACACGAGAGAGGTTGTATTTGTATATCACCGTTTCGTAGCTACTTCCTATATTCTCTCTTTTTCTATAAGTTTCTTCCTAGCTATATATAAATAAATGTGTGAACAACTTAGATGTATACATATGTGATTGTATTGCATTAAGATAAACCGATCGAGATGGGTAAGAGCAAGAAAACGTCAACATTTTCAGTGATAAGAGCCTTGTTACCGTGCTGTTCGAACAGTGGAGATGATTGGAGCGAGGAAGGAGTGATCATAAGGTCAAGAATCATGACTAGTGATGAAGATGGTCGGCTTTGGATCGCTGAGCCAGGGGTCGATAGAAGAGCCACTTCTTTTATCGCTAGGTTCTACGAGAACCGAGTTTCTGATCCTAATTACAATACCCTCACTCCTTGAATTGTTTTCCATGCTCTCTTCCTTTGTCTTTTTTTCTTTCTTTCTCTTCTTCATATGTTTTGTTTTCGGTAGCTCTTCATGTTTTCTTTTTTCTTTATAAATCTTATGTAAGTTTATGGTAAAAATAAAAACTTAGTCACACCCTGTGTTTGTTAAGATTTAGATTCCACCGTCTTTTAAACAAATTTGTATTCTTGTTGTTTTACACTTACGTATGTAGTTTAAATATTAAGAGTTTCTTATATTAAACTTCCTTGAGAGAGCGAGAGCCAAGTTGTATACACAAAAGAATGAGAGAAATTATAGACAAAGCAATCTCTCCTATATAAGTCCTACCATATATATGTACAATTCTGTTTTTCATTTTCGAGTTGGTTTATTCTTCCAATTCACAAAAGAGAAATTCACCACCACCACACTTCTCATGGAAAAGGAAGACGACCCTAGAACTGTTTTTTTCCATAGTTAAGAAATTTGGGAATACAGTAATCTGAAGTTACTTTTATCATAACGTCGAGTGCCTGAGTGACATAAGAAGCGCCTATATATAGACCTTAATCAGCCAAAAATGAAAAACAGAAATCGATAGGCCTAAATCTGTATAAAGTTGTAAAACCCATGGGCTTTCTTTATAGCCAGTTTAACCAATCTGAGAAACTTTTCGGGGTTTCAAACTTTTTTATCACTTACTTTATGTGTCGGCGTTACAAGTACAATGGACCTAACAATAAAGAACACACTTCAAGTCTTCAAGTACAGTAAGAATCATCACAACAACACACCATAACAAATAAACTCAAGAACGTATGTTACTTTATTGTTTGCCAGGAAATAAAAACTATAAGCCATTAAAGTCAACTAAAAGCTAAATGAAATCTTTATCATTAAAAACGTTACAGAAAATGTGTAAAGGAGGAGAAAAGGAAGAAGTCAGAAGAGTTAGGGAGGCACCGGAAAATGAGTACAAAAGTCACCTAATCTTACGGACCGACCAAACCGCCACTCTTCTTTTCCTCAGTCAACAAACAAACAAACAAACTCTCCCCTCTTTTATCAAATTCCAATTTCTTGTTTTCAAAACCTTATTTTCTTGTCTTGTAAATAGTATCTTTGAATCTCACCGACTTACATATTTTTTTTTTGAGAGAAAAATATAACAAATAAATACCCATCCGGTCAACATGTAATTAGAACTGTCCATATATAGACTCTGTATATCTAAGTATTCGAAGAATGGTTGGTTCGGTTTGGTAAATCCAAAATATAACAACTCATATCTATTTTTCTTACAGTTTAACATATTCTTTTTCTTTACATCTGTAGATAATTTTGAATATTTTCAAATCTACTTTTATTTCGTGTTATTTTTTTTTTAAAAAACATCCCTATAATAATCATCAGGATTCGAAATCTGTAAATTGCAGGAACTTGTCTTGTTTTTGTTTTTCTTCTTTTAAATTATCATCAAGAATTTTAAAATGGGGGTAAAGAAAAAGATAATAGTAGAAGAAAGAAAGAAAGAAACCACATCTATAAGTTATGACCAATTATTATTATTAACCCCTTTGATTAAATCCATCGTGTCTCGAGGGTACCTCCGAATGTGTGATCATAGAACCACGAACCAAATCATGTTCTTCAGTTTTTTTTTTTATATTTATCTCTCTTTTTTTCTCTATTTTATTATATAGTAGTATCAAATTAAAAATAGGTTTTGAGAGATAGGGAAAATAATTACGCACCAATGAGCAGAGTCCGTTTGCTGTCATGTGGGATGCTATAAACAAATTAAAAAGAGAGTAGGAGTCAGAACTTTTATATAATTTTCCCGAAATTATAAAAGAAATGAGTTAAATTAAAACAACAGATTCTATTGTAACGAGAAGATGATACATGCACTGCCACGGTTCCTCTCATGCAAAAGATGCTTTTTTTAAAAACAACTTATTAATTTAAAAATCTTATATATATTTTAAAAAACAACAAAAATTGAAAGCATTACTTTTAAGCTACGTCAAATTTTACTTACTTTGAGTTCCCTTTTACTTAAAATTAAATATAATTGTTTCGTATGTATACAAAAAAAGTAATTTCGAGTCTTGGACACGATCTAATTTAAGAACCTTCAATTTGTATTAAGGTCAAGAAAAGTTAAATGTTTGAATTATCAAGGAAAAATAAAAGATTGAGTGTAAGTAAAAAAGAGGAAGAAAGTTTTGTACAAAGCAAAAACTATCTATTAATATGTTTATAATTTTTCTTTTTGCAGATGACGTTCTTTTTTATACTTCTATGGATTTTTTTAAAAAATGATAAATACAAAGAGATGTATATTTGAAAAGAGAGAGAGAGTAATAAGAGATAAAGAAGCAGAGAAACATGTGGAATTCACATGGGCTATTGCTGACCAATCTGTGCCCACCTCAATCCCCTATGCCATATTGGTCCTTTAAATTCTTCTTTTATATATTACACATTTTATTCATAGCCACCAAATTTGATTAACTAACGTAACTTGACTATTAATTGAATACAATCATCATTTTTATATATTTGCACGTAGATTATATAGTTAATAAGCACCTAGAGGCTACATGCATGTTTATTCATGATATGAGTACGTTTTACAATACGTTTATACGTCTCAAACAACATCAAAGTTCTAAGTGCTAGAACCCCTATATATATATATATATATATATATATATATATATACATCGTTAATTGTTTATTTCATATGTGCATCATGTATTTCAGCGTTCACAAGTCTAAGATACTACTAATTAAGATTATAAATAAGGTTACTGGGGAAGCTGTTGAAATGATGAGAGAATATCTACATTGATGTACTAAATAAGGAAAGGGATCGAGATGGGGCAGAGGCACAGCAAATAGGAAGTGGATGGGAATGAGGGAATTGCAGTATAAGGCACTTGGAGATTACAATTGTCAGTACCGAGGGAGTGGGAAAATTAAAGGCACACTCGTGACTTCACATATATTGATTTGGTTCGGTTAGGTTAGTTTGATCATCCCGGTTAATTTGGTTACATGCATTACACAACTTGTCGAATTGAATGTAGAAGAAAGGATCACGTGGGAGTGCATGTGGGAGGGTAGGGAGAGGCCTAAACGTATGTTAAATGGATAACAAAAAGTAACAAAGTTAAACAAAAAAAAAACATAGTAATGTTTCTTGAAAGCTCCTATCGCGGATCTTGCCTCTATCTCTCTCCCCTTTGCTTTAACATTACTAATTACTCTTTAGTAGTTATTAATGGTGATTATTATTATAATAGAAGATAGAGAGAGAGAGAGAGGGGGTGGGTGTATGTGTATAAATACGCATAACAAGTCGTTCTCGAGCACTCTCAATCCGAATCTCTGATTAAAAAGGAGAAAACAAATCTTTTATTTTCAAGAATTGAGTAAACACATAAAGAAGAAGAAATAAAAAAAAAAAAGAAATGGCATCATGGAAGAAAACAATAGCAACACCATTCAAGAAAGCGGCAACATTCTTCAACCAACCGCAGCAATCACCAAAGAAGGGTGGAAGAATGGATGCGAAAGCGAGGGAAGAACACGAGAAGAGAATGGTTGAAGAGCTTCAAGGAGAAGTCATGGCTTGTGGCTACGACGACGTCCTCGTCATGTGGTCTATTCTTGACAAATCTAACTCCTCCAATAACCTCACTGCTTAACCCCAAAAAACCAAACACACTAAAAGATGGTGTTATGATCGATCAACCTTTGTACATATCTTAAAAGCGGTTTTAGCCCGCCATGGTGATCTCCTCCTCCTCCTCTTCCTCCTCCTTCTTTCTCCTTGTCCTTTTCTTGTTATGTGGTCGGTGGCTACTTTTTTTAAGGTCTAGTGAATATTTTTTTCCGACGAGTTATCGTCGAGAATATAGATGGTTCTTCTATGTTCCCCTTTGATAATCCCTGAGATAGTAAATCACGGTGGGATTTTTTTTTTTTTAATTTGGAAAAAAAGGTCTTTCTTGAATTCATATATCATTTGTATGAGATGATTAGCATTATTTGGTTGAGAATTCAAGTTATTATTAGTTCTCCATAATGTAAAAGTCAGAATATTGACTTAAGTTGCACATGTGTTATATTATCAATCAGGGAAAAAAAATAATCCATCACTGAGTTTAATTACTTATGATTTGTTCCAATGTAACAGTACATAATTCAAGTCACCGACCATCTTTTTTGTTTTGGACCAACTAATTCGTCAAATATTTGACAAATTGTAAGTACAAATATTGATAATCATAAAAGGTGAGTAATTAACATTGTTATTGTCAACAGTAAAGAAGATAATTATTCTATCATTCCTCTTATTATAACGTAGAAGTAAGTAACATATTGCACTTTCGTTAACGGTCTAATAATGAATGTCTCAATACACACAACCATCGACTGAGTTGACGTTCCTAACTTGGGACAGACACAAAGAGTTCAGGCTTTACGCTCATTATTTTTCTTCTTCAGTCAACAAAAAACAACTTCGACTCAAGTAGACCCAAATCTTTTGCAGCCACAAGAAAAGGGGGGAAAATTGAAGTTGTAACCTTAATTAGAGCTGGACAGCTCCCATCTTTTTTTGGTTTCTAGATTCAGTGTTTCTCTTTTTTGTTTCAGTTTGAAAATGGTACGAAGCATCATATATAGTCAATAAAATAGTGTTCATTTAGCCATTTTCGATGTCGATGTGTTAATATGTAGATAATATGCTTAATTTTTGGTATTGGTTAGCTTTAAATAATCTTGAATGTGGTTAGTTAGTGAAGCTGAAGCATAGAAGTTGAACCAAAGTAACATAGTTTTATTGAATTTCAGTTAGGTTGATTGTTACTATTTTGGTACGAGTATTAAGATTATACAAATTACACCGAGCTTCCAAAATTATATTTTATTCATCAAATAGGGATTGTATAATAAAAAGCATCAGCCGATTCAAGACATTTTAACTTGTTCATCCATGTACCATTCCACGGATAGGGGCACAAGTACAACTCATAAATTCTACACAACAAAAACTGATCAATAATCTCGACACAAACTTACAAAACTTCCAACAAAACAAAACTAACAATAATAATAATAAAACCCAATAATTTTTAACATTTTTTGAACAAAAACTAAAAATAATTAAGATGACAGCAGCTTGAGCTTGAAGGGGAGGACCCAATCATTGAACAGGCAATGAGAAAAAAATAAAAATAAAAAAGAAAGTGGGGGAAAGAGAGAAGAGAATAGAAGAAAAAGTACGACCGTATTCGACAGTGAGGTTAATGGTTGATGATGAGATCTTATTAAAGTCCCCAAGTGGGTCTCTTGATTCTCACAACGTGCCTTGTCCTCTCCCTTCATTTTTTTCTTTATTCCATTCATAATTTAACTCTAATCTCTCTCTCTCTCTCTTTCTATCTCTAACACTCTGAACATGCTCAAAGTTTGGGAACCATCTTAATCAAGAGATGGCCTCTCACTCAACTCAACTCAACCCACTCTCTCTGCAAACCTAACATGTCGCATTGAGGTAATATCATCTACAGATTCTTCATTCCACACCCGTTGGTGTTTCACTTAACCGGGTTTCTCTAAACTGAATGCTAAGACTTAGGCCATTATCATCTACACTCTTAGATGATTAATTTTCCCACCAAACATTGTTAGCAAATCCAAAGTTTCTAGTCATTGAAATTCAATCAAGATCATAAACTCCACTCAAGGAAAATACAACACATTTTGAGTTCGTTCTATCATTCATTTGTTTTTAGTCCTGGCCTAAGAAATATTTTTACATGTCCACAAACACTCTTTACCTTGCATGTCTTTCTTCTCTGGCTTCAAGAGCATCAACTTCCTCGGTTGTTAGCAGATCCACCATTGGTTCATAAATATCCAAGTCTTTCCTTTTCCTGTCAAGGTCATGCACACATTTTTTATATCAAGTCAATTTGCTTGTCCATAAAACTTATTTAAGAAAAAATCTCACTTAGTGATAAGCAACGCAGGAAGAAGTTTATCAATCTTTGCAATCAAAGGACTTGCAACCTAGTGATTCAGTTCTTTTTGTTCAATGACAAGATGTAACTTTACCAGAGGTCACTATTAGAGCAATCTGAGAAAGGACCAGCTCCAAATATCGGGATCATTAACTATCAAACGCCACAAGGTGTATGAAGAGGTGGCATTCAAGTGTATAAATAAGAAAGATGCTCAGGATGGGTCACATAGTTAACAGTTTCAAATCATATTATAAACAATGTAGACGCTAGGAGCCAATCGGACAACAGGTCTTAAGAATACATTTTACAGAGAAAATATATACATTAAGTGGGTAGGAAAATCACTTACCTAACTACACTGGACTTAAAGCTGAATAACTTCACTAAGTCCATTGACAAGCCACTTGACTTGCTGCACATGAAAGATGGAAAGTTATTGTTGAATTGTTTGAGCTAGACTTTATTATTATCACAAGACAACGTGGATATTCAAATACAAGCAACAAGAAAAGACCTTGCTGAACCATGATCAGATCCTCTGCGGCCTTTCTTACTTAATCTACTCTCTCTAGCTGAAGCCACACTTTGAATTGCAATCTGGAAAGCGGAAACAATGACATGGTAGGTCAGTAACTTTAGCATTCATGTTTAAAACAGAAAATGATTGCACTAATATACAAAAATTAGCTTAAAGCTCCACCAAATTTTTTACCTCGTAAAGTTGCTCCCTTATTGCAAAGGCAACAGCCGGCTTCAGAGAAGAAAAGAAACCAAAACCCACTTGTATCAAATTTGGAATCAAGCATCATTTAACTGAATAATGAAAGGTTAAAAATTGAGTGGTTATCTTACTCCAACTTCAGGATCTTCAACACCTAAATCCTTGCACAAGGTTCTTGCAAATTCCTCAGGATCACTCTCAAAATTGTTTAGGTCCTGCAAACCAGCAATCAAGCTCTATTAAGACTAAATAGTACCAGATCATGGTTGAAATTGTTCAAGATCACCAAGTATTCTCACCCATAAGAACTGATCCTTGATGAGGGTATGATTAACTCGGAGATCAAGCTGAAAAAGAAAAGCTTATCAGCTTCTAGAAAATCATATTTTTTCAACAAATTACTCGTAGCCAAAGAAAGAGGGATAAGAAGGGTATACTGTGTCATAATACCTTGATTGGTATGATCTTTTCACCAGTGTACATGTCTTGTCCTTCATATGACCGAAAGTCTGTGAGCTGAGACTGATAAAGCCGGAAAAATGACCAATGTAAGCAGAAATTTCTTAAGAAACTATTACAATCCTTACAAAAACAGAATAGAGCATAACTGAAACAATACTACATCAGAGAAGGAATCCTAAAGACATACATCTCATGGTACAATGCTATAATCAGGTCTCTTCTTGAGTTAACTCTAATGATTTAGAAACAATAAGTCGAATCTTTGACTTATGTAAGACTAAGTGGTAACCTTAAATATGACAAGTGAAAGAGCTACCAACAAAAACATAGCAGAAGAGAAACTTAAGTACAAGTAAGTGTGATCTAGTTTAGAAACAACCTGAATAGATTGGGCAATCTGAGTGATAAATGCAGCTGGAAGTTTCAAGTCTTTAACAGTTCTTTTGGCAAAGACAACGACTTCATTATCCGGGTCTAAGCCAAAACCAAAACACAAAAATTCAGTGAACGACATACAATACAACAAAGTGTAGATACGAGAAGATGAGAAACAAAAAGGTAGAGCTTTTGAGAGAGAATAACCTGAAGGGTTCCAAGTGAAAGCATCTTTGTATCGCTGACCTTCAAATTGAATGTCCAAACGAATAGGTACCAAGTTTTCAGCAGTTGGCCTAGCTCCAACCATAGATAGATTCATGGGTTTAGCATAAAACATTTCAGGAACCAAAGCACATGAGCTCGATAAAACAAACTAATCGAAGAAAACAAAAAAAAAAAGGAAGCAGAGGAAGAGATGAAACTCACATCCTGAACTTGACGGGACCTTTCCAACCAGTCGACCCTAAAGCTTTCATCTTTAAACCCTAAACCCTTTCCCTCCAATTTTACGAATTGAGAGCCAGAGAGAGAGAGAGGGGAACTTCAGTTTCTGTATCTTTTTCCGGCGTTAAGCGCCGCCGCGTTAGTTAGCAGTAATTATAGTTTATTTCAGAATCGCCCGTATCTTCTAATGTCTTAGACATTTCACCCTTAACTATTTTCTTTGTATAATATATCATACTCCCAAAAGGTAGTATTTGGGCTTTAGACGGGCTTTGTAAGAAGCATTTATTGGGTTTTAAACAGGCCTCATTGTAACATTACTGAATGAAACAACGAGAGAGACATGCCGGCACATCAAAGAGAATCATTCTATTCTCACATCCCATGTTCGTGCTCCCCATAATAACGTTCGTGTGTTTCTTCATAGTCACGTACACATTCGAAGGAACACGATTACAAACATGTAAAACAAATATTTGGATTTTTATTCAGAACCTAAAAAAAAAGAAGTGTTGGATATTGTGATTATTTATAGGGAAAAAAAACACACTCAATGGTGTCGTCATATAAATATATGCATCCATTCTCCAACTTCTTTTAAGGCCTTTGTTGCAATATGCAGAAAGAGCTCTTCCGTCCCGCGTCAAGTCTCTTCCTCACTGCCTAAATCTTATCATCTCTCAAAAACTGTGAAATCACATTCACAGCCTTGAACGATCCAAGTTTTAATACCTCTCGGGTCTCGTGATCTTTAGTCTTCTCACGTTTTCAAGAAACATACTGAACAAAAAAAACATCGGTTCCAAAATCAGAGATAAGTAGAGAGGAATGTATCAATATCGAGATCAAGATATAAGATTCATACTCCCATGGAATATCTCCGACCATCATCCAGTCTCCATCTTTATCTTCATATGTCAAAACATGATGTTTTCTATCTCGTTTACCGCCTGTTAGAACCAAGACAATGTAGCATAGTGTTAGAATTTGGTTGGATTTTTGTTTTTCACATTGTTATGTGTTGTTATATTACTTACAGATGATGGAAGTATCGAACATGTGAGAAAGATTTTCTAAGAGACTCTCGTAGCCTGAGAATGCGCAAAGGTCGAGTTTTCTCCCAATGGGGACGCCTTCCATGTAAACCTTAACAAAGAGAGATGTGTCATCACCACGACAAAGAAGACGACGACCCCTTAGTCTATCTCTTAACCGAGACTTTATCGGTGGCCAATCTTGTCTTGCTTCTCTACAACAAAAAGATTCAAAACACAAAAACACAAATGTGAATAAAAAACAGAGAGAAAACAGAGCATAGGAAAAAAAGAGAAGTGATGTGAAGAAGACCTTTGTGGAGAAGTAGAGGGAAAGGTGAGGCTAAGGGAGAGATTTACAGAAGATTCTGAAGGAGAAGGTTTAGTACTATCGACAGAAGATGAAGAGAATGAAGAACAAGAGTTAGAAAAATCCATTGATGAGAGATCCTTGAAGCTGCAACTTCACAAGAAACTGAAACTACATGCTCCCTTCTCTTATCTCTCGAGAGTGCTCTTCATGTCTCTCTCTCTCTCTCTATCTTTCTATTTCTCTCTGTTTAGTTTAGTAAAAAATACAAGACTAGTAGGTGATTCGATAGCATAGATATGAATTTAAAATGATTTAATTAACCTTTTTTATTAATGTAATAAATATTATAAACATAGCTTCCCCACATTAACTATGAACTTTCAACCTTCCATATATGAACACACATTGGTCTTTTGAAAACCACTGTAATAATTACCCGATTAGATACTTAATTCATATGTTTAGATCTTTGGGGTTTGTTAGTAGTAAAAATGTGATTTCATGGTTTAGAGATTTGTTTACATGTAAGATTCGAAGTTTCCATAAAAAGGAGGTAACCAATGAAAGTGTGTCCAAATGATGTTGGAGCTAAAATGTTTTAAGGCTTTGATTTTGATTTTTTTTAAAATAAATTTCTCAACTGCTCAGATTCTTTAATTAGGAGAGATAAGGGCCAAAAAAGCTTTATTGTCTAGCCGTAAACAGAAACAGAGCATCACATCACTTTCACTTTCTTACCATCAATATTTGAAAACTGAGTCTAGCTCATATATAGACTTACGAACTTGGGGGATCAACATTTTCTGTTGATAAGAAAACTCAATTGTCTCTTATGACACATTAATGTAACAGACCGTTGAAAATTGCAGAACCAATAAAAACAAAGGAGACTTGAAGAGTTTTGTGCAATGTTGTTTTTGTGGAGCAGACAGTGTTCTTTTCTTTAACTATACGTTTCCTGTTAATGTCTCTTTTAGCTTTGTGGATTGTCTCTCTTAGCTAGGAGGTGCCCCAATCTTTATTTTTCTTTTTATTCCAAATAAATAAAATTCATTGATTTACATAAAAAGTAGACATAAATTGTTACATCACATAATGCTCATTGGCTGTATTGATAATAGATTTAGATTCTAAAATCATCATAGGAAGTGTATGTACTATATTCTACTAATGCATAATATTTACTTTGTTATATATAAAGCCTACCTTGGATGTTGGATCGATAAGACTCCTATTAGCTATTATACGATCTGTCTTTGGACATGCATGTCTGGTCTCTAGGGATCCTTCTTGTGAGAATTTCGATATATTTAACTTTATAATGTCTAGTAGTCTAATGATGAATGTCTAGTCCTCTTTATTAGTAGTAGTACTTATAATAATTATCAGTTAAACTTTATAAAACCAATAATGTACATAATCAGTTATTTAATACTACTTCTTATTTTTGAATGTCCAAGGAGTTATTACTCGGATATCTCGATTTCAAAGAGTTCTTGTGTCATTTGTTTTCGTTGAGATAAGTAAGAGCCAAAAATGATCGTAAAATTAGACGTTTTGTATAAGTAAACATAGAGAGGCTTGCAATAGTACTGTGCCAAAAAGTTATAGCAAATAGAGATCATTATCATGATATGTACTCCGATATTAACGTGGCATGTTCATGCATAGACAAAATGCAATCATATCTCCACGTTTGCACACAGCTTCAAACAATCAAATCATTTGATATAGTCCTACAAGCAAAATGGATGTCTGCTGCTTATGAGAATCAATTATTTGGATGGTACTTCCTACTTCGTCTAAAAATGACATCAAATGATTTTAGTTGAGTTAAAGGCATGGGGTCCCTTCGAGTGATACACAAAACTCATGAGTATTGTGGTAAGAGTATATGATAGAGAAAAACGAATTAAAGCACAAAACAAAAGGTTGATCATGGGTCCGGGAAGATGTATATATAGGTCGATCGGTCGATATGTGTTATTCTTGAATCAAGAAACATGCATGTATGGTCGAAATTTTAAAAAGAAGGTTTAAGTGTGTTTTTCTTTAATGGCACTATTATTAGTGGTATCTTAGAAAGGTAAGATACCCCAATTTTACAAAAGAAAAATCTTATATTAGATATTTTTTTTTTGCAAAATTGGGTATCTTAGCTTTCTAAGATATACCCTATAATGTTGGTCCTATAACCTCCAAAAAAAATCACATTGTTTATGAGTGATTATTTCGGTTTCGGACGGCTTCATAAACATCCATCAATGTTAAACCTGTGTATATTTTGTTAGAACGATAACGAAGAATATTCTCAAATCATTTAGCTGAAATATATCAAGTTATGTTTTCGGTAGAATTGCATTTTATATATACTGTATGGTCGAAATTTTTAAAAGAAGGTTTAAGTGTGTTCTTCTTTAAGGGCACTATTATTGGTGGTATCTTAGAAAGATACCCCAATTTTACAAAAGAAAAATCTTATATTAGATATTTTCTTTGCAAAATTGGGTATCTTAGCTTTCTAAGACATCCCCTATAATGTTGGTCCTATAACCTCCAAAAAAAATCACATTGTTTATGAGTGATTATTTCGGTTTCGGACGGCTTCATAAACATTCATCAATATTAAACCTGTGTATATCTTGTTAGAACGATAACGAAGAATATTCTCAAATCATTTAGCTGAAATATATCAAGTTCTGTTTTCGGTAGAATTGCATTTTATATATACTGTCAAATTCAAACATGATTGATTACGAAAATGTTCAAGAAAGCTAAGACAATGATTCAACCGTCCGCATACATCCATCCACCATATAATATGGTAATCGCTAGTCCAATAGAAGTTTTGCTTAGTACATTAATTTTTAGTACCACTGAGAGAGATAAGAAATTATCGAATAGCTTACAAATTATGGAAAATGTATTAAAAAGAACATTGGGAAATAAACATACGGCGGAATCACAATGCTTCGAAATGATTGACTGGTTTTAGAATGAATTTCATACAATTGACTTGTGTGGGTTAAAGAATTATTTTTAAAAAATCAGAACACATGAGGTAGCTGTCTATATATGAACCACATGATGAGTTTGACGCATGCCCCTCTTATAACGCCATGCAAATAGATACACACCCTGAGTTTGTCTGCAAGTACGTTTGTATCGTTTCTAGACAGTAATTATAGTCTTAAACCCACACGCTCTCTGTCAATAAAGGCTTGCTTCCAATTCCAAAAGAAATCATGAACAGAAGACTTTATAAGCAAAAAAAAACAACTCAAGAAATCAAATTAATAAGCTCTCAATCGGGCATAGTGGCCCAAAAAAGAAGAAGAAAACGCGCAGCGAGTTTGAACCATTGGATTGAAACTGTCGCATTTGTGGTGTTACATAAACCTACGTGCTCTTTTTTAAGCCAACCAAAACTTTTTTTTATCATTTCATTTTCTTCTTTTTTGTTCGAAACGAGTTGCATTGCATACTCCTTTAGTTTCCTTTGCTTTGATATTCTCTTCAACATCTTTAACTCTCTACTTTGGTCTTGAAGCCAAAAAAACATCTCAAATTAAAGAAGAAAATATATTGGTATGTCTCTTCAACGACCTAACAACGGGAACTCGAGTTCTTCTTCTTCCCCCAAGAAGCACAAAACTGGTAGGTGTTCTACTCAAAGGTTTGTTCTCTTTTTGAAATCATATCTTAATTTGTTTTTTTTTTGAGAAATTTGGTCTCTATATAATTTATTATTAGAGGAGAGTGACGAGGAGTTGTTGATGGTTCCTGACATGGAAATGGAAGCAGCTGGATCGACATGCGTTCTAAGCAGCAGCGCCGACGATGGAGTCACTAACCCGGAGCTTGACCCGACTCAAAACGGTGTCTCCACCGCTAATAAACGCCGCCGTGGACGTAACCCAGTTGATAAAGAGTATCGAAGCCTCAAGAGGTATAATGAGTTAATTAAAATGTCGACCATTATACATAGTTTGCAGCCAGTTTTTGTGGAATTGAAATGGTTAAATAATAAGAAAGTGGTAACTACAGATTGTTGAGGAACAGAGTATCAGCACAACAAGCGAGAGAGAGGAAGAAAGTGTATGTGAGTGATTTGGAGTCAAGAGCTAACGAGTTACAGAACAACAATGACCAGCTTGAAGAGAAGATCTCTACTTTGACCAACGAGAACACTATGCTTCGTAAAATGCTTATTAACACAAGGCCTAAAACTGATGACAACAATCACTAAACACAAGACCAAGATTATTAGGATTTTATCATATCCCTCTTTAATTCATTGTTCAATGTTCTTTTTTTTTTCTTGCTTTTGTTTTGTATACAATTTTTGTTCCAATAACAACATCCAAGTTAAGCAAGCATCACTAATTAAATCAAATTACACACATAATCCTCTACTTAAAAAAAAGTGTCTCACGTGTTCTAATTGTGAAGTAATACGAAGCATCTAGAGAATTTTGTTTTCGTACCCACCAAGCTGCTATATATATATAGAGTTGGATAAAAATAAGAGTTTATCAGATTTTTAATTTTACGTTTGAGAGAGATTAGAAGAAAAGAATCATTCATTAGTCATTACGAAGCAATGGCGAATTTTGGTGAAGGGAGAAGAAGTGGAGGCGGAGGGATGTTACCGCTTCTCGCTCTTAGCGCCGTCGCGGAATACTATAGACTGCCGTGGAAACCACCGGTAACGGCGAGTCTTTTAGCCGCCAACACTCTCGTCTATCTCAGGCCTGCGTTGATCGATCCCTTTATACCTCACATCAGTGAGGTCTGGTTCAATCCCCACCTCATCTTCAAGGTAAAACCAATTCTTATATTTGCCAAGAGAAATTGAATCATTGCACACACATGTTTGTAAATTTCGCCGATTTTGGAAATTAATTTGTACCAATTTATGGGGAATTTTGGAATTTTGTGTAACCTTGACCTACATCAAGATCCTCGAATTGAGATTTGTTCTAATATTGATGTGTGTTTTCGTTGAACAGCACAAGGACTTGAAACGTTTGTTTCTATCAGCGTTCTACCATGTCAACGAGCCTCACTTAGTCTACAACATGATGTCTCTTCTCTGGAAAGGTATCAAGCTCGAGACATCTATGGGAAGCACTGAGTTTGCTTCTATGGTCTTTGCACTTATTGGTATGTCCCAAGGAGTTACTCTGCTGTTAGCCAAGTCGCTTCTCTTCTTCTGCGACTACGAAAGAGCTTATTACAACGAGTACGCCGTTGGATTCTCTGGTGTTCTCTTTGCTTTGAAAGTTGTTCTCAATTCTCAGGCTGAGGATTACTCTAGTGTTTATGGTATCCTGGTTCCGACTAAGTATGCTGCTTGGGCGGAACTGGTTCTGGTGCAGATGTTTGTACCGAACGCTTCGTTTCTTGGGCATTTGGGTGGGATCCTTGCTGGTATTCTCTATATGAAGCTCAAGGGTTCTTACTCAGGCTCTGATCCTGTTACCATGGCGGTTAGAGGTGTAACACGACTTGTGACTTGGCCCTTGAGGTTTCTGAACGGTATGGTCAGGTCACGGAGAAGGAGGATTACAGGGAGAGGAAGAGTGGGAAGAGGCCAGACTGGGATAGCTGGACCTGGTATCTGGAGATGCCACTCGTGTACATATGACAATTCTGGATGGTTAAGTGCTTGCGAGATGTGTGGCTCCGGACGGGATAGAGGAAACGGATGGTCACTGAGTCAGGGACCAGCATTGTCTTCTTCTAATGATCTCCCTTTAGATGAGCTGCGCCGCCGACGAGTAGAAAGGTTTAGTTGATCTCTGGAGTGCATTCGTAGAGCTGAGGAAGGATTTTGAATGAACCTTTGTTGAATTATTTATAGCATTAGCTTGATTAGAAGAACTAGTGGTAGTTTTTTTTTTCAACCTGTTTCTTCAAGATTTGGTTCTACATGTGAATTGGTCCTTGATGACTTTGTCAAAGTAATGGAAAAAGAAAGTAATGATATTTTCTCTTTTTTCAATCAAAAATTTGTTCAAAGAAGATCACAAAGCAAGACGCAGGTGATAGGTAGCCGCGACGCCGGTTCCAATTCAGGACGGTGTGACTTGAAGCTCCTTCAATTCTCAGGTGATGGCCTCGGTATTAGAGTACGGTTTTTACACCTGAGAGTCCAAGGCTATGTATCTTTCTCTCAAGCAGTCATCTTTATCTCCAAGTGATTGACAATACCAAGATGAACACCCTAGCTTCAGCTTCAACCAAGGAGAAGCTTATTTCGGGGACTTCAATCATACCACTGGTTCTACCGTTGTAAGTTCTTCGTTACCACCTACCTTGAATTCAACTACAATCTATCTACAGAATTCTCTAGCAAAAGTTTTTTAAGTTTTAGCATGAGACCCTTAGGAGGTGGCTAAGAAAATCATAAGGTCGCTTTTGACCCTTACCATAGACACATGGAGGCTTTAGCTGCTGCAGCAAGAGAACACGCTCTTCCGTCTTAAGCCTTTTTTTTATTTTCCCCTTCTGAGAAATTTGTTTGTATAGAACCCATGATTGGGTTAAAATTTTGATTAGTCGGCTTGGAACAGTGTTAACTTCCTCCTATTTAATTTTGTTTCATTTGTTGGCACTACTTTACGCACCTCTGTGAATGATTACAGATTGTGAACTCTATATCGTCTCTCTTATACATATGCAATAATATATGTGAAAATGATTGATATTTAAGAAGCTTCGGAAGGTAAGTCATCAAATGCCCAGGTTTTAAGAGGCAGGTAGAAGTGCTTTGCAAATTTAGGACAAAAGGACAAGACAGCGACGAGAACGTTGAGGCAGTGTAGGCCAGTTCGTATCTGTGAAGTGGAGATGCGATATGGTTGGAAGTTAAGTAACTGACAGTCTATAAATAGAAAAGGTGCGAGGTATATGCCCACCCTGGAGTTGGTATGTCCGCCTCAATCTCCTCCACCTATTATTAGAAACTATAGACATTATTAGTTTTCTGTTTTTCCCTTTTATATTCTCACTTGTTGTATATAGATACTGTATATGACAAACAGTAACATAACATAATAAAATCTTGTTTCCTTTTTTCCTCTCATTCAGGTCTCATACCTCGCTTGGCAATGCAATGAGGGAGCAGCCAAGACAGTATTGAAGGTTGTCGCAGTGTCTCGTTCCTCGACCAATCATCAACCCATAAGTAGATCTCGACTACAGGATGTCAAACACCAATGTTACAGGGCAGTGCCCGGGTCCGATGAAGGCAACCTCTAATGGAGCCTTCCAAAACGAAAGCCCTCTTGATTTCGCGCTTCCTTTGATCATCCTACAGATTGTCTTGGTGGTTGCATTTACCAGGCTCCTGGCTTACTTTCTTAAACCTCTCAAACAACCTCGAGTCATTGCTGAGATCATTGTGAGTTTCCTGCAATCTCTTTGTAATTTTCTTATCATTCTGACGATAATCAGTTAATCACATAGCAACAGAGACTAAAATGGAATGCATCTGTAGGGAGGGATACTGCTTGGACCTTCCGCACTGGGACGAAGCAAGGTTTATCTTGACACCATCTTCCCAAAGAAGAGCTTGACCGTTTTAGACACACTCGCCAACATCGGTCTTCTGTTTTTCTTGTTCCTAGTTGGGCTTGAGCTCGACTTTGCAGCGATCAGAAAAACTGGGAAGAAATCACTATTGATAGCCCTAGCTGGGATCTCACTTCCTTTTATACTGGGTGTAGGCACATCTTTTGTTCTAAGTGCTACCATAAGCAAAGGAGTCCATCAGCTTCCTTTTATTGTCTTCATGGGTGTTGCCTTATCAATCACTGCCTTCCCTGTGCTTGCTCGTATCCTAGCTGAGCTAAAGCTTCTAACAACCGACATTGGACGTATGGCTATGTCAGCAGCAGGAGTGAACGATGTTGCAGCTTGGATACTCCTTGCGCTTGCTATTGCTCTCTCAGGAGATGGGACTTCTCCACTGGTATCTGTTTGGGTTCTTCTTTGTGGATCTGGATTTGTGATCTTTGCAGTTGTGGCAATCAAACCTCTCCTTGCTTATATGGCTAGACGCTGTCCTGAGGGAGAACCTGTGAAGGAACTCTATGTTTGTGTCACTTTAACCTTGGTTTTATCAGCAAGCTTTGTTACAGACACTATTGGGATACACGCGCTGTTCGGGGCGTTTGTAGTAGGCATAGTAACTCCTAAAGAAGGACCATTTTGCAGGGTTTTGACAGAGAAGATAGAGGATCTGGTCTCGGGGCTTCTTCTACCACTGTATTTTGCGGCTAGCGGTCTTAAAACTGACGTAACAACTATCAGAGGAGGACAGTCATGGGGACTTCTAGTTCTTGTCATACTCACCACTTGTTTTGGGAAGATTTTCGGAACCGTTGGGGCCTCCATGCTCTGCAAGGTTCCTTTCAGAGAAGCCATGGCACTTGGTGTCCTTATGAACACCAAAGGTTTAGTAGAGCTCATTGTTCTTAACATTGGCAAGGACCGGAAGGTATAGATTCTTGAAAGCCATAATAAGATTTATTAGATGTTTAAAAGCCGAGTGATCTAATTAAGTATGTTTGCGAGCAGGTTCTGAATGATCAAGCATTTGCGATCTTAGTCCTCATGGCATTGTTCACAACCTTCATCACAACTCCAATTTTAATGGCCATCTACAAGCCTGCAAGAAAAGGAGCACCATACAAGCACAGAACCATCCAAAGAAAAGATCATGATTCTGAGCTGCGGATACTTGCTTGCTTCCACAGTAGCCGCAACATCCCCACATTGATCAATCTGATTGAATCATCAAGAGGAACAGGCAAAAAGGGACGCCTTTGCGTTTACGCGATGCACCTAATGGAGCTTTCTGAACGATCATCAGCGATAGCAATGGTTCACAAAGCTCGGAACAACGGAATCCCAATCTGGAACAAGATAGAGAGATCAACGGATCAGATGGTGATTGCTTTCGAGGCTTACCAGCATCTAAGAGCCGTAGCGGTTAGACCCATGACAGCAATCTCTGACCTCAGCAGCATCCACGTAGACATATGCACAAGCGCGCATCAGAAACGAGTAGCGATGATACTGCTTCCGTTTCACAAGCATCAGAGAGTGGACGGAGCGATGGAGTCAATCGGAAATGGGTTCCATGAAGTGAACCAACGGGTCTTACAGCGAGCTCCTTGCTCAGTCGGGATTCTCGTGGACAGGGGACTTGGAGGAGCCTCCCAGGTTGTAGCCAGTGAGGTAGCTTACAAAGTTGTGGTTCCATTCTTCGGAGGCCTGGACGACAGAGAAGCTCTCGCCTACGGTATGAAAATGGTGGAGCATCCAGGAATCACACTAACCGTTCTCAAATTTGTAGCTGCGAGAGGGACACTAAAGCGATTTGAGAAGAGTACACAAGACGAAAATGAGAAGAAAGAAAAAGAGACTGATGAAGAGTTTGTGAGGGAGTTGATGAATGATCCAAGAGGAAATGAGTCGTTGGCTTACGAGGAAAGAGTCGTTGAGAGCAAAGACGATATCAACGCGACGCTTAAGTCGATGAGCAAATGCAATCTCTTCGTGGTTGGAAGAAATGCAGCTGTTGCGTCGTTGATAAGCAGTACGGATTGTCCGGAGTTAGGACCAGTTGGCCGTTTGTTGTCGTCATCAGAGTTTTCCACCACTGCGTCGGTGCTCGTCGTTCAGGGATATGATCCGGCAGCAGATACACGGCCGCTCGTTGAGGAAGATGCTAATTACGATCATGCTGCCAGAGATATTTCAGACTCAACTGTCTGAACGGATTTATTTTTATAAGAAAAAAAAAGAAAGAGTACCTCATTTTATTTTTGCGTCTCACGAAATATTTTGATTTTGTTTTTGATTGGGACGAACTTGGAGTGTCTCGATCTATATTGCTCTTTTGTATTCCCCTAAAATGATGGTTGCCATTAGATTTACGGGCATCAAAGTCGACCTGAGTTATCAAAGGAATAAATATTTTTAAGATACCAAACCTTTCTAGCTAGAGCTAGTCATCAACATGATTCATGGAACGGATACAAACAAAGTCTTCAGCTCATTTTTTCCTGCAGAGACCAGATCACTTTATCTCTCGGCATGAAGCCATGAAGTCTTGATTTTTTTTTGCATTGCAGGTACCAATCTTTTGCTAAAAAAAATAGTATTTGAGAACATAACCAAGTAAACAGATGTCTAGATTATGTTAAATTTTTTTATTTTTGTCTATCTCCAATATTCTATGATCTCTATAGTCGATCCTTGACATTTATAGATACTTATACCATCTTATGATGAAATACATGAAAAAATATGTAAAGTCTAGTGTTCTTATAAACTCTTGATTGGAACTTTATCATTGATCAAAATTTGTAAAACCCAAAGCCAAAACCAAATACAACTTAGCCATAATAGCTGTGGTGCAATCAAAGTTGAACCAAATTTAGAATCGATCAATATTTTGAATTTTATGCCAAATATAATTAACCGAAATTGGAATAGTAAACTGGAGTACGAGTGTTAAGTTATTAACTAATTGAATCAAATAAACCAAAACTTATTAAGAATCTGTTAAATTAGGGTTTGTTATAGGCTTCCAACTCAAAACCAATTGGCAATGAGTGGATTGGCCCTAACCCTTTATATATTACTTAAGTCCCCTCACATCTTCCGATGTGGGATCTTTTCTCCACACGCCCCCTCGAGATAATGGCTCTTTTTAGCCATTAATCTCGACAGAATCCATCACGCCCCCTCGAGATAATGCTCTTCTAAGCTATCTCGATGGAATTGGGACTTCTTTTGGGCCATCAATTAATGGGGTGATCGGGCCTCTATCCGGGCCGGATTAAGTAATGGGTCAGCGTGTGTTCGGGCTCTGATACCATGTTAAATTAGGGTTTGTTATAGGCTTCCAACTCAAAACCAATTGGCAATGAGTGGATTGGCCCTAACCCTTTATATATTACTTAAGTCCCCTCACATCTTCCGATGTGGGATCTTTTCTCCACAGAATCCATATGTATTTCAATTTCAAGTTTCTTCTACTACTTCGTTAACATTTATAAGTTTGGCATACTTTTCTTTAAAACCGAATCAAAACCAAAATTTTGTCAAACCGAATCGAATTTGCATATTTGTAAAGTAAAAAATCGGAATCTCTCCCTATCTTAAATTACCTCCTGAAGAGTTTTGAATGCAAGAAAATGGACCACAACCGCCAATGTCACCGACAAGAGTCAAAAAAGAGGCGTAATAAATAAACTAACACATTTTCGAACAAGAGTCCATAACGTTAACAAATAAACTCTCACACACACATGCTGTGTATTCCATTATTACTCTGTCTCTCACGCTCTCTCTTCTCTTCTCTTCTTTAAAAACCTCTCACCAAACTTTATACTCCATTTGACAAAGAGAACACCAACTAACTCTCTTTTAAAAAAAACACAACATGAGCTACACTCTCTTTCTCCTTCTGCTCACTCTCGTCCACTCCACTTTCTCTTCGTTAGCTCCTACGGACCGAGCTGCCTTGGAATCCGTCAGAGGCTCTTTAACCGACATGCCAGGTTCAGCCTTCTTCTCATCCTGGGATTTCGCAGTCTCTGACCCTTGTTCCTCCTTCTCAGGCCTTACCTGCTCTTCTCTCGGCCGTGTCACCGGCTTATCTCTTGGCCCTAATCTCTCCGGTTCTCTCTCCCCTTCCATCTCCAATCTTACCCACTTAACCCAACTCATTCTCTACCCAGGCTCAGTCACCGGTCCTCTCCCTCCTCGGTTCGATTCCCTCCCTCTCCTCCGAGTCATTTCCTTAACAAGAAACCGCTTAACCGGTCCTATACCCGATTCTTTATCATCTCTCTTAAACCTCCACACTCTTGACCTTAGCTATAACCAACTCTCAGGTTCTCTCCCTCCTTTTCTCACTACTCTTCCTCAACTCAAGGTCCTTGTTTTAGCCTCAAACCATTTCTCCAACAACCTTAACCCTGTCTCTAGCCCCTTGTTCCATTTAGACTTAAAGTTGAACCAAATCTCCGGCGAACTCCCACCCGCTTTCCCGATCACTCTCCGGTACTTATCTCTCTCCGGAAACTCAATGGAAGGCACAATCAATGCCCTGGAGCCATTAACAGAGCTAATATACATCGATCTCAGCATGAACCAGTTCACCGGCGCAATCCCTAACTCACTCTTTAGCCCCACAATCTCAACAATGCTACTACAACGAAACAACTTCACATCCATCGCCACCTCCATAGCGCCGTCATTATTACCACAGGGCTCCATAGTTGATCTGAGCCATAACTCAATCTCCGGAGAGTTACCTCCCGCGCTCGCCGGAGCAGAGGCTCTGTTCTTGAACAATAACCGTCTCACAGGAGACATTCCAGAGGAATACGTCAAGAGCTTAATCAACGGTACAACAAAACAGCTCTTCTTGCAACATAACTACTTGACGAGATTCCCTTGGAACTCTGGTCTCCAACTACCAGACTCTGTTTCTCTCTGTTTGTCCTATAACTGTATGGAGACGGATCCAATCGTTGGTTTGTCCACGTGTCCGATCGAAGTTGCACCTCTGCTCTCAAGACCTGCTTCACAATGTTCAAGATTCTACAATCACAGCTCCACAGGTTAAAGATCAAGTTTTGTTTTTTTCAATCCAAAGTAATTTGCAGAAAATGACAAGTTTTTTTTTTAGAAGCATTATCTCTACAAAACAAAAGATGACATTTTTAGAAATTGAACCGTTATGTCTCCTAGTGTTTTCTTAAAAAAATCAAAAGTTGAAAAAAAGATCTGTAATAGTGTGGTCCTCACGTGTAAATCAGATTGTAGTGTTTATGGAATATATAATTTTACAGATTGGTCCTTTTCTTGTTTTCTTTCATTTGATTATTAGACATATATGCCATTTTGAGATGAAGGAAATAAACACACCATTGGTTTTCTATGTTTCCTTATCTTCAATTGTCATTATCTTTTAATAAAAAAAGGTATAAACTTTTTATTCAATTCTGTGGTCTGGAGAGCACTCAAAATAGTGAAATACTGTTTATATAAAATGATTGAAGATATTTGTATCCAAGCACGTTGGATATGGATGAGTTAAGAACTTGCTAAAGCATAATGTTGTTGATTTAGTAAACCATTAACAGCTTAAATGCCAAATAATTAGCTGTTTACAGACATACCGACACAGAATTTTTAAGTAATAAAGTAGCATAAAGCTATCTGATTTGTCAGAATGTAAAAAACGAGTCCAAGTTGACTCCTTAAGAGCTTTGATTCTCGTTCCAATAATACTTCCTCCACCATCTCTCCTCACGTAGATCTAAGAAACAGAGGAAGGGATGAGAAAGGGAGTTCTGAATCCAGACAGAGATCGTCAGATTATGGAACATGAGTTGCAGGAAACTGGGTTTAGTCCAGAGTCAGAGAAAGCCAAGAACAAGTATGTTGAAGAGGACGAAGATGAAGAGGATGAATCTGTGGAGAAGATCTTTGAGAGTAGAGAAGTACCTTCATGGAAGAAGCAGCTGACTTTGAGGGCTTTTGTGGTGAGCTTTATGCTAAGCATCTTGTTTAGCTTCATTGTTATGAAGCTTAACCTCACAACGGGAATCATACCTTCCCTGAACGTCTCAGCTGGTCTTCTGGGTTTCTTCTTTGTCAAGACATGGACCAAGATGCTCCATAGGTCTGGTCTCTTGAAACAGCCATTTACTCGTCAGGAGAATACTGTTATTCAGACCTGTGTTGTTGCTTCTTCTGGCATTGCCTTCAGCGGTAAAGAAAACTCATCTTCACATTGAATCAGATAACTCAATTAGAAATCTGTTTTGAATTGCATCTTGCCATAGTTTTGCTTGCGTGTGTGATTTGTGACATTCTGATACAAAAGAACGAATCTGTTGAGTCTTTTGTACTCATCATCATCACTCACCCGCTTTCTCTCTCTTTCTAGTTATGTCAAGGTTTTTTCTTTATAATAAATGTATCTACTTGGGCATATGAAAATATACAGGAGGGTTCGGGACATACCTCTTTGGCATGAGTGAACGAATTGCAAACCAATCAGGAGATGGTTACCGTGGAGTCAAGAACCCTTCTTTGGGTTGGATTATCGGTTTCCTCTTTGTTGTCAGCTTTCTTGGCCTCTTCTCAGTTGTTCCCCTGCGAAAGGTGGGTCATAATTTTTCTTTCCTGCTTTCTCTCTTGTGAACCAAAAAAGGAACACTGGGTTTTTTGAGATCTTACATTGCCAATTTCTGTGTGTTTGCAGATAATGGTAATAGACTTCAAACTAACATACCCAAGTGGTACTGCAACAGCTCATCTGATCAACAGCTTTCACACCCCTCTAGGCGCCAAGCTAGCAAAGTACTAATCTTTCAGTTCACTTTATGCACTTTCAAGTCAATGAGTTCTCTGCTTCTTTTTGACTCCATGCTGTTCTCTGCATCAGGAAACAAGTGAGGGTGTTGGGGAAATTTTTCTCTATAAGCTTCTTCTGGAGTTTCTTCCAATGGTTCTTTACTGGAGGAGAAAATTGTGGGTTCTCTAACTTCCCAACATTTGGACTCAAAGCTTACCAGTACAAGTAAGCTCCATAAACAGCTCACGTAAATCAAATTCTAGAGCATTGGCTTGAACCACACTCTGGCTTATTATTTTCTCAGTAATCCCAGTGCTGGTTCCTTTCTGGTGAGAGTCTGATATACAAACAGGTTCTACTTTGATTTTTCAGCAACATATGTTGGGGTTGGAATGATATGTCCATATATAATCAACATCTCTGTCCTTTTGGGAGGAATCCTCTCTTGGGGGATAATGTGGCCTCTTATTGAAACCAAAAAGGGAGATTGGTTCCCTGATAATGTCCCATCCAGCAGCATGCATGGTCTCCAAGCTTACAAGGCAAACGAAACTCTTTAAAATATTCCTCTGTTAATTATCTCTATGAATCGCCCTGCTTCAAGTTAATCTCTTTGTACTGGACTATGTTTTTTACTTTCAGGTATTTATAGCTGTTGCTATAATCCTAGGAGATGGCTTATACAACTTTTGCAAGGTGCTAAGCCGGACTCTTTCAGGACTATTTGTACAGCTTCGAGGCCCTACAACGTCTATTTCAAGAACCTCCTTCACACTCGAAGAAGACCCTCATGCTTCCCCATTAAGCCCAAAGCAGTCTTATGATGACCAACGCCGTACAAGATTCTTCCTTAAAGACCAAATTCCTACTTGGTTTGCTGTTGGAGGTTATATCATAATCGCTGCAACATCTACAGCAATCCTCCCTCACATGTTTCACCAGCTGAGATGGTATTACATTCTGGTCATATATATCTGCGCGCCTGTTTTAGCTTTTTGTAACGCTTATGGAGCGGGACTAACAGACTGGTCCTTGGCTTCAACTTACGGAAAGCTTGCCATATTCACAATAGGAGCTTGGGCTGGGTCTGAGCATGGTGGTATGCTGGCTGGTCTAGCAGCATGTGGTGTCATGATGAATATAGTCTCGACAGCTTCGGATCTGACACAGGACTTTAAGACAGGTTACCTCACGTTATCATCACCAAAGTCAATGTTTGTGAGCCAAGTAATTGGTACTGCAATGGGCTGTGTGGTATCTCCTTGCGTGTTCTGGCTATTCTACAAGGCGTTTGATGATTTAGGTCTCCCAAACAGTGAATACCCTGCACCGTTTGCTACTGTATATCGAAGTATGGCTAAACTAGGAGTGGAAGGTGTCTCATCTCTACCGAGAGAATGTCTCGTTCTATGCTACGCTTTCTTCGGTGTGGCGATTCTTATAAACATAGTAAAAGATAGTCTCCAGAGCAGATGGGGACGGTTCATTCCGCTTCCAATGGCAATGGCTATACCGTTTTTCTTAGGGCCTTACTTTGCAATTGACATGTGTGTGGGAAGTTTGATACTTTTTATCTGGGAAAGAGTAGATGCAGCCAATGCTGAAGCATTTGGGACAGCGGTGGCTTCGGGTTTGATATGCGGAGATGGGATTTGGTCTTTGCCCAGCTCAGTGCTCGCTATAGCCGGAGTTAACCCTCCTGTTTGCATGAAGTTTCTCTCTACTGCAACCAATTCAAAGGTCGACAACTTCCTGCAAAAATCCTCTTAAACTCAAATAAGTAATGTGTGAAAGTGTAATGATGCTTGAATTTTTCTTTTACCATTATGACGATTTTGAAAGTAACTCGTATATAAAGATCTTTAGATTCATGATTGTGAAACAGTTTAAAACTCTACAGATCACATGAAGAATAACCCAAACTTGCGTGGTTTAAGGACACAAAAATAGATTTTTGCTGTAACCCATAAGGCTCAGACGATTGAAGATGCTAACCTGAGGAAAATGGAGGTGGATCGCCGATTGTAACGCCGGAGATAGGAGCGAGGAGCACCGGGAAGAGAAGAAAGATGGATTCTTCCAATTGGGTTTTTAGACTTGAGAGGATCCAGGAATCTTCGTATGAGCATGAGCATGAGTGATCAGATTGGGTAGGTTTTAGAGAGTTAGGGATTTCAAAATCTTCCATTTGCTTTGACTCCATCTTCGATTAAATTAACAAAAATAGAGAGATGAGGTGTCGCAGTGACAGATATAAAAGGGTACGAGAGACCGTCATTTCCCTTCTCTCTCTTTCCCTCTTGTCTCCTTCAAATCCGTTCTTCCTTAAAATCATTTTCGCTCTCTGTTTACAAACTTCATTTGATTTTTTATTTGCCTCTGTTTCTCTCTCTCTCCCTCTCTGTGATTGTTGTCTTCATCAGAATGAACGGGAAGGCCTCTGTTTCCAAGGAGCTCAACGCCAAACATTCCAAGGTCCCATCTTTTTGTTTTCTCATTCTTTTTTGGTTTCACCATTGATTTGGCGTCTGTAAGGCTGAAAGGTTAGAGATTTGTGTGGGTTATAGATATTGGAAGCACTTTTGAAGCACCCAGACAATCGAGAATGTGCAGATTGTAGATCAAAGTAAGCATCAAAGCATGATTGATGATACCATTTTCTCATCCTTCTTCATCTTCTCAAGGCTCATTTAACAAAAAATGATAAGAGTTTGTGTTGTTGGATCTATCTTATTTACAGGGCACCAAGATGGGCAAGTGTGAACCTTGGGATATTCATTTGTATGCAATGCTCTGGAATCCATCGTAGCCTCGGCGTCCACATCTCACAGGTGCCTCCCTAAAGCATCTCTCTTTAATTGATTGTGTTGATTATGAATCATACAAATTAGTGTTACTGATGAATTTTGAAACAGGTACGGTCTATAACTCTGGATACATGGCTTCCAGATCAGGTTGCTTTCATGCAATGTAAGCTCCTCTTTTTGTATACATAATGAACCTATTCAGTAGTTGAATTCATATCAATCCCATAGCTTGATCATCTTATTCTCGGTCTAGCTACGGGTAATGCTAAGGCCAATCGGTATTGGGAATCAGAATTGCCTCCTCATTTCGAGAGAAGTTCAAGCGACACGTTTATAAGAGCCAAGTACTGGATTCTTTTCTATGCTAGATAATGTTGCCTTTGCTGCTTCCTCTCATCTGCTACGAGACAACTTTAGCTTGAATATTTTTTGCTTCTGTTTATCTTATTTAGATACAATGAGAAGAAATGGGTTTCACGGGGAGGGATTCAACCGGCTCCTGTAGTTAGTAAGCTAAGCAAAGTTAGTCACTTGGTAGAGAGCGGATATAAGCCTGAAACTCCAAAGAAAGCTAGAACTCTTTCACTTGACGAAGAGATCCTTCTTAATCATGTTCTTCAAGTAACACCTCCAGAAATAAGAATTCGTGCGGTATGTGTTATCTCACAAAGTTCACCCTCTTAATCCAAACATATGTTTATCATTTTCCGTTTCCTATATGATCATTGGATTGGGAATTCATTCGCATTATTTGTCCTGTGGCAAAAATCAACAAAGTTTTTAGAGAAGGATCTTGAATTGCTTTTCATTAATTGTGCTGGAATGCAGGGTTCAGTAGATATGAAGGAGAACGTATATGTTCTACCTCTACCAGTGATAGAGGTCAAAAAACCAAATCAAAAGAATGAGATTTTCTCCAGCGAGTTGAATCATAATAGAAGAACCACCATAGCACCACCCTCGAGCTGGGCGACATTCGACTGTAAGGCCAAGACTAGGAATTTTCTTTTATCTTTGTGTGAATCTGAAGTTTTTGATTTTGAAAAAATCTCTGATGTAGAACAGGAAGAGAAGAGATGAAGAAGAGGAAGATGCAGGCTTTGGAAACAAATCATCATGTGTACTTTAATTATTATAGTCAACAGGTTGGCTAAGATGGGATGATGCAAAAGACAACAATGGAAGTTGGTTCTGTTTTCTATTTTCTTCATTTGTAATCCAATTTTGGTTGCTTTGTAAACTAAATCATTTTTTAATACAATGGAAGACATCTTGAGTATGTATTTGACAAAAGAAAAGCAATACAACTCACGAATGCATTATTTTGAATTGCTTGAGAAGTAAGCATCAATTGATTGGTCCATACTCCATAACAACAGTAATAATTTCAGTAGTCAGCTTTGAGTCATTCACTTTGAGAGTCATTGTGTTTCATTTGGTTTTGAATTATGTTCGGTTTATTGTGAATTCTATTCGGTTTAGTTTGGTTGGTTCCATAATAGAAATCGTATAAAATTGAACCGAACCTAAACACACTAAAACTGGGTTTATTGAGAAGAAACAAAGTTGACCAAATTCGAAAAGGCCTAATAGAGATATGGGCCTTAGGCCCGCGAGGGAAACACAAACTGGATTTAGGAAGAGGAACAGAGCAATTGTGGTGTTTAGTAGACTGAAGAGTGACGGAGATGGCGGCGAACGCGTGTCTACCTTCGCCGGCAGCGATGACAGTCCGGCCAGAGGAAGGCGTTCCGAATTCGAAATCTACGCAGAGCCAACCTAGGCTCTATCTCACCAAACCTTCATGGATAGTCAGAACTCAGGTGTGAAACCAAAAACCTCAATTTCTATCTCTAGACTAAGATATCAGAAATAAGAATGAGCTTAGAGCTAATGAATTCGATGGTTAACAGTCCGGAGTTAAGGCTTGTACAAAGAGAAAGGAGAAAGACCGATGCGTAATTTGCCATGGAACTGGAAGAGTCGATTGTTTCAATTGTCGTGGGAAAGGTAACAAACAGAACTTGTCTCTCTGTTTCTCAACTTATAAAATTCTCATAAAGAAACTTGCTTTTTGTGATAAAGGGAGGACTAATTGTGTGGATGAGGAAATGCTTCCAAAAGGACAATGGCCCAAATGGTGAATATTTTGAAGACAAAAGATGTTCTTGAGGCTTGTATCTCTCTAGTATTTGATTCAAGAACTAAAGAAGTTTAAAGTTTCTCGTTTTTTTTTTTTTTGGTGATTTGGTCACAGGTGCAAGGGCTGTGGAGGAAGTGGATTAAGTGACTGTTCTCGCTGTCTTGGCACTGGAGAGTACAGATACATTATGGGCTTCCGCTTCTTAAAACAAGACGATGATGTCGATCCTCCATAATGATTTTCTGAAACCTTTAATGATAGTTTCCTTGCCAGTTATGGTAGATGTTCATTAGGCATAAAACATTAGTAATGTAAATGGTTCATTGTTGCTCCTGACTTGTTGGGTTTGTTTGTAATCGTCATGGTCACATACTCACATTTTGTGCCTTTTGAGTCTACACAAGTCCTCTAGGAAGACAGATGAAAAGGCAGCTAGTATTACCTTTATATATTTATAAACACATATTGAAACTTAGAAGATGATTTGCCAATTATATACTTCATTGGTTGCTTTCAACCGCCACCATTGATCAAAAAGCTTCATCTATAGAGTATTATGGAAAGGAACAATGTTTGATCGTTTGGGTAATAAAGCTCAACTGGCTGAATTTGAGTTTCTGTACAAATGTGAAATCCGGTTTGGTTAAACCGGCTAAAAAAGTTTATTTATGGTTTGTTTCGTATTTCATCTTATCGTTATGGCTTCCGTTGCTTTGCCGGCGTTAAGCTGCCGGAGCTCAGGAGAACAAGTGAAGGAAATTCGCGTATGCACGAATCGAACATGCCGGAGACAAGGCTCCTTCCAGATTCTCGAGACTTTAACGGCTCTCGCACCTCCTGAACTCCGAGTCACTCCCAGCGGTTGCCTCGGCCGATGTGGCGCCGGTCCAAACCTCGTTGCTCTCCCTCAAGGTCTCATCCTCCGTCACTGCGCCACGCCTTCTCGTGCTGCTGAAATCTTGTTCAGCCTCTGTGGTGACGGTCGTGAAGCTTCTTCCTCCTTCGTCGTCACAGACGCTCTCACTGCTTTAGCGCTCACCAACAATGCCCTCTCTCAAATCGATGTGGGAAACTTCTCGGAAGCTGAAGCACTTCTCACTCAGGTCCCTAGACTTACTTATTTGTCTCAGTTTCCTCTCCATTTTTGTGGAGCTTGACCATAGATGTGTGTGGTTGCAGGCGTTAGAGCTGAAGCCATACGGTGGCTTGCATAGAATCTTCAAACATAGGTAAGAAAGGGACCAAATTTTATAATCTCTTGGATACTGTTTCTTCATAGATTGTACATGTAACTAGAATGTTAGGATTTTGATGATTGCAGAGCAGTAGCAAAATTGGGAATGCTTGATTACTCTGGGGCTCTTGAAGATATAAACCGAGCTCTGGCCTTAGCTCCCAACTATTCTGAGGTATACTCTGGAATGATTCTCTTTTCATTATGTGGATTCACATGTTTGAATTCTTATTTCAATTATCTACTTTTTTTACTTTATCTACCAGCCCTACATTTGCCAAGGTGATGTCTACGTAGCAGAAGGTCAATATGATCTTGCAGAAAATTCATACTTGAAATGTCTAGAGATAGATCCTTCTCTTCGCAGATCTAAGTCATTCAAGGTTTGTTTTGTTACATGTCGTGCCTCCTTTATTTAGTACTTAAGAATAGAGGTACCTTACCAATGGAAGATAAGCTTCTAATGCCTCTGGCAGGATGAATGCTTTTACTTATAGTCTCATATTCTGATTTGAAATCTATGTTTTAATACATTTACAAAAATTGTTGGTTATCGATCATTGCAGTCCCGGATTGCAAACCTTCAAAAGAAAGTTGTTGAAGTAGATGTGACATAGAAGTATTCTGACATTGGGAGTTATATTGGATGCATACTAATAGATCTCTACGTGTTTGTCATTGAAAAGGTAATTCTTTTTCCTCTTCTAGACCCTTACAATAAATCTCTCTTTATTTGGGTAGAAGGTTGGGTTTTCCAGAGTGGCAAGGCATGCATATAGATCATTAGTGTATCAAGATGTAATGACATTGGGCTATATATATTATTCAGATGATATTATCCAAGTTTATGACATTATTTTGGTACGAAAGACTACCCAAACAACAAGCTGCCTATCTTTGATAATCCTTACGGTACTCAAGGAGCTACATTAATGCTTAGCTTCTGGCCATTTTCACAGTGATCATCCACTCCGCAGATGAACCATAGCTTTCCAACTTCTGATATGATAATTGAGTCGTTGCCTTTGGTGAAGAGGGATGTGTAGTTGTCTGTTCCACAATTTGTGTATGCTGTAGAGTTAACTTGCATAACATTATGCTGGTCACTTTTGTAGTTGAATACTGTTGAAGAAGATCAACAGATTAGCAAGGTGAATACTGAAAACAAAACTTATTATTATTTCTTACCATTGATATGGAACAGAGGGCTGCAGAAGAAGTGAGACAGAATTCATCTTTGTATTTGGTGAGAGGTTATATATGGGAAACAACTTTGATTTTGCTGAATTTAGGAATCCAGGAGTTAGAAAAATTACCTAAGACATCGCCTACATGAAACTCTCTTCCCTGTGTCCAGTTGCTATAGTTTGTAAAGAGCTCCCACCCACTGCTGTCGCCAACTATATGTTCTGTTCCTTCAGATATTAGCATGAGAGAAGATAAAGAGAAAATGGCATAGATAATAATCAAGCTAGAGAATCGGCTTCCCTGATGAATCATTGTTATCTCTGAACCCTTTGTTTCTCAATTTTTTTCAGACATACAGTATGTTTATAAAGCAGTAAGCATTTGTGGGTGGGAAGGTCATGACATTGTGGTGTAAACCAGATAAGTGAGTCATGAAAATCATACATATGTGGATCAAGGAGTCACACATTGTTTGCGGGATACAATCATACAACAAACTGTGCATCAGGGCGATGCACTGAAAAGCATTAAACCTAGTAAGGCGATAGAACATACACAGTCATGTATGCAACATTGATAGTTTACTAATACACCGAAGGATTAAGCTATAGGCAAGTCGAAAGTGCAGCATGATGGAGCAGCAGCTGATGGGTTAAGGCTGCACTTTGTAAAGAAGTTAATGGTGGTCAGCTTCTTCAACCACCTGAATCCAGTTTTCTCTTCGGATTTGTTCTCCTTCTTCTTTTTGGTCTTATACTTATCCAGGCCAAAGCATCCGGATGAGACCTTATCATAGGTGGGCTCTGAGTTCCTCTGAAGTGAGTAGATGCGGTTTTGGAGAAGGCAGACCTTGTGAAAATGATCATCTCTCATCTTAAGCACACACCGAGCGAGCCCAACAGCTTCATTCTTCATGAACAATGCCTCTGTGGCAAGCTCTCTGTTCTCCTCCAAGAGAGAAGTGAGCTTGTAGCCAAGATTAGCGTTTTCCTCCACAGCAACTTCCTTCTCCATCTCCAGCAGCATGACGAACTTCTTCAACAGCTCAATAGTCTTGGAGGCTTCGTGAAACTGTTGCTCTTTGTGAAGTAACTCGTGTTGCACAATCTCTTTATCCAAGTTAGCGGTCACAAGTTGAGATACAAGCTCATCCACTTTATCTGAAACCGCAGAAGAATCTCGCCTCTGTTGGAAGGACAAGTTGCTGTCGAAACTGATCTCACTAAGAGAATCAATGTCTGAAATGCATTCGTCGTGGTCGTCTTCTTGGAGAAGGTGATTAGGATGAGAAACTGTGGGTTTAATAAGCTGCAGATTAGGTTTGGTAGGGTGAGAAGAACGACCTAAGAGAGTGATGTAGCCGTTGTAGAGGTCAAGACAAAGGGAGAGAAGGAGAGGTCGTCTCTGGTAAAACCATTCAGCTCGTTGAGCAAAAGTATCACCATCTCCTTTGCTTTCTTCAAAAGCAGACACACGCAGGATTTGCATCCGAGCTTCAAGATCTGTTTCCAACATTTTGTTTCAGACAAGAAGTAATGAGAGAGAGAAAAGACAAAGAAACAGAGAAGAAAAAAAAGGAGGGGGTCCACTGTTTTCTGTATCAAGCTTTGTGTTTTGAAAATTTGAAAATGTGAAAAGCTCCAAAAAGAGAATGAGAAGAAAGAGAGAGAGAGAGAGAGAGAGAGAGAGAAATGAGAGAAATTTGAAAAATGGAAAAGGAATCGTACCGGAGAGAGATGGCAACTGTGGAGGAGGAGGATGAGTAGCTTCCATGGATCTTTTGCTCTTCATCTTCTTCAACCTGAAGGATACATACACTTGTTTTTGGTTAGTGGTTTTGATATAAATCTTATGAAAAAGGAAAATGAGAATATTATGCATAGATCAAGAGAGAGAGAGAGACTATGATGAGTTTTCCAAGAAGATAATAAATGTTGCAGAAAAAAATAGAATCGATCACTGAATACAACTATTAAAGAAGGGATCGGAGATGGAAGACGACAACAAACCCAGAAATAGTAGAGAGGGAAGAGAGCTGACACGTCTGATCAGTTGTATCAGTGCAGAGAGCTGCTTACATATAAAAGCAGGCAAAATCCGCCAAAGCAACAAGCATTTGATTTTGTACCACTGATATTTCAACACGTGACTCACGTACTTGGGCTTAGTAGTTTCGGCCCGATTCTCTATTGGGCTTAACAAATCATATTTTTTTGAATTTTTGATGTTCAGCGGTTTACGGACAAAACAATTTTTTTTTTCAAAATTAGCACAAGAAAGGAAGAGAGGGGAGCATTTGTTGTTGGGGATAATATAATGTAACTTTAAATGTCAATCAATCTAAGCATATGGTACTTAATATATAAATATAAAGGTGTGTGCTGTAAAAGGAATAAAGATAACACTATTTTATTTCATTTAAATGACTTCTTTTTTCCACAAAGAAAAGAAGAGAGAACACATGACCTGAAAGAGAGAAAGTAAAGTAAGTGGAGAGAAGAAAGAAAGAGAGCTACTATATTCTCAATTCCTCACAAACGCGTATCTGTGTTTGTTTATTCACACAAGCATACACACATGCTTAATTCATTTATATTAAAGTATATGCATTCAACTCTGAGTTTGGTTAGACTTCCAATTTATTTCTTCTTCTCTTTATTTTTTCTTTTTTGCTTTCTCTCTGTATTGTTGTATTTATATGGACATATACGAATTCCAAATCTACTTTTTTTGAAACTTACAATCTATTTCTCGTCTGATATATATATCAGAGTTTTTTCAAACTTATTATAACTAAACAAATTACTAGTAGAAGTAGTAGTAGTTCAGAAATCAGAATTCTTAATGCACAAAGTAAAAAAGAAGAAAATATTTGGAAAGAACTCTTGGATTAAGTTTGCACAAGAGGCAGCTTCTTGAGACTTTCTCTCTTCCAACCTTTTTCGCTTTAAGGAGAGTACTCTCTCTAATAAAACAACACACTAAACTCCTTTTTCAACTTTGGTTTGATGGGTTCAACACGAGATTTATATATAAAATGTAAAACTTTCTTTTCTTGCTTTCATGCAAAGTTGAATTGTTTTCTTATATTTTTCCTTATAAAAGGGTCGTCCACACTGGCTTACAAAGTCCTAGTCTCTGCTATCACCATCTCCTTCCTTTCTTCTTCTCTCTGTGTCGTCATCGTTTTGTTTCCTTCTCCTATATTATTGGGTTTCAGGGGTCTTCTTCTTCTTTTCTTCTCAAGAAACCAGTTTCTCCAACTTTGTCTTGGCCAATTTATTAAATGTCTTCCCAGACCGAGAACGAAGAGTTCCCCATTCTTCAGTTTCAAGCAACAGCTCCTCGTGCTCACTCTAGGACTTTTACCTCCAGGAATCGTAGTCTTTCCCTCTCAAACCCAACTTTCTCCACTGAAGGAGTTGACCACTCGAGTGTGGTTTTAGGCTACACAGGCCCTCTTCGAACCCAGAGAGTACGACCTCGCTTGGTGCAAATGAGTGGCCCTCTTTACTCCACTCGCAGACCTGAACCTCTCTCCCCTCTTTCTCCTCAAGAACCTCTTCGCTCCTCCTCCTCCTCTACCGTCAATGTACCACCTGAAGATGATTTTGTCTTCCAAAACGCAAATCTCTTGAGATCTGGACAGTTAGGGATGTGTAATGATCCTTACTGCACTACTTGTCCTTCTTACTACAACCGCCAAGCTGCTCAATTTCACACTTCCAGAGTTTCTGCCTCTAGGGTATGTTTGTACATTGCTGCTTCTACTTACCTTTAGAGACCCTCAAGTTAACATAGCTGACACATTGTTGCTTCTTGTTTAGTTTCACACTGTTCTGTATGATGATGCTAGAGGTTGGGCTAAGCGACTTGCCTCCTCTGCTCGTAGATGCTTACCTGGAATTATGAATCCTCATTCCAAATTCGTTCAAGTCTGGACTAGAATCTTAGCCGTTTCAAGCTTAGTGGCCATTTTTATAGATCCTCTCTTCTTGTTCCTCTTATTTATCCACCATGTATGTTTCCTTCTCTTGCTCTATCAATCTCTTGCTTGTTGTGGCTGTATGCATACGTTTTCATGAGTTTACTACTGCAGGGAGACAAATGCATATCGATTGATTGGCCTATGACTAAAAAGTTGGTGTCTTTTAGAAGTATAACGGATCTTATATTCTTCATTAACATGCTGCTTCAGGTGTGTCTCCTTTGTTCCCCAATCTCCTATACCCTATGTAAAAGAAAATTCATTGGCTTTAATGCTTCTTTGGTCATATGCATGTGTTGCAGTTTAGGTTGGCCTATGTAGCTCCTGAATCTAGAATAGTTGGTGCCGGCCAGTTAGTTGATCATCCAAGAAAAATTGCTCGCCATTACTTCCGAGGAAAGTTTCTTCTTGATCTGTTCATAGTGTTACCTATTCCACAGGTATTGTACTATTAGCCTGCAAATGTTTTTGATTGATGTTAACTTGAAAGATGTTGTTTCAACGGTAGCTTCCTTCTTTTGCTTACAGATTATGATATTATGGATAATACCACAACACTTGGGCATATATAGGGGAGAATGGGAGAGACGGATCATAAGCGCTACGGTTCTTTTTCAATACCTTCCAAAGTTATATAGACTCTTACCTCTTATTGCTGGACAAACACCAACCGGCTTCATATTTGAGTCAGCCTGGGCCAATTTTGTTATTAATCTTCTCACCTTCATGCTTGCTGGTCATGCTGTTGGTTCGTGCTGGTATCTTTCTGGTCTGCAGGTATGTAACTATAAGTCAGGGAGTGTTCTTAAAGATTCTCTTTATATCTAGCTATCAAGTGATTTAAAGATTTTTTCTCGTTGTTTTGCTCTTTTCAGAGAGTAAAGAAATGCATGCTGACTGCTTGGGATATTTCTGGGGATGAACTTAAAAGTCTTATAGATTGTGCTCATGGAAATTATGCATTGAAGTCACAACGTGATCTCTGGAGAGATAATGCTAGTGTCAATGCTTGTTTCCAAGAAGATGGTTTTCCTTATGGAATCTATTTGAAGGCAGTGAATCTTACCAATGAATCTGAGTTCTACACAAGATACAGTTATTCTCTGTTTTGGGGATTCCAAGTATGTTAGACTCTATCTAAAGTTCATTCCAGGTTTGGTTGCTGTTGCAACTAGTAGTCTTTGAATCACTTTTATCTAATGTCAACATGTTTTTCAATATTGAAAGCAAATCAGCACACTTGCTGGAAACTTATCTCCAAGTTACTCAGTGGGGGAGGTTTTCTTTACAATGGGTATCATTGGACTAGGGCTTTTGCTTTTTGCGCGGCTTATCGGTAATATGCACAACTTCCTTCAATCTCTGGATCGTAGGTAAGCACTTAAAAGTTATTAAAAGACAAAAATATTTTAAAGAGATGGTCAATACTTCTTGGCTAAATCACTGTGTGTGTGATGATGACTTGTGCATGTCCTGTTTTAGGAGGATGGAAATGATGCTGAGACGGCGTGATGTGGAGCAGTGGATGAGCCACAGACTGTTACCAGAAGATATAAGAAAGTATGTGCAGTATGGCATTTAATTTGAATAGGCTGTGTAATGTGTCCTTAAAGAACTAATCAACTCAATAAATGTTCAACATTTTCAGGAGAGTGCGCGAGGCTGAGCGGTATAATTGGGCTGCGACTAGAGGAGTTAACGAAGAGTTGCTCTTTGAGAATATGCCTGATGACCTTCAAAGAGATATAAGGCGACACCTCTTCAAATTTCTCAAGAAGGTACTAAGCAACAGCCACATGAAAGCATTAATCAGTATCCATCAGTCAGCATTCTTTTTGTGTACTTAGAGACTCCATAGTGTTACAAAAAGCTAGTTCTGAATCCAACTGTGTCTAGGTAATAGGAATAGATTAACCCACTACTGAAACTCAATTGTAAGACTTTGAAACTTTAATGGGTTTGCAGGTAAGGATCTTTTCCTTGATGGATGAATCAATCTTAGATGCCATCCGTGAGAAGCTGAAACAGAGGACTTACATAAGGGGTAGCACGGTGTTGCACAACAGAGGTATAGTTGAAAAGATGGTATTCATAGTGAGAGGTGAGATGGAGAGCAGTGGGGAAGACGGCTCTGTTCTGCCATTATCGGAAGGCGACGTTTGTGGTGAAGAACTTCTCACTTGGTGCCTCGAACGCTCTTCCATAAACCCCGGTACTAATAAGATATGACTCTGTGTTCATGACTTTAATGTTAACATAAACTGTTTTAGAAGAAACTTGACTGAGGAAAAGCTTGGAATTGAATATGTTTTGAAACTTGCAGATGGGACGAGGATAAAGATGCAACCAAAGGGATTGGTTAGCAACAGAAATGTTAGGTGTATGACAAACGTGGAGGCGTTTGCACTGAGTGTAGCAGATCTTGAAGATGTAACGAGCTTGTTTTCAAGATTCTTAAGGAGCCATCGAGTGCAAGGAGCCATAAGGTACGAGTCTCCTTATTGGAGGTTACGAGCAGCTATGCAAATTCAAGTGGCTTGGAGATACCGAAAGAGACAACTCCAGAGATTATACACTACTCAGTCCAGTTACAACCGTTAAATTGGAAGATGATGTTTGGTTTGGTGGTAGATAAGTAATATAAGTATAAAGCTTAGTGGTTTTTAAATAGTTGTAATATATAAAATCACTCGATGATTCATTAGTTGTAATCTATATGATGGCTCAGTGATTCACTCATCAGTGATACTAAAGCTGAAAAACTTGTCTTAGAATGAAACTTTTTCTCAGAAGTGTTTCTCAAGTTCCAAACTTCCAATCATATAAATTACTTCAGGCCTCTTTGGCGGTTTATGGTTGACCAATGAAACATTGACGACATTAACAGTGAAACCATTCGGTTCAAACACCCCAAGTTGAATAAATAATTTAAATCCACGTGGCTTGAGTAGTTGGGCTCATAATTTTGGCCCATTTAATATTGTACTCTTACTGTAAGAAAGTAAGATAAAGAAACAGAAGCAGCCATATGTGGTTAATGACATTTTTGGCTCCAATCACTTAGTGACAGTTGGTACTTGGTAATCAAATAATGGAATTTTTACAGACCCGTGAACATATTTAAAAGGAAAAGCATCTTAATTATTCCCTCTTCGTACTGAATATTCAATATTCTCTACTCTTTTACTTGTAATGTTCATGAATTTATTTCCATAATCACTTAAAAAATACAATTGCATAAACAGAAATAAAATAAAAAAAGATAGCCACAGAGGAGAGAGAGAAGGACCCTTTACGGACAATGAAATAAACAATGTAATAAAAGTCAAGTACTGACTTTTTCTGACATGAGTTCTTCTTGCTTACAATAATACACTTCCTTGACGGAGGCTATACGAAGAAGACGACCCTGACTTGGTCATCGTCGTCTCCTCTCTTATTTCTTCTTCTTACCAATTTTACCAAAACTCAAACTCTCTGCTTCATTCAACTTACTTCTCCGTCTCAAATTCTTTGTTTTTTCTTCTTGAATTCTTGATTTTGGTCAAGAAATGGCTTCCCATAACGAGAACGATGATATCCCCATGCTTCCAATTTCAGACTCGTCATCTCGTAGCAGAGCTTTCACTTCCAGGACCCGTAGCGCTTCTCTCTCAAATCCTACTTCCTCCATTGACGGATTCGACAACTCAAATGTGGTTTTAGGCTACACGGGTCCTCTTCGAGCTCCGAGACGTCCTCCGTTAGTTCAAATGAGTGGTCCTCTTACCTCTACTCGCAAACCTGAACCTCTCTTTCTTCCCCATCCTTCTACTAGTTCTTCTGGTGTCTCTTCTCAGCTTGAGAGGTATCCTTCTGCTCTTGAACATAAAAACTCCTCAGACGATGACTTTGTTTTGAAACACGCGAATCTCTTGAAATCGGGACAACTAGGGATGTGTAATGATCCTTACTGTACCACTTGCCCTTCTTATTACAACCGTAAGGCTGCTCAAATTCCTCACTCTAGAGTTTCTGCCATTTTTGATTCCACGGTAAAGTTTTGATTTTTGTTTACTTCACAGTCACAAAATTTGCTTCCGGATCAAGTATATGTTACTGAAACAGAGTCTTTTGCTTTATTGCTAGTTCCATAATGCTCTGTACGATGATGCTAAAGGTTGGGCTAGGCGTTTTTCTTCCTCTGTCAATAGATACTTACCTGGAATCATGAATCCTCATGCCAAAGTGGTTCAAAGCTGGACTAAATTCTTCGCTCTTTCATGCTTGTTAGCTATTTTTATAGATCCTCTCTTCTTCTTCCTCATTAAAGTCCAAGAGGTATGTGTTTTTCTTCAGAGATATCTCTCTCTATCTTTTGCTTCTCCTGTGTGTTGTCATCTTGCCTTTTAACCTTTTTGACCATCTTTCTTACTGTAGCGAAACAAATGCATTATGATTGATTGGCCAATGACTAGAGCATTTGTTGCTGTGAGAAGTGTGACAGATGTTATATTCACTATGAACATTCTACTACAGGTGTTTTTCCTTTGCTTACTATTTACTCCATCTCTTTTTAAACAAAATCTGTTGGCTTTATAATGCTCACTTCTTCCATATTTGTTGCAGTTCCGATTAGCCTACGTAGCTCCTGAGTCTACTGTGGTTGGTGCTGGCCAGTTAGTTAGTCATCCGAAGAAAATTGCCCTCCATTATTTCCGAGGAAAGTTTTTCCTTGACTTGTTCATAGTGATGCCACTTCCACAGGTATTGTAATGTTAGAGCTACTACTGGCTTTAAGTAATGGTAATCATAACATGTTTGTTTACCTTTCTCCTCTTTTGTTTACAGATATTGATATTATGGATAATACCAAAACACTTGGGGGTATCCGGAGCAAACTATGCAAAAAACCTTCTACGAGCTGCAGTTCTTTTCCAGTACATTCCAAAGTTATATAGACTTCTACCATTTCTTGCTGGACAAACACCAACTGGATTTATATTTGAGTCAGCTTGGGCTAATTTTGTCATTAATCTTCTCACCTTCATGCTTGCTGGACATGTTGTTGGCTCTTGCTGGTATCTTTTTGGTCTGCAGGTATGACAAAGTCTCAAAATGTCCTTTCATACTTATCTTGTCCTGAGCAATGCCTATATTTAAATAAGTTCTTTTCATTGTCTGTTTCCCTTTTTCTTTTGTCTCTTACAGAGAGTGAATCAATGCCTTCGAAATGCTTGCGGTAGTCTTGACCGTGGATGTCGAGATCTTATAGATTGTGGTAATGGAAATAGCAGCGATGTACAAGTACGAGCTACCTGGAGAGATAACGCGAGTGCCATTGCTTGTTTCCAAGAAGATGGTTTTCCTTATGGAATCTATTCAAAAGCAGTCAATCTTACCAGTCATTCTAGTCTCTTCACAAGATACAGTTACTCTCTCTTCTGGGGTTTTCAGGTAATTTTTTTTTGGTTTTTTTTCAGTTTTTGAGTAGCAAACTTTTAAAAAGTACTTAACTACTTTGCCATTGATTGGCATATTTGGAACTCTTCCCTAATGTCATTTTTGTTTTAATAATTCGCAAAGCAAATCAGCACTCTTGCTGGTAACCAAGTCCCAAGCTACTTTCTAGGGGAGGTCTTCTTTACGATGGGTATCATTGGACTAGGACTTTTGCTTTTTGCGCTTCTTATTGGCAATATGCAAAATTTCCTTCAAGCTCTTGGTAAAAGGTAAAAAAACTCCTATCATTACATTATTGTACAAAAGTAGATATTTCAAGACATAGTGGTTGGTTTAGTGAATTACTAAGTACTCTGTTGTTGTTGCTTTGTCCATAATAGAAATTTGGAAATGACGCTGAGACGGCGTGATGTGGAACAATGGATGAGCCATAGACGGTTGCCTGAAGGTATAAGAAAGTATGTGGCCTATCCCTATTATATACTTTGCTTCTCAGTTGAAGTTTAAGTTTTGAAGAATTACATTGGTCTCAGTTTCTGTAGTGTCACTATAAAACTAAGTGCATTGTTTGTTCAACATTTTCAGGAGGGTGCGAGAAGCTGAGAGGTTCAACTGGGCTGCTACTAGAGGCGTTAACGAAGAGCTGCTCTTTGAGAATATGCCTGATGACCTTCAAAGAGATATAAGACGCCACCTCTTCAAATTTCTCAAGAAGGTAAGCATCTGAGTCCATTTTCCTTAGCATGGCTCTCTCTCTCGAACATTTGTGTGTGCATATATCCCAATTCCATAGTGTTTCAAAGAGCTACTTCTAGAATCTAGCTGTATAGGGACTGCTACTGAAACCAAAAGTAATAGTTAGAGTCACAGATTAATCATTTTTGAGAATACTACAGAAATGTTAATGGGTTGCAGGTGAGAATATTTTCTTTGATGGATGAATCAATCTTAGATTCGATCCGCGAGAGACTGAAACAGAGGACATACATAGGGAGTAGCACAGTGTTGCACCGCGGAGGATTAGTTGAGAAAATGGTATTCATAGTGAGAGGTGAGATGGAGAGCATTGGAGAAGACGGTTCTATTCTGCCATTATCGGAAGGCGATGTTTGTGGTGAAGAACTCCTCACTTGGTGCCTCGAACGCTCTTCTGTAAACCCCGGTACATAAATCTCAAAGTTTTAGGTTTCTTAGATGACACTTTATTGCTTGGAACTGAGTATGTTTTGAAACCTTCAGATGGAACGAGGATAAGGATGCCATCAAAGGGATTGCTTAGCAACAGGAATGTGAGATGTGTGACAAACGTGGAGGCATTTTCGCTGAGTGTAGCTGATCTTGAAGACGTAACAAGCTTGTTCTCGAGATTCCTGAGGAGCCATAGAGTACAAGGAGCCATAAGGTATGAGTCTCCATATTGGAGGTTGCGAGCGGCTAGGCAGATTCAAGTGGCGTGGAGATACCGTAGAAGACGGCTTCAGAGATTGTACTCTCCTCAGTCTAGTTACAGCCGAGGTTAGTTTGTATATTCGTCATTCTTGATGATTATATGTAAAGTTTGGTGGTTGTCACATAGGTCGTAGGTGGTGTTTTAGTATTATATATCTCAATGCTTCACTTTTTACTGCAATTTTTTTGTCAATTTGTAACCAAAAATAAATCCTAATTCTCAAAGCTCCCGCTAGAGAAACTAATAGAAATGTATGGTGAGAGAATGGCTCAGCTAAGAGAGGAAATGTCAGTTTCAAATCAGTTGGTACTAGTTAATCTCCTACTTGTATAAAATTGGAAGCAGAGAAGTAAAATGATTTAGTTAAGTATATGTTTAAATTGTTCTCCAGCTCCATATGAGAGACATGGTGTTCAACAAAGTATAGAAACTTGTTTTGTCGCGCATTTACAATTTCTTTACTTCTAGTAGTAATTAGTTTTCCATCATTAGACGAACGAAGGTCAAGACATTTGGCTCCAATTACAGTTGGTAATCAGATAATGGAAACTTTTACAAAACCGGTGAATATTTTAAAGGACAACACATAACATCATCTTCATCGTTCCCTCTGAGTACTGAATAGCGATTGCAGTTATCCACAAGTTGAGAAAATATCCTTGTCATGCCCGCTGCAACTTCTTTGTCGTCCAAGAAGCATCCAAGTTATCATCTTCATTAGTTTTTCTTATTCACACATTTAATTAGAATAATACAATTACATTGACTTGGGCTACGAAGTCGAAGACCCTTGCTTACTTGGTCATCGTCTCCTTCCTCTATTTATTCTTACCCAATTTACAAAAACTCTCAAACTCTCTGCTTCATTCAACTTCCCTCAGCCTCAGATTTTTCCCTTCTTCCCTAGATTTTTTTTTTTGTTTGTTTCTTGGGTCTTTTCTTTCTTCTTGAAACCTTAATATTTGGTTGAAAAATGATTACTTCCGACAACGAAAAAGATGATATGCATATGCTTCCAATTTCAGACTCATCATCTTCTACCAGAGCTTTCAATTCCAGGACACGCAACGTTTCCCACTCAAACCCTACTTCCTATGCTGACGGATCCGACAACTCAACAGTGGTTTTAGGCTACACGGGTCCTCTTCGAACCCAGGGACGTCCTCCTTTAGTTCAAATGCGTGCTCCTCTTACCTCTTCTCGCCAACCTGAACCTATCTTTCTTCCTCATCCTTCTACTACTTCTTCTGATTCCGTTGGTGTCTCTACTCAGCTTGAGATGCATCCTTCTGCTCTTGAACATAAAAACACCTCAGACGATTTGAAGCACGCAAAGCCCTTAAGATCTGGAACATTAGGAGTGTGTAGTGATCCTTACTGTACCACTTGCCCTTCTCATTACAACCATAAGGCAGCTCTTATTCCTCATTCCACAGGCTCTTCATATTCTGATTCCACGGTGAAGTTTTAGGTTTTTGTTTACTTGTCATAAACAAAAAATATCTTGATGCTCAAGTAATGTTACTGAAACAGAGTATTTTGTTTTCGTGCTAGGTCCATAACATTCTGGATGGTGATGCTACACGTTGTGATGGGCGATTTGCTTCATCTGTTATCATGCTTTCTGAAATCGTGAATCCTCATAACAAAATTTTTAAAAGATGGAGTAAATTCTTCGCCTTATCATGCTTGCTAGCTATTTTTATAGATCCTGTCTTCTTCTTCCTTGTAAAAGTCGACCAGGTATGTTTTTCCCTTCAGCGATATCTCTCTCTCATCTTTTGCTTCTCCTATTTTGTTAGTTTTCCTTTGAACCACTTTTTTTACCATCTTTCTTACTGTAGCGAAACAAATGCATTCGGATTGACTGGCCGATGGCAGACGCATGTGTTGCCGTTAGAAGTGTAACAGATTTTATATTTCTTATGAACATTCTACTTCAGGTATATCTCGTTTACTTACATATTTCTCCATCTGTTGGCTTTGATGCTGACTTCTTCCATTTCCATATCTACTGCAGTTCCGATTGGCCTACGTAGCTCCAGAGTCTCTTGTGGTTGGTGCTGGCGAGTTAGTTACTGATCCGAAGAAAATTGCCCTCCATTATCTCCGAGGAAAGTTTATCCTTGATTTGTCCGTAGTGCTGCCACTCCCTCAGGTATTGTAATGTTTAGAGCTACTACTGGTTTTAAGTTATGTACGTTCATTTACACACTCAGATTCTTCCCTTTGTTTCCAGATATTGATATTAGGGATAATACCAAAACACTTGGGCACCCAGGAAGACCTTGGGAAATACTGTTTACGAGCTGTAGTTCTTTTACAATACATTCCAAAGTTATGTAGACTTCTACCATTTCTTGCTGGACAAACACCAACCGGATTTATATTTGAGTCAGCTTGGGCTAGTTTTTTCATTAATCTTTTCACCGTCATGCTTGCTGCACATGTTGTTGGCTCTTGCTGGTATCTTTTTGGTCTGCAGGTATGAAAAAAGTCTCAAAATGTCCTGAGCTACAGAAGATGCATATGTTTAAAGTGATTTATATGGATTCTTCTCATTCTCTGTTTCCCTTTTTCTTTTGTTTCTTACAGAGAGTTAATCAATGCTTTCGACATGCTTGCGGTAAGCTTGACAGAGGATGTGCAGATCTTATAGATTGTGGTATTAATCGAAATAGCAGCGATTTACAAGTACGAGCTGCCAGCTGGAGAGATAATGCTAGTGCCATTGCTTGTTTCCAAGCAGATGGTTTTTCTTATGGGATCTATTCAAAAACAGTCAATCTTACCACACACTCTTGTATCTTCACAAGATACACTTACTCTCTCTTCTGGGGTTTTCAGGTAATTGGGTTTTTTTTTCAGTTTTTGAGTAGCAAACTTAAAAACAAGTACTCAATAGTTTTGCATTGATTCTTTTTTCAAAGCAAATCAGCACTCTTGCTGGTAACCAAGTCCCAAACTACGATCTTTTGGAGGCCCTCTTTACTATGAGTATCATCGGATTAGGACTTTTGCTTTTCGCACTTCTTATTGGTAATATGCAAATTTTTCTACAAGCTCTTGGGAAAAGGTAGATAAATCCTTCTTTACATCACTATACATAATTAATATTTCAAGACATAATGGTTGGTCTTATGAGTTACTAAGTACTGTAGTCTGGTTATTTTGATTTGTCCATCTAAGGAATATGGAAATGACACTAAGACGGCGTGATGTGGATCAATGGATGAGCCATAGACGGTTGCCAACTAGTATAAGAAAGTATGTGGGTGGACTATCCCTTTTAATTATATATTGCTTCTAAGTTGAGGATTCGCGTTTTGAAGAATTGCATTTATCTGATCAAACATTATTCAGGAGGGTGCGAGATGCTGAGAGGTTCAACTGGGCTGCTACTAGAGGCGTTAACGAAGAACTGCTCCTTGAGAATATGCCTGATGACCTTCAAAAAGATATAAGACGACACCTCTTCGAATTTCTCAAGAAGGTAAACATTAGAGCCCAGTTATGTAGTGTTTCAAAGAGCTACTTCTACAATCTAACTGTATAGGAGCTAGACTGCTGCTGAAACCAAAGTAATAGTTATGATATCACAGATTAACCAAGCTGAAAGTGGGTAGACTTATTAAACTGTTGATGGGTTTGCAGGTGAACATATTTCGTGATATGGATGACTCAATCATTGATGCTATCGGTGAGAGGCTGCAACAGAGGACATACATAAAGAACACAGTGTTACACAGCGGAGGTCTAGTTGAGAAAATGGGATTCATAGTGAGAGGTACGGTGGAGAGCACTGATGAGAGCGGTTGTAAGCTAATACTATCGGAAGGTGACGTTTTTTGTGAAGAGCTCTTCACTTGGTGCCTTGGCTCTTCTGTAAAACACGGTACCACCCCTTTTTGACTCTCTATGGTTATAAATCTCAAAGTTTTGGGTTAAAAACTCAGATGACACTTCATCATGGAAAAACTTGGAATTGAATTATGTTTTGAAACCTTCAGGTGGGACGATGATAGATATGAAACCAAAGGGATTGGTTAGCAACAGCTTTGTCACGTGTATTAGTAACGTGGTGGCGTTTTGGCTGAGTGTAGAAGATCTTGAACATGTAAAGAGCTTGTTGATCTCGACTCGAGAGTACCAAGGAGCCATAGAGTCCAGAGAGCCATAATTACGTACAATTAGTCCATGTCCGAGGCTGGCTTGGAGAAACCGAAGAAGACGGCTTCAGAGCGCGGCCGTGCCTACTTGCGAATTGTGCCAATATTAATATATTTAAATAAATTTACAAAAAAAAAAAAAAAAAAAAAAAAAAGATTATTGATATATATAATTGTGTTATAAACTAAGATGCTTCACTTGAGGAGGGAGGATGGATTAGGAACATATATATATATATATATATATCTTCTTATATCTATCTTTTTTTTTTCTTCTTTTAATGTTAATGATTATTGATATAGAAATTAAATATCTTCTTATATTGCATTGCAGGGTACCGATTCTTCATTTTGTTTGATCTTGCAAAGATTTTTTTTTTTTGTGAAATTGTGTTTCTAGCATTATCCTGCCTTCTCAAATATACAAGTTGGAGACATTGGCAAATGGTACTAGACAACTAGACCATAAGGTACCACAACGAAATTGGTACTAAACTAGCTACTAGACAATCTAGAGTCTAGGTCTAGACCACAAGGTTAATTTACCACAACGAAGTATTAATTAGTCTATCCACTATATATTGGTTATCACTCAATCAACATCATTATCCGTAAAGCTAATAAGTCTCTTAACAAATATGACAAAATGTTTTCTATTGCATATTGTACTTCATAGCTTAAGTAATTTGAATTCTTCAAGTTTTCGTAATCATAAAATTTGCATATATGTATAATATCTAATCATAATCGTGTAGCAGGGTCCTTGATCACTATTAATGTATCATATTTTACTTTTTGAGTCACTATTACGGGTTATTTAAATTATTATTAAGAGCATTCACAATGGTGATTTTTTGGGGTGTTTAAGTTGGGTCTTAAAAATAAAAAAAATATACATTAATTGATTTTGAATCCAATTTTAGACACTTATTTGTTAAAAGTGTCCTATTTAACACACTTTCATTGGATTTAGACACTCATGTGTTTTTTTTTTAAAATTATTATTTTAGACACCTATCAAAAATGTCACCATTGAACATATCCTAATTAGCATGATTTTTGGATCTGGATTAAAGTTTAATATCCTTTGCATGCATGTGACGTCATTGCGCTACTTCAGTTATTACGTAACGAAAAAATTCCTAAAACAAACACGGCCAATCAATCAAACATACATTACATACATGTATATAAATATATTTATATTATGCTAATATATATAGCGCAATCAAACTGGAAACTTTATTTACAACGAAGGAAGCGTAAGGAGCTTTGCGAGTAACGTTTGTCAAGAATCTCCAGAAAAGATAAAGCGAAAGATAAAAACAAACAAAAAGAAGGACGAAGAGAGCAAAAAGGAAAGAAAGAGAGATATATATAACGATATATATCTATATTATTAAAGAGAAAAATAATGATTAATTAATCAATTTAGTGACCATGTAATTAGTTTGTATATGTGTATATATATATATATATATATGTACAAGTTTGAGTAGGAGATGATAAACGAGGTGTAAGACAAGAACCCGACATTAATTGTTAATACATCGTCTCCGACAATTATTATGGCTCCGGTGGGATTACCTCCAGGCTTTAGATTTCATCCGACGGACGAAGAACTCGTAAACTATTATCTGAAAAGAAAGATCAACGGTCAAGAAATCGAGCTTGATATCATCCCCGAGGTTGATCTCTACAAATGTGAGCCATGGGACCTTGCAGGTACGTATGTTTAACCTAATTCTATCACATTTTCAGTAACTGGACTACTAGTAGACAATTCTATTCTAATCTTTGGCGAGTTGTAGTCATATTCCTTTTTGCGCTATATATATATATATATATATATATTGATCACATCAACTGGTTTTTAATTTAATTGTTGTGATGGATAAATAAAACTGTAGAGAAGTCGTTTCTACCAAGTAGAGATCCGGAATGGTACTTTTTCGGGCCACGTGACCGGAAGTATCCAAACGGGTTTAGGACGAACCGAGCTACGAGAGGTGGGTACTGGAAATCAACCGGGAAAGATCGGAGAGTGACGAGTCAGAGCAGAGCCATTGGGATGAAGAAGACTTTGGTTTATTATAAAGGAAGAGCTCCTCAAGGGATCCGTACTGATTGGGTTATGCATGAGTATCGTCTCGATGATAAGGATTGTGACGATCCCTCTTCCCTCCAGGTATTTTTAAAGATCGATCACAATGTATCGTTCTTTCATCGCCTCGATCGATCTATTTACCAAATGATATATGTAGTAATTAGTAAAGTACGTAGTTACTAAACATATAATCAAATTCTAACTTATATACAAACAAACCTATAATTATGTATAGAGAGATGCATGGCTATTAAATTTGTTATACTGTATATAAAAATAACATATTTTCCCCCATTTTTTTTAAGTATATACATTAATAAAAAGAGATGTGTGAATTTAATATTTTAATCAAGTCGTATAAGCCTGATACAATAATATATATTCGTTTCTTGCTGTACGCTGACAAAAGCTTAGGGTTTCGCTTTGTCTTTACTGTGACGAAGACGAAAGTTATATTTAATTATCCATTATATAAGACAAAAATATACTCATATCAATTCTATATTCTTTTATTTAAACATGACTTTCATATACTTAAATATACTCGAATAAGTAGAGAAAATTCAAGGTCAAGTAGTACTTAAGAGTTAAGACATTCTAAAATATTGGACATATATAAACTGTTTGGTGCAGGACTCGTATGCATTATGTCGGGTGTTCAAGAAGAACGGAATATGTTCGGAGTTGGAATCAGAACAGCAATTACAAATGGGACAATGTAGCTTCACGACAGCGTCAATGGAGATCAATTCGAGTAATAATTTCAATAATAATAACGAATACGAGACAATGTCGCCGGAAGTGGGAGTATCCGCCTGCGTGGAAGAAGTAGTCGACGATAAAGACGAGTCGTGGATGCAGTTTATCACAGATGACGCATGGGACACGTCATCTAACGCCGCAGCAGCTATGGGACATGGTCAAGGTGTTTATTGACTAATTATAAAGAGCCAAATTAAAGAGTATTGGAGATTTGGAGGCAAAAGATCAAAGAGAAGAATTATAGAAATTATTGGGCAAATAACGTAAAAACTTAGGTACACTTTTGTTGTACTTTATATATACATAATCGTTGAAATAAAACCTGCGGGTTCTATATATGGTTTTTAACTGAATTTTATTTTCTCTTCTTCTAATTGTGGGAATGTGTGGGAAAATCACGTGATTTGATTGGATATTGTATTTAATTGTATTTTCGTTTTTTTTGTTTTATCTTACCTTTTTCATGTTGTTGGATTGATGATAGTATGATCCACTGATTTGACGGCTCTATGGATCACGGTGCCTTTGTTCTTTTTCCTCACATGGGTGTAACCAGATCGAGTTAATGGATGGGGAAATTTGGGTTTTTTTACTTTACTACTTGTTCTTTCTTTTCTTCACTATATTTTTAGTCTTACACAATAGCGTGAAAACCAAGTTACATTCTACTTTTTAGGTCAAATATATATTCATTGTCAGGTAACCTTTTTCATGACCATATGGACTGAGAGACCATGATGTTTACAACAATCAAATGTGATTTCCAATTGACATCCAGTGTTTCTAGCTATAATGAATGGTAATATAAACTTTTTAAACTATAATCACTCATATTCGCCAAGTATTAATAAAAAAAAGTAGTGAAAAATATATTGCAAAAAAAAAAAAATATTTAATCGTATTTCTTTTGGTGGTTCTCTCTATGTAGATTCTATTAAATAAATAGGACAGAACAAGTAAAAGGAAAAAGTGAGGGGTTCGATGAAGTGTAAATCTAAGATTCTGATCTCACTCTCATCCAAAAAGAAGATCCCTTGCCTTGCGATCAAGGAGATTGGTCTTTCTTTTTTTCTCACGCATCTACGATCATCTCTCTTTCTACTTCTACACTTTGTGAACTGATCTCGATTACCAGAAAATAACATATACATCTCATGTTCTTTTTAACACAACTATATACATAATTACATATACATACATAAGCTCAGCTTCAGCTTTCAAAATCTGCCATTGTATTTTTGAACCTGCCACTCATCACCATATGTCTGGCGTTTACATTACATATGTACATCTTCCACATTGGAACTTGTCCAAAGATTTATATATCCTAGCTAATATGAAATTTGCAAAATGGGTATTGGGTTAGATCGAAACCCTAGAATTGTAAAAGAGACTTGTTTGTAGATAATTTTTGACAAATGCCTTGTTGTGGCCTTGTGGGGACTTGGGAGTCATTAACTGATTCTTGAACAAGAATGAACATTTTTTAAAAACCAGAAGCTCAAGAACGTGTGTCTCACTATCCTCATCTACATTGGTCAGTCTTTCGTTCTCTTTATGTTGTGTGTGTCTATACCCAAGTCACGTTAATCTATTGTTTTTTAATCCAATATAGCGCTTTCTAAAGTTGTATCTTGTACCATATTTCGATTGGTAGAAGATGCATGTAGATATTAACATATTAAGATATTAAGAACTTAGCGAAAATTCAAGAAGGCTCATGTACTATATAGTTTATTTCCAAATCCCCACATGTACTTAAACAGAGCATAAAAGAAAGCTAAACAAAATCAATTTTCAAAGAAGGGAACTTGATGCTATATGGTAAGGAACCGAGACCAAACAGGGAAGATAGAGACAGTGAGAAAACATAGCAATCCCAGAATGTATCTGAATCTTCTTGAACATATCTCCCCTCACCATATAGACGCAAGCCACTTTATTTTCTCCGTCGGCACAACACATGATAAGTGTCTTGTCAAAGATGAAGTACCTAATGCCACAAATCTTATAAACTAGCTTCGGCAAGTTGGTTGTTGGCAAAGTCATCAAGTTGATCCACACGGCATCCTCCTCTCTGTCGATATTCGTCTTCGTTTCCCAAATCTCAATCTTACCAGTTTCGAAGCATTGCCTGAACAAGGATAGCCGATCTTCCTTGAAAACAGAGAGGACAACTTCACTTCTATCAAAGTCCACCGGACAAGGCAGGAGACAAAAGGGTTTGAATATCTCCTTGGAGAAATCAAAGATTCGGATGTAAAACTCACGAGTCTCGCCATTAAAAGAAAGCCAGTAGAGATTCCCGTTCACGGACAAAGGAGGATCCCTGGAGGGCCACTGCTCATAAGGGGCATCATCAATATACCTCAACGTGCGGGAAGAACACTCGTAGATGGCAAGTCTTTTGTAACCTACCTCGAGACCGGGTCTGACTCTACGGTATCGAAAAAAATATCCCAAGATTTTGTAACCCATTTCGGGCCTGCTACTGTCGTATCCTACTCCGACAAATTTGAAACGTTTCTTTTTGTAATCGAACCATGCAACCTGTCTCAACCACGGATTCCAAACCGCAATACCGTGCCTGAAAAAGTTACGAAATAACAACCCATCGCAAGCCGTGATGGTTGTATCTTCCATCTCCGTAGGCTGACATGGAAAATCATAGGGTAGCTCTTGCAGCCCTATTGTTCCCCTCGGATCGATTTCTATCGAGTACATCTTCTTCGATTCGGTCAGGAAGATGAATTGAGGACGGGCACAAGCCAAGTGGTTGTTTACGAACCTCTTGTCGTTGAAAAGACCGTTCCACTGTTTACATACTGTCCTGAACCGAACAAGAGATCGAGGTGGGAGCCGAGACAGTATCTCTTCCTCCACATCCCAAGGTAACTTGACCGACGCCATCAGGTGTTCTGTTTTACAATTCCTTTTTTTCATGGTGAAACTGTTTTTATTATTTTAGCTTCTTTAATGATCGAATTATATCTATATATATATTGGAGATTTTGTCCCAATGACAAGAGGAAGTAATTTTTTTTCATTTTTTTTGGTTCAATTGTTTTTATACTTTTAGCTGATTAAAAAAAATGTCTGCAATTTGCTTACAGGTCTGGACTTTAAAGATCATAATAAAATTCTACTAGATATTGCCAACGGCATTGAGCAGATGAGTAAACAATCAAAGCTGACAATGATTAATTGGATGCTGCTACAACACAAGAACATTGATACGAAGAGTTTTGATAAATTCTCAATAACCAGAACAGAGCATAACTAAATATATACATCTCAACGATCTCTCATCCCTGCATAAGAAGAATCTCGTAGATATCTGTCCTAATGTTCAGTTCCTTGTCCCGCATCACTTCTTGTAAATCTGACATCTCTTTCACCGTAAGGACTGAGCTCAGCTTCCTAAACCCATCCAGCCATAGTTTTTTCGACCTGCCATGCCATGCCACATTATGTTATGAATTAGTTCTCGATAGTATAAGAAATCTGGTGAAAGAAATTTGTGGTTATATGCTTCTACCATGGGCATGCATTTATAGCTCTGAAGTATATCCTTCTAGCTGCTGATGGATTGTGTGCGATGTCCATCTCATATGCAATGTAGCAACGCCATAGAATGACCGAGTTTTTTAGTGTATCTTGTGCAAATGCCCTTTCAAACAATCCACGGATTCTGTGTGAGGACCCTCCTTTACTCAACTCATAAGAAAGTGCAAATAGCCAAACAACGGCAGATGAACTCCTGCATGATTAACATATTAAAACTAGTTTAGCATCAATACGTAAATCTACCTTGTTCTAGGAGGAAGACCATAAACATGTAACTGTTCAGCTTTAACCATTCAAGCTAAGCATCCATATCTAAATTAGGCAGTTCTCGTGAGATAAGAGGGTTTATTTTTAACAGGTTTGTGAAAAATCTTACTTGCGGGAGTAGTCATCAAACATCATTCTCAGTCTATGGGATGTCATACGGCGATTACAGATGTCCACCAAAGCTCGATAAAGCTCCGGATTGAGAGGATACTGCTGCAGTCCTTCTGATATGGGCTTCCAAAGTTGTGACAAAGTTAGATCGTCCTGGTGTCTCTGAAGCATTCTCACATAATAATTGAACAAGAGCTCGAGTTGATGGCTTTGACTTTTTCTTCCTGGAAAATTCATAATAGCCCAAAATCAGATAAACGGTGCTTGCATGATACACACTTTTAAGTTATTGTACATGGAAAACATTTCTGATGCAGTCATGTATACTAGTTGGAAATCAGTAAGAGAACCCCAAGGGATATTGATCATGGAAATAACCTGGAAGAACAGAACTGAACATGTGCTCTAGGATCTCAACAGCGGCAGAAAGATCATTTGTTAACTCCTCAAATAGAGCTGCCGAACTAACAAGAGCTGCTGATTGATCATCAGTGACACCATGAGACCATGCGGATTGTATCTTCTTAAGCTTCTCTCTGAACCCTTGGCGTGCTCTAAGGATTTGCATGCTTGAAGACTGGGAAGTATAAGGAACATAAGCTAGACCACTTCCCAGGTAGCACAAAATGTGCATAGCACGAGATGATGATTCTGTATCCTTAGCTCTGAGGCTACTATTTGCTATTTCTGATTCAGCATACCATAAACATAGCAACGAAGCGTTATACTGTAATTCCTGCAATCATAGGTAAAATAAAATTAGCATCGCTTTTGCAAGAAATCCAACGGAAACGCGGAAATTGGGCTGATGTTTCTCTGCACAAGTGCACCAAAAAAAAAAAGTCAAATAAGAAAGCCTATTCGAACTATATCCACTAGGCCATGCTTCCCTATATATTACCCAGAAGGGTCTGTCCTATACAAATAGCTCTACTATGATCCGTCCATGAGATATTACCCTGTGCAAGCTCAAGTGGCAGGGCACCAGTTTCCGGTACCCATAAGTGAATCTTTGATTCAGCAATTAACACAAAACCATGGTAACTGATCTAGAAAGAAAAAAAAGGTGGAAACATGAAACGTTGTATCATATGCTAACAACATAACCAAAACATCTGAAACTAACCTTAGGGAGGCCACAGATAGAAGTCAGTGCCATGTCAAAGACTCGTCTTGCATGTTTCATATTTCCAGAAGCAGCTTCTCGCTGTGCATAAACTCCACAGAGTAGTAGATCCTGTTCATAGAGAAGGAATCAGTTCAGGTTAACTAAAGAAAAAAACAGACCCCTCCAACAAATTGGAATGGGGCGTACCTGCCGGTCACTTTTCAAGAGACGTTTGGCCAAAGCTTGGCATGGAGTAGTTGCTGCGTCACATGTATTCATATTTGTTACAAAAAGCTCTTCTGCAACAAGGACAGCTTCTTCCAGAATGTAGTTTCGCGGAAAAACATTTAGACAAAGTAAGATGGCATTACGGAGAAACTTCATCATCTCAGTCCGCATAGATATGTCGCAGCTGCCACCTAAAAGAGATCCCAAGCTGAAACCGTTGGTGCTATCTGATTTCGACAAACATTCATGTACACTTCTCAAGTTTTCTAACATAGAATCTGACAATGTTTCAAGGCTACTTATTTTCTCACTCCACGACAAACTGTTGCTAGAAGTCCATGGAGGAATATGTGCACCGAAGAAATCAATAAACTGGTATACCAGAGATAGTCGGGCCTCATCTGAACGTAAGGAAAATAGATATCCATTTATATCTTCATATAGTACAACACTTGAAAGTTGCTCTTCATCTTCTCCCTCGCCCATTTCATCAACACTGGAGAATTCACCTATTAACGGATGATGCACGGTTAACCTCATCATGCATGTTTACTGTTTTTAAGATAAAAGTGTAAGCCAATCCTATCAAACATATCTACAGAGACTGAACTTTATCAACTAATATGGCTCTGGAATGACAGAAAAGGCTGAGCGACTAGTCCTACATGGACAAAAGCTCACCCAATAGACACATTTAGACCTTTATATGATCCAAGAAAAAAGATGAACAAAACCATATAGAGATAATGATGGTAAAGGTAGTGATATACCAGCTTTCCGAGTAGGCATCCATTGACTGAGATCTCGAGAAACCTCTTCTTCAAACCATTTAACCCAAGTTGATGTATCTTTGACCTCATCACTGGCCGCTGCATTGACATTAATGCCCAATGATTTTAGCATAGCTTCAGTATCATCTTCAGGTTTGCTATTTTCGTCATCCATTTCCTCATCCAGACTCTCTCGAGCAACATCAACCTCTACAGTGTTAGCGGAAGCAATACTATCTCCATTTCTACCTGAGACCTGTTCTGTCCAACCTGTCCAACCACCTACGTCATTGTCATCAGAGGATTCTTCTTTCAGAATCTTATGCCTGTTTTCCTCCTCTTTCTCCAGCCACAGTGACCATCCAAAAGCTCCTTCTTCTCCAACTCGAGCACCATTACTGCTCCAAAAGTGCTCAAACAGTCTTAATTTACTTTGTTCAGTAAGCAACAAAGATGGACAAAAGATGCTAAATTCCAGTTCAGCTTGAAATAACGCTGTGGCCAACTCCTGGTAACCAGCCTGCCATTCAAACCTGCAGAGACTAACTAGCATATCGACTAGAACGAGTTCCTGCTGGATGGCAGCAGAATCCAATGGTTCAGATGTTGTATCCACCTGCATAATCAAATAAATAAAATTAGACCTTAACAATGTCAAACTGCAAATAATACGATAATCAACTATGTCAGCGATTAAAGAAAGTAAAGAGACACCAGAAATAGAACTAAGTGAGGGGAATAAAACAGATGGACTCGAAATGACTTGTGACAGTAAACAGATAAGTATTAAAGTGATTCATCAACCCTTAATCAGTTAGCACTAAAAAATAAGAACCTGCCTATGGCGCTTGTTGCAAGCAGAAGAAAGAGCCTGGATTGCATAAGAGTACATTTTCCTCACTTCCGAAACTTTGAATCTGGAGAACTCCCCTTGAACAACACATAAAAACTCCCTCCATAACTTGTAGCTAGCGGAATTCTGCATAAGTGCCTTTTCCCACCTGCTGATTAATGCATCGGCGTTGTCTCTGCTTCGGTATGCCTTGAGAAGTGCAAGCAACAGTTCTTCACTATCTGGATTAAGTTCAAAAGCCTTCTCAAGTATACTAATCTTCTTCTCTAAAGTCTGCAGGCGAACTCCTTTCTGAGATTGCATACTTGAAACCTTGTCTTGAAAGTTAGCAAATGCTAGCCATGCCTTTTCATCATGGGGACGCTCCCTCGTCATTTTGTTAAACTCTCGCGTTTTATCCAGCACGTCATCCTCCCATGATGCTCCCATCGTTGAGTCCTTTGATAGAACATCTTCCTCGTCACTTTCTTGAACAGCCTCACCTTCCTCCAGTGGAATGAAATGATCAAAGTTGGAATCCACAGCTTCCCTTGAAGCAGATAAACGAATCCGCTTGAAATTCTTGTTGCGTTCCATGGCAGCATGTTTTGCATACCAATATCGGGTATCAGACTTAGCTCTTCCCTCCAAAGAATCAATATCAATCTCTGTGTCAAGCATAGAACTACGCCGATTCCGCAAATAAAACCTCAGAGAACCTGTCCCAGAAACTCTTTGAGAATTGTCAAGTTTATAACGAGGAACATTCATCCTGCATTGTAAAAAACGGAAGCAGATTCTTTTCAGTATCCACCATAGACTTAAACACGCATTGCACAGAACACGAAATCAAACCAGCCATAACAAGAGAGGTATGAAAATAATAAGCAAAGTACCTGTAGATGGAACCATAAACCAGATTATCTGGATCAGGACGAGTGTCCAAGTAATAATCCTTGACAGGCTTCGAATAGTATTCATCAGAGTCCCTAACTGATGATTTCTTAGAACGAGATTCATCAGGCGCAGTACCACCACTCTTCCGCTTCTTCTTTTTGTCCCCCTTCCTCTTCCCCTTGTCGTCATCAGACTCCCAGGACGCTTCTTCTTCAACCAGATTGTAAACCTTAGGCTGATTAGCTTCAAAAGTATACCCATCAGGATCTCCTTCTTCATCTTCGTCTTCGTCGACCACGGATACGGAAGGAGCGGTCGAAGCGCCGGCGTTGATGACGGAGAGATCCGTCGTGAAGCTGGCGTTGCGGAGCCATTGAGGAGTACTGGAAATAGCTGAGATGGATTTCGGCGAAGTAGGAAGGACGGGGAACAATCCACCTGTAGTTACCGGAGCTCCGTCGCCGGCCTCTGGTGTATTCGACATCTTCATCTACCGGGAAAAAAAAACGCACCGCGCTATATTATTTTATATGCAAAGGTTCGTGAAATAGGCCTATATATTGGGCCTATAGTATGGGCTCGAATAATTTGTAAGTTTTACTCTTTTCTACTGAGCCCTATATATGTATACTGCATGTTGAAATAATTGAAAACTCGACAATATAAAGTTTAGAATATATAAATTTGTGAAATGAGAAATAAAATATTTAAATAAGCAAATAATAAGAAACATATGACAAAAACAATGTAAAAGAATTAGATTTTAAAACGAAAAAGATGGTTAGATAATTACAGTTTCAGCTATACAAAGAAATTGTTCAAAATCCATACAATTTTCATAACAGGAAGAAGTAATCTAAAACTTTATATAATCGAGTAAGATACTTAGTAGTAGACCAGATGTTACGAATAACCTACGAATACTGACTGCATAGTATACATAACTTGTTTGTTTGAGGTTTTGGTGCTAAGTTCAAGGCGTTGGAATGAGTTCGTTCTTTGGCGCTTCCATTGGGAGGTTATGGTCGGTCATTTGCCTGTAGGTGAAGCTGTTCCTCGTGAATGTTCACGTGTAAGAGCTGAAAATGTTTCTGACCTTGTTGTATATTAGTTGTATATGTGTGACTATTGATCATTTGGTATCAGCATTTTGTTTCACTCGTAGCTTGTGAACTATAGTCCCTTATTCAATTTTCATTTTTGCCAAATGCTTTCGAGATCAGCTTATCTATATGTTTGTAGCCGGTGACATTTATATAATGCAATGTGTGTGTGGATTGCTATTGTTTTTGCAGTCATATGCTATTTTGTTTTACAATATATGGTTTGGCTGGGTTGGTTTCAGTTAAACTCTTTCTACTTATAGTATTATCAATATAAATATAATTCCAAGAAAAAAGAAAACAAAAACAAGTAGTTCCCGTCGAATGGTCTAAAGTAAAACCTTATTAGTTAAATACCAAGCACATGATAAAGTCATTCAACAGACAATATTTCTCTTGTGTTCCACAAGGCGTTTCCAATACTTGGTGATATCCTCCAATGACATCTTTGTAGTCTTCACTTCAACTTCATCACCACTAACAGCTGCTGCCGCAGCTATATGCGCGATTCGGCTAGGAAGCCCTTCAATCTCTTTTAGTACTTGAATGATATGTGTGATGAGTCTATCTGCGAGGCCTCGGCTAAAGTCTTCTCTGATCACAACTCTTAGTACAGCAATGTGTTGCGCATCTGCAGGCATGGTGTAAGCTGGTATGATCCACCCAAATTTTCTCAGAGACTCTGCGATCTCAAACACCGTATGTTTGCTACTGTCTTTGAGAGAGAATGCCACTAGTGGCACGCCGATATCTTTAGAGAGAATGTGGAACTTCCCTGTCATCTCTATCCCTTCTCTCAGCCTCCTCGCGTTGTCCATGCAGTTTTCCATTATGTTCTTGTATCCCTAATTTTATTTCCAAGAAGGATCATTTAATAAAACAAGATGTCATCTAGACAAGAATAAGATGAAAGTATGAAACTGTTATGTAAGATATGCAAGGGAACAAGTACCTCAAAGCCTAGTCGGATAAACTGGTAGTACTGAGCAATGATTTGACTGGACCCTGCAAAAAAATAGAATCGAGTTTTACTTTAAAGTAACTGTGATGATGATCAATTGATTGGCCAAGAAAATGGTTACAAACCTTTCGAGAAGTTGAGAGTGAAAGTGGGTTGATCTGCTCCTAAGTAGTTGATGTGAAAGACAAGGTCCTCTGGCAAATCATCTTTTGTTCTCCAGACAATCCAACCAACTCCTGCATACACAAGTCCATACTTATGGCCACTGACATTGATGCTCTTCACCCATGGAAGTCTAAAGTCCCATTCAAGATCAGGGTAGAGGAAAGGAGCAATGAATCCCCCACTAGCTGCATCAACGTGAATAGGAGTTTCCCAACCAGTCTCTGCGTTTTTCTCAGCTAAGAGATCGTTCAATAGCTTCACATCCTCAAACTCTCCGGTAAGTGTTGATCCTAGAATTGCTGCAACACAGATTGTGTTCTCATCCACCATCTCTACAGCTTTAGCTGGGTCCATCACGTAATAGTCTTCATTTAGTTTCACCTCTTTGAGCTCTACCTCAAAGTATCTTGCAAATTTCTCCCAGCACACCTGCCCGGATGAAAAAACATACACACAAGCTTAAAATGTCTTTATATTTTGAAGAAACGGATCAATAACCAAAGCAGATTTGAGATGTTGGAAGGATGGGAAGAAGTTCATTGAGACCTGAACATTAGCTCCAGTTACAATGTTAGGCTTATCAGTAGGTAGACCCTGAGCTCTTCTCCTCTGTTGCCATTTCCTTTTGAAAGCTAAACCGGCAAGCATTATAGCCTCTGATGAACCAACAGTTCCACAGCCAATAGCAGCCTCGTCTTCTCCAACGGGAGCATGGAATAAGTTAGCTATCATATTTACACACCGGTTCTGAACACGAGAGAATAAAGCCAAATAAAAATGTATTAGAATTGAGAAACAGTCTTGACTAAATATAGAAAAGGAAAGCTGATGGGGAGAGAGAAGAACCTGGAGTTCAGTAGTGACAGGATATTCATCCATGTCAACATAGTTTTTATTCACAGAATCCATGATGAGTTTGTCACACTCAGGTTCCATCCAAGTTGTGACAAAGGAAGCTAGGTTAAGCCTGGGATTGCCATCAAGCATCAACTCATCATTGATCACTTGATAAGCAGCGTCTTTCGGCATGGAATTGTCCGGCATCTTAAACCTGTTTTAATATATGCAAACAAAAAACATAACTGTAAATATTGTAACATAGAAAGAATGAAAAAGACTAAAATGAGAAAGAATCCAGAAAAATGCAGAGAGAGAGAGAGGAACCTGGGAACAACAGCACGGACATATCTGGAAGCAAAAGTGGAATGCAAATGCTCTTCGGAGTCAGAGTTGGTTGCGAGCACCATTGTTGTGTGTTTGAGTTATGCTGTAATGTTTGAGAGATCAGAAGAGGAAAAATAAATGTCAGAAAAAATATAAAGAAGGTTAAAAAGTTACACTCTCTTAACTAATTTAAGACATTCATATAACTGACTCCCTTCTTTCTGTTCCCTTTGACCCTCTCTTCCCCTTGAATTGTGCTTTAAAAAAAACTCTTTGTCCTTAAATAACTAAACAGAGAACAACATCATATAAACAGAGCCGCATATTATCCATCGAAATTATAGAATAATCAATCAATCTCTCGCTATAGACTTGTCTTACATTGAATGCCCCCAAGAGACATATATACTACACCAAAACATACTATGAGGCACGATTAGAACAGCCTATATACTTGTTGAGAGAGCAAAAAGGGATCCACAAAGATACATCTATTTCAATATAGATTCATGTTTATCTCCTATATGTATATTCATTGAGATATTTGGGAATCTAGAAAGATGCTAATATTAGTTGCATTAAAGAAAAAAAAGAAGAAGAAAGATGCTTATATCATCAGATGAAAAGACAAGAAACATTTTTCTTTCTCAGAGTCAATACATATATAGTCTCGTTCTCTCCGGAAGTCAAAACTCTCACAGTATTACGCACCACCAAAAAAAATTGCATAAACGGAGAGCGCCCTCGCAGAGTCAGAAATCTTAAGCGGTACATACACGAGAGCCAATAGTGCCCATAAAGCCTCTCACCAAAATCCCAATTCATATATCCGGGGAGAATAAAAGAAGAATCTTCAGGGGGGATCACGATCAGCTCTGATACTGCTCCTTCACGGCTCTTGCTGCGGCACTAAACCATCCTGCTGCAGCCATTGCACCTGGATCTGGAACCGTTGCAAGAATCTCTGCAGATACATAGCTTGATCTCCCAGCCTGTGTTACACCCATCTCATCCATCATCTCCAAATGAAACCATTTAACATAACAATTGCATACCGAAATGGTAAGCTAAACTCACCTGTGCTTGCATCTGTATGGTTGATTCCGCTCCTGCAGTTGCTGCTTCAGCTGACAGAATGAAAGCAGCTATCGGATCTTCTCCTGCACTCAGCTTCTGTTCTTATCAAAAACAAAATCTCATTACTACTTGCAAGTCGCAATATCTAAATCTTCAGTGTGAAAAGAAAGTGAGCTGCTCTTTTTCACCTCCTCAAGGACTTGTGAAGCTGGGATGAGAGCATCTAGCATTGTTCGGTAGCCTGCAGTTGCTCCACCATACTTGCTGACTGAAGTGATTGATGATTTGAGTGCTTCAGACCCTGATTCAAAATAACGTTTACTATCAAAACAAGCCTGTGCCTTTTCGAATACTAACTAACCACATATCAGCGAGCATGATCTCACAGTGTTTAGGAGTGATATCTGACTGAGCCTTAGCTTTTAGCTCCGCGTATGCTGCCTTGCAGAGGAGATGGTAACTGTTTCCACAAGAGAACCCAGAATGTCACTGTACTAATAAATGCCAACAGCATGGGCTGACTATAACGAAGATAACATGAAATCATTTCTAAACTTACATTATTCCGCTTGTCCCCCCCATGGCTCTTCTGACTGATGAACCAATCTCATTAACTGTCTCTGCAGCATCATTGAGTGGATAACTAGAAACAAAAAGAGTCATGTTTCAAATATATTTGTCAACAAGCTTTGTGAAGAACTCAACATAAAGAGAGGTATATGTGGCAGTGAGAGTAACAAATAGACTCACTAATTTTTCATGTCCTCCAGAATAGCTGTTGCACCCCTGTACATCTATACAATTGATGCAGGGCCATTTAAATAATATTAAATGAACAAAATATAAGTATGCACAATGGCAACATCTAAAAACAAGACTTACTGTTGATCCACAATCACCATCGCCAACTTTTCCATCCCATTCGTTCAAACTATCCTTTAGACTAATGATCACAGTTGCTGCTGCTTGAATAGCTGCCTCAAGGATTCGACCTTCTTTGCTCAGCTCATGAGGTCGGCTTTGAGAC